ATGTTGAAGCGAACGTATATAACGTGTGTGCTATCGTCGTCGTCGTCGTCGTCGATGGTCTGTGATGCGGCTACTGGTGTCAGTCAGTGACCGGACAATTTATTGCTCGGACGAACTACTCTGCTCCAGTGACAAAGAGATATATGCTTTCGATTATCGTTATTATCAAATGATTGCAGTGTACACAACCAAACCGCTTTTTACATATGTATATAGATATATACATGTATGTATAACACATATATATATATATATATATATATATATATATATATATATATTATATATATATATACGTATGTACCTGAACTCATACCAGCATAAATTACAAAACGCATTGTTAGTATTTCACAATTTTCACCCCTTCATCTCCCCTCAAAACTAGTGATTTACAACTACAATACAATATGCGGTAAAATTTTTTTTTTTTTTTTCTATTCCCTATCTGGAAGTATTGTCACGTTTCTGCCTCAAAAGTAGAATATCAAGGGAAAATATATATGATTAGCAATCATTCAATCAATTTTGTTTTTTTTGTTTTGTTTTTTTTTTTTTGTTAATCTGTGAAATGTGTTGTGTGAGCAATTTTGATAAAAGCAAAAATCTGTAGAAAAAAAAAAGAATGCGGCAATATTTTTTCATTTATCCACAGTATACAATAAAGGACTATTATTTTTACTAAATGAGGTAGTACTTGAATTTTTATTTATATATTTATGTTATTATTCGTTAATTATTTTTTAAAATTTAGATTTTTCTTTAATTAGTCCGTTAAATTAGATTTTTTTTCATAAACTATAATATAATTTATTATTGAAATGAAATTATGAACAATTTTTGTATTTATTACAAACAATTGCTTTGTATTTTGCCGTGTTCCTTGAAAACATGACAGAATATCTTAAAATAAATTAAAAAAATTTAAAGCTATTAAAATTTTTTAAATAATAAAAAGATATTTTTTTGTTTTTATTAAAAAAAAAAAAATGTAAAGTCAAACAATCAAGAAAACATTTTTATTATTAAGACAAATAATAATAAAAGTATGATACAATTGTTGCAATATAGTAGTTTTATGTATCGTACGATTGTAGTAGTATTTATTGCTATTATAATAGTAGAATAGTAGAATAATATATTATAATAGTAGAATAACAGTAGAATAGTAGAATAATAGTATAATAGTAGAATCATATAATCATAACATAGTATCATATAAAGAAAACAGTAGTATTCCACATTGGCAGTATCATAAAATATAGTATAGTATCATATAATTATTATTTAATCATACATTATCATACAATAGCAGTATTATACAATAGTAGTATCATACAATAGTAATTTTATTAAATAGTAGTATCATCCAATGGTATGAGCATTTATATAATAAGTATATTATTATAATAAAATAACAGTATAATACAACGGTTGTAGTATATTATAATAGTAGTTTTATTGACAGTAGTATCATACAATGGTAGTATCATATATAAAAGTAGTTTTATGCAATAGTATCATAAAATAAAAACAATTATAATGATAGTGTTACAAGAAAGTATCATGAAAGTATCATAAGAGAATCATGAAAGTATCATAAGAGTATCATAAAAGTATCATAAAAGTATCATAAAAGTATCACTAATATATCTTCAAATCAGTAATTAAAATTTTAAATATTATTTTTTATAAAAATTCCACAATATCAAATAATCGATTTCTGTTTATAATAGTAATAATAGTAGTTTCTAGTTTCATTTAATGGTACTGTCAATTAGTGTCAGTCATAAATAATTAAAAAATTTAATTTCCATTACTAGAATCATATAAATATGTTTCAATATATTCAATATAATTATAAAATTGTGAGAGTTTAAAATTCTCATTTAATTCAATAAAACTTTAGCTTTGATTATTGACGATTAAATATATATATATATATATATATATATATATATATATGAGAGATTCTTTTTCAATCGCCCCAACCCAAAAAGTCAATGTTCTGGGATTGGCTTCATACTTTGGTAAATTGTTGTCCTATATGATAGTAATAAATCCCTAAAATATAAATTAATTAAAAAAATATTTGTAGAAAGTAGAGGGGGTTGAAGTTTTGACGTTAAGGGTAACATTGTCATTTTCAAATCCGTTTAACTATGACAAAAGTTAATGGATTTTAATTTATCTATAATGAATTTTATTGCATTTTTCACGTACTTTTCAAAAATGTATATGAAATTTAAAAAAAAAAATTGTTAACCCCTTTTTTGTCAAAATCAACCCTTATTTTTCGATTTTCACCCCTTCGGGTATTTTTTTTTTTTTTTATTTTATTTTCATTGGAAAGCTGAGGTTTTTTCCGATGAGCTATGTAAATATGAAAATGGGACAACAATAATTTTGTGAGTAACAGAATATTAAAGTAGGCGGTGCCGATAAGGGGTGTACCTGGAGATCATCTTTGAGGATTTAGATAGGCACCGCCTAATTTAATATTATGTTTCTCACAAAATTATTGTTGTCCCATTTTCATATTTACATAGCTCATGGGAAAAAACCTCAGCTTTCCAATGAAAATAAAAAAAAAACAAAAAAAAATTCCCGAAGGGGTGAAAATCGAAAAATAAGGGTTGATTTTGAAAAAAAAGGGGTCAAAATTTTTTTTTTTTAAATTTTGTATACATTTTTGAAAAGTACGTGAAAAATGCAATAAAATTCATTATAGATAAATTAAAATCCATTAACTTTTGTCATAGTTATACAGATTTGAAAATGACAATGTTACCCTTAACGGCACCCTTATCGGCACCGCCTACTTTAATATTCTGTTTCTCACAAAATTATTGTTGTCCCATTTTCATATTTACATAGCTCATCGGAAAAAACCTCAGCTTTCCAATGAAAATAAAAAAAAAAAAAAAAAAAATACCCGAAGGGGTGAAAATCGAAAAATAAGGGTTGATTTTGACAAAAAAGGGGTTAACAATTTTTTTTTTTTAATTTCGTATAAATTTTTGAAAAGTACGTGAAAAATGCAATAAAATTCATTATAGATAAATTAAAATCCATTAACTTTTGTCATAGTTAAACGGATTTGAAAATGACAATGTTACCCTTAACGTCAAAACTTCAACCCCCTCTACTTTCTACAAATATTTTTTTAATTAATTTATATTTTAGGGATTTATTACTATCATATAGGACAACAATTTACCAAAGTATGAAGCCAATCCCAGAACATTGACTTTTTGGGCTGGGGCGATTGAAAAAGAATCTCTCATATATATATATATAATTTTTTTTTCTCTACCTTTTAATAATTAAATTTTTATTTCTTTTGTATCAACCACATTTTTTATTTGCTCTTTTATTTTTTAGTAACAGTTTGTAATTTGTATTTTGTCAATGTCGATTTATCGGCACATCACTTGAACTTGAGATAGAGCATAAATGATTCTGTGTAAAGGTCATAAAAGTGATATATATAATATAAATAGATAGAGATATACTTGTCTAAAATACACAAGTGAATGGTTAAATCCCTATATATACGAGCCATGGCATTAAACTTCTCTTCTATATAGATTTGCGTTTAACTATCCTTTTTTGCTTGTATATATATATATATATATATATATATATGTGTGTGTGTCGTAACGAACGCAATGTATTATACAATCTTTATCGCTCTCCGACTTTGCATGTAATAAGAAAGTTTCCCGCCAGACATATACTCCGCGTATACACGTACGACTCTCTGAGAACTCGGCTTAGTTCTTCCGTCGTTTCTGTAATCTGCATTGCAATAGGAAACTCTGATCTACTTTTTTTTTTTTTTTTTTAATTTGCATACTCTAGTTTCTCAAAATCTGATAACGTCCTTGCCCAAGCCATTTTTAAAGACACGAAAAAACCACCAAATCCATTTTTTTCTTTTAATTAAAATCAACAAAAAATTATTTTATTCACATTTTTAAATATTATTATTAATTATTCTTATTTATTTATTATTATTATTATTATTATTATTATTATTATTATTATTAAAATTATTATTATTATAACAAATAATTCTAATTGAATGAAAATCTGATTTTTGTATAAAATATGTTATTAAAAAAAAATATTTTAGAGAATTGTTGATTTTTTTTATTAAATATTCATTTTTATCACTGGGAAAATTTATTAGACTTTTTAATGTTTCCGTTGAGAGAAATAAATTTACGATTCAGGGGAGAATTGAATTTTTAAGTAATCATAAAAACGATTTTTTTTTTTATTTTTGTAAAGGGTAAAATAAAATATGTGGACAGATGTATAGAGAAAATAAAGAAAAAATATTTTAGTTTTATGTTTTCCACTTTTGCAATTCTGATATTTTAGTTTTTGTTGTTGTTGTAACTTGAATATTCCTGTGACTTTACAGCATCATTAAAATTTTATATCACTCAATTTTATTTCTCAAAATATATCTCCTCTATATTGAAAAAAGCATTATAGATGTGAATAAGTGAATATCTCGTTCATATAAACCAATAAATATATTCAATTTTTAAAAATTCGTATCAATTTAAAAATAAATTTCTATTTTTGTTATTTTAAACGTAATTTATAATTGAAAATATATTATTTTTTTATTATTTTAATTTATTATTATTTTTTTATTTATTATTATTTGTTATTTATTACTATTTTCAATAATTTCTAAATTATAAATCTAATTTTCTAAATAGAATATAATTCCTAAAACTTTTGTTGCAATTAATTTTTTTTTTCAAATATTATTTAAAAATTCCTTTTCGTTAAGGTAATTAAAAAAAAAAGAGTTTATATTCTCACTTTTTGAGTGCATGGCAATTTGTACTATTATCACTTTTTTATTTCTAAGAATGACAGAGTCGCAGTGGGTGAGCAGAGATATATATATATTTTTTTTTCCCTTTGACTTTTAACGAAAGTATGCGATTGTAATGAGATACTTTATGTGTTTATAGATCGTTGAGGCAGTCAGTATCCGTTAACGCATTCGACGAGTGCCACTCGAGACAATGGCTTCGTTGACTTTACTACGAGGGGACCAAAGAGAACCATAAACATTTCATCACGGACAATTTTAAATAGTATTCCTCAGGTACTATATATATATATATAAAACACTCTCGTTTTTGCGAGAAAAAAAAATTTTGTATATCGTCAAAGAAAAAAGAAACAAAAATATATCAAAAAGCTTTTCAAGACATTAAAATATGAATAAAAGAAATATTATCTCTTTTCTTATTCATGCGGGTTCAAGGTTTATTTCAGATTTTTTTTCAATACGTAAAATGTCGTCTCAATATAGAACGACATAAAATCAAATCGTTACTCATTTTTAAAATTGCCTTCATTTTTATTATGATTCACTGCATTGTATAAATCTAAATTTATAAGTCTCGATAAAAACAATATAACGTTTCGTTAAATAATAATTATATATAGAATATTTTATCGATAACAAATATTAACATGAATACAATATAAAATAGAAAATGAAACTCGGAAATAAAATTTATAAAAATGAGAAAATCATATATTTTAAATTGAAAAATGAAATGATAATATTTAAAATACAGAGATAAAATATAAAAGGAAATAAGATAAAATATTAGATGTAAAATAAAAAATTATTATGGAATAAAATTGCAATTTTTTTTATTCAATTTTATTTTTTTTTTAAATAATATTTTAAAATAGATTCGAAAATATATTTGGTAAAAATTTCTGAAAATTAATTTATATTTAATTTTATTTAACATTAAATTAAATTTTATTTCTATTCAATTAAATTATTTATTAAAAAAAAAAAATAATAAATATTATAAGAAAATAGGCCAAATATAACAAATGGGAAAAATAAATATTTTTGACACAAAGGTTCAATCGTACTCACAATTAATTATAGTTTTTCTTCTAAAAAATATACAATTAAATGTTAACATATGCAACGACTTTATAATTAATAGATTCAATAAAATGTTACCGAGATAAAGTTTTAATTAATAAATCTGATAATAAAATTGATTTACTCGTTTCCTCATCTGTTTAATGAAATTATACAATATTGACAAAAATTTCATATATAACAAATAACTATATAGATTTTTTTTGACGATTTTGCACTCGTCATTTTATTTATAAAAATAAATTATTCTAATAATAATTAATAAATTATTGTTTACAAGAAATAAACACTAGTAATTTTTTTCACGAATAAATATTTATTTCCCAGAATATTGAAATTTGAGTTTCAAATTTAGTGGGCAATTTAGTAAAAGAGAAAAAAAATATAATTAGAATAAAAAAAAACAAAGAAAAGGAATAAAAAAATAGTCGCCATATTGGATCCGCCATTTTGAATTTTTATATTCAGATAACAAGTTAATTATTAAAAATTAATTTATAAGAATTTATTTATTCAAAAATTTATTTATTTATAAAAAATATTTATTTATTTGTTTAAGAAAATTATTAATTAATTACAATATTTATTTATTTGTTAAAAAAAACTATTAATTAATTACAATATTTATTTATTTATTAATAAAATTATTAATTAATTACAATATTTATTTATTTATTAAAAAAATGATTAATTAATTACAATATTTATTTATTTGTTAAAAAAATTTATTTATTTAGTAAAAAAAAAATGTAAATTATGATACAAAAAATTGGGTAAAAATATCGATGATTTTGTAAATACAGTGAAAAATTGTGTTTGTTTATTTACAGGGGGGTCTTATATTTGCATCAATATGTATCTCTTCAGGATATCGCACTTTCTCGTGTTCGTAATGCTACGGTTGTCGCGGGCGCTGACCGGTGATTATGTATGCCAACGAGTGGAAAAGTGAGTCGATAAATTTTTATTAAGAACTTTTATCTTTTTAGCATAGTCAGAAACCTCCGTAACCGTATACACTGGCTTTTAAAAAGCAATGTAACTACCTCATTTTTCCTAATGAAAAAAAAAAAAAAAAAAAAACCCCACTTCTATTGGTTTATTAAAAATTAAGAAATTAAAAAAATAAACAAATACTTTTATGATCATTTTTATGTATTTATTTTTGTATAATGTGGAAATTTTTTTTTTTTACATTTTTCAACAAAATTGAAAATAGCTTTCTTTTTCATGATTGTAATTATCGTTTCTTTCATTTCTTTCTTTTTTTTTCATCGTCTTTGAACGAAACGGTCTTTTGTGAAGTCGTTAAATTTAAGTGACCGCTGAGACGAGAATTAAGTCACATTCCAGTCATTGAAAATTTAATTCCATTGCCTTGTGAATATTTATTAATCCTCGACTATGTTATCTTTTTTTCTTTTTTTTTTATTATTTCTTTTTATATCATTCTTTTTCATTTCTATTTCATTTTTAAATACATTTTTTCTCATTACTTTTTATTTGCCATCTTCTAGAGGAGATTTTTTTCCATTTCAGTTATGTTTGAACTAATTTTTCATTAAGCGATATTGTCGAAATATATTTTTTTAAATGACTGTAGTGGATTATTACTGAAACTAAGACTATAAATTAATAATAATAAATTATACTATAAATTAATAAAAATAACTTACATTCTAAATTAATAATAATAATAATAACTTATACTGTAAATTAATAATAATGTATACCTATAATTAATTTTTATTTTTTCGATAATATCAATAAATAAATTTGTTTTCAAAATTAAATTTATGATTTTTCTATATAATTTTACAATTTCATTTTTTTCATTACTCTTTTAATATTGAAATTTGCAATTGTTTATGTGTTGATTTATGCTTTTTTCAATATTTACCATTCTACAAACATTATTTTCTCTTTTTTTCCCCAAAAGTCAACAAATATTTGCCGTCGATTGTTTAATGAGAATTAATATTTATTTTTAAAAAAAGAAAAACTAATTGCTAAAAATAAAAATTATATAATATGGATTTTTTTACTGACTGTTATTATTGCAAAGAAAGTAGTAATAGAGTTCTCAAAAAAAAAAAAAAAAAAAAAATCCTAATTGCATTCATTATAAAACGCTGCCATTGATATAAAGTTCCTCTATCTTCTTTTTTTCTTCCTTTTCATTGAATGTCATTATTCACTTCGCAATCCATCATTAAAATATCAAAGCGTTAACAGGATACAACAATGTGCTGCGTTGATCTTTTTTTTTTTTTTTTTTTTTTTTTTTTTAATGAACTCTTGAGATTAAAAACATTTTTATGTTAAATAAACTTTATGAGATTTTCCATAGAATTCAATTACACCACACAGAGGTATAGAAATATTGAAATGGGTATAGAACATATTAACCTTTTTTTCTGTTTGTTGAGATATGGATCATAAAGATCGTTTTATGAAATATGAAACTTTTTTTTTTTTTTTTTTAAAAGAGAGAGAATATTATATTTACAGTTATACAGAAACATCACAGGAACTTTATATGCAACCTGTTGAGGTACACACATTTACCTGGTGCTTTCAAATTCCACCAAGGTGCCCGAAGACCCGGCAGGAAATGCATCAACGATGGAGAACAAAGGTGAGCTTTTAAATAATTACAAAAAAAAAAAAAAAAAGTAAACATTTTTTTTTCAACAAAATTGAATCACAATAAAAGACCACTTTGTTATTCAAATCATTTAAACCTTTATAAATGATAAAAAAATTGTTTCAAAATCTTTCTTTCATTTTATACATTTTGAAAAATAAAAAAAAAAAAAAAAATAAGAAAAATTGATGAGATTAAAATTATAAATTTTTTTTTTTGTTACATTCCCTCGATTCGTTATAAGACTCATTTTGCATTACCCCCCCCCCTCCCCCTTCTACTTTTGTATAACATTTCCTCGTGTGATGTAGTTGCTCGAATCTGCTAATTACAGAGAAAGCGACAACCCATTGCTGAGAGCGTCTAATTAAATAAATGTAGAAGAAAAAAGGAAAGAAAAAAAAAATTGACTGCAAAACGCGTAAGCGATTGGTATCCTGTAGTACAAGGCCGCGTCTTTCAATCTTGCCGGGAAATAAGATAATTAAAAGAAAGGTGCAAAATGAAGACAGTGGAATTATGCAACTTTTCTCGATATTCTTTATATTATATATTATTCTTTTGAGAAAAACATTGCCCTTTCAATCCCTAATTTCAAAGGAAATTTTTTTTTCCATTTACTTAAATAAATAATTTTTTTTACAGTAGGTAATTAGTAATTAAATTAATAACAATAATAATCAGTAATAATAATAATAATAATAATAATAATAATAATAATAATAATAATAATAATAATAATAATAATAATAATAATAATAATAATAATAATAATAATAATAATAATAATAATAATAATAATAATAATAATAATAATAATAATAATAATAATAATAATAATAATAATAATAATAATAATAATAATAATAATAATAATAATAATAATAATAATATCAATAATAATAATAATAATAATAATAATAATAATAAAAATAATAATAATTAGTAACAATAATAATCAGTAATAACAATAACAGTAACAATGATAATCAATAATAAGGGGCCATCCATAAATTACGTTGCGCTTAAGGGGGAGGGGGGGGTCAAGAATTTGCAACATGCAACAGAAAAAATGGCGCTAATGTATGCAAAAAGTGCAACGAGGGGGAGGGGGGGTGTCGAAAATGGTGAAAAATAGTGCAACGTAATTTATGGATGGCCCCTAATAATAATAATTAGGAAAAATAATCAAACAATAATAACAGTAACAATGATAATCAGTAATAGCAATAATAATAATAATAATAATAATAATTAGGAATAATAATCAAAATAATAATAATAATAACAGTAACAATAATAATCAGTAATAATCGTAATAAAAATAATTAATTTAACAATTAAATTAATAATTTAATTATTTCAATTAATCATTAAATTTAATTAAAATTAATAATTTTCTAATGTAATACATTTTTTTTTTTAATCGAACTATTTTAAGGAAATATTTAAAATTAAAAAAATTTACTTTTTTTTTAACACTGTAAACATGCTGCTCAATGTATATAATAAATAGATATATTTTATGTGCATTAGATTTTCATATCACATTAAATATGAGTTTAAATAGCTTACGAGATGAGTTTTACGTAATTAGGTCAATTTAAATTACTGATGGCAGATGAGAGCAATTCATAACTTTGATAAAGTGTTGTTCAAATAATATGGTCCCACATAGTATTACATAAGTGAAGGTGGGCGGAGAGGGGGGGGGGATTTGTTTATTTTACGATCGATTGCAATTTAATCGAAAATTTACATTATAACATTATTTAATAATTCTACTGACACAATTATTATTCGATTCATTTATAAAGTCGATTTAAATTATAAAGCTTAACAATATTATATTGTGAATTTTCTCTAATAATTATTTACACATTAAATAGCATATATTAATAATAATGTATACAATATTAATAAAAAAAAAAGATTAATGACAGCTTAATAAAAATTTATTTCATTTTATTTAAAAAAAAAAAAAAAGGTGCTTATTATAATGCGAGGAAGAAAATAATAATTTGTTGTACATTCCTTGAAATAAAGTATATCGATACAAGAAGTTAACTTTGTTTTTTTGTTTATGTTTAATTTTTTTTTTGTGAAATAAAATTTACTAAGTTTTTTTTTGAGAGAGAGAAGAAAAGAAACATTTTTCGAGAAATGCGGTTCTCCACTTGGAAATTAAATTACAGTAATATTTTAATGGGAAAGTAATCTCTGAGAGCGAAATACAGAAAATTGTGAAGTTTTCTTCAAAAGTCAGACGCGCCACTTCAAATAGAGGACATTCTCATCCTCTCTCTTGTGAAAAGTTATAAAAAGTTTGTTAGAAGATGTTACTTTCAGCGTCTGCTCTAATATCTCAATAATGAGAAAAATCGTTAAGAACTTTGGTTATATGATAAAAGTTATCAGTTATATATATATTTGTGTTAAAAGAAAGAAAAACATTTAATCTAATTGTAAAAAAAAATATTACCAATATTTTCCAAAAAAAAAAAAATTAAATTAAATTTATTAGAAATTAAAAATTTTTATTCAAAATTATTTAAAAATATTTAATTATTTATTTATTCTTTAATGTTTTTATTTTATTTTAAACTTTTCTACTTTGTGTGAATATTTTATTAATTAATTAAAATTCTCTTTTTTCTGCTCTTTTCAAACTTAATTATTGAATAATTTGATGAACTGGATAACAGAGTTGCAAATCACTTTATATCGTTAGTCTTCTTGTCGAGACAATTAATTATATCTTCATCGTTTGAAGAAAGAGCGAGAAAATAAAATTCAAGGAATTCTGTCAAAAAATGAATCGCCATTTTTGAAAAATAAAATATTCATTTTTAATTATATTTAATTATTTATCTAATCTATAACACCTAAGAGTAAATTAATTAATTATTATTATTAATTAAATAATAATTTCTTAAATTAAACTTCCTCTTAAAAAGAAGAAGATAAATTCATTGCAAAAAAAAAGTAGAAAATAAAATATGATAAAAATTAATAAATATATTTTTATAAATATTAATAATTATATTTTTTTTAATATTAATAAATATTTGAAAGAAAATTTTTAATTAATTATTTTTATAATAAAATCCCCTTCTATTTATATAACAAAATTTTTAATTAAAATTATTATTATTTTTCAAATTTGTCAAATATACTTGTTTAATTTAATTTCAATTAGAAAATAAATTTGTGAAATATTTCTTAGAATTCTAGTTTCCTTCTCAATTATCGCAAAATACCATGCATTCCTCAGTGTCGTTGGGGAGAAATGTATAAAGTCGAAAAGGATCTTTTTCCTTGCGCATAGTATTAGGTGCAACAAAACGATTTGCTTTTTGTGTGTGTGTATATATATATAGATAAACTCGTAGTAGAAATAAGACATGGAAACTACAGTTTTTTTTCAAACGAGCTAGTGAATGTCTTTCTTTGAAACGTGACGAAACTTTAAACGTATCTTCTTTCCTGGAAATAAAAGTTTGTCTTCTTGTTTCGACAATTTTTTTTTCTTTTTTTCTTTTATTGTTCTTACTTTCGTTAAAAATCTCTGATTCACATTTACAATACCGATTTTAAGAAATATTTATTTTTTTTTATTTTATTTACTAATTTTTCTTTTATTTTCTTTTATTTTTGTTAAAATTTTTTTTTCCTGTCAATGAAGAAACGTTCTGGTTTTTGCTTCTTTTATATAGAAATTCAAGCGAAGAAAAAGAAAAAGTCTTCCTCATTCTTGATTTTGTTCAGTATCTATTCATCGTAAATGTTTCATCACATGCGGTACTTTGAGAAGCATTTCAAGTGGTTTCTTAAATAATAAAGCAATTGATGCATATATACATATATGTACAGTTCGGATCTAGTCTCTGGGAGAAATTTTATTACGATAAACTCGAACCATCACGAGTAAAATTACACGTTTTAATTTTGTATGCAAGTATATATATATATATATATATATATATATATATATATTCATAAATAATGGCATGTATTTTCACATATTGTGTATATATGACATAAACGACACGTAGAAAAGTGAATGAGCACGCAAATTAGTACACAGTATACGTAATACTCCAATTCATCATTATATGCACTCATTGCATATCTCATGAGAAAAATGAATTGTTTTCATGTTTTTCTTTCGAAAATTGCGTGTAACTCTACAGGAAAATTATATTGCATTAGTAAATGTCTCAATTTTCATATTAAAGATCCTGTCATTTAGATAAAAAAAAAAATTTTGTAGGAAAATTAGAATTAGAAAAAATAATTGGAAAAATTTTTTCCGACTGAAACTAATTTTTACTACTGATACAAAATTAGAAGAATTTGAAAACGATTTGTCTGACTAAAATTGACTTTTACTACTGCGATTCAAAAATTATAAAAAATTATTATTACAAAAATTATGTCTGAGTAAAAACTAATTTTTCCTACTGATAACAAGGAAGAAATTTTTTTCTTACTTTTTGTCTGACTAAAACCAACTTTAATCACTGATAATAAAGGATTTTGTCCTTTTTTGGCTGACTTAAACAAATTTACTACTTGTACAATAAAAAAAACTTCTTTTTCAAAATTGTCTGACAATAGTTGACCTTTACTACTTAAAAAAATTAAATTATTTTTCTTTCGCTAAAACTGTGATGAAAATTTTTCCACTCTGTCTGACTTAAATTTTTTTTTTCTACTGATTACAAAGCAGTAAAAATATTTATTGCTTGTCTGACTAAAATTGCCTTTTACTACTTATAGAAAATCTATGAAGTTATAATTTTTTGTCTAATAAAAAGAGCTTTTCATTACTTGCACAAAAATTACTGGAAATGATTGTCTGACTATTACTACTGATAACAAATTACTTTATTCATAGTTTTTTTTTCTGATTAAAACTGATTTTTACTACTAATAAGAAAATGCAAAAATTCATTACATTTTGACTGACTAAAACTGATTTTTACTACTGTGACAGTAAAATTACAATACTTAGTTCTGTCTGACAAAATCTACTTTGTACTACTGATATCAAACTATGAAAATTTTCTAATCTTTCTTTCTAACTTAATTTCATATTTACTACTGCAATACTAAAAATAGCAACTTTTTGGTACTACAAAAAAAAAAAATTCTGAAATATTTTTGAAAGTGACAAAAAAATTTATTTTTTATTGCTGACGTTGCAAAGGAAAATAATTCAGGAAAATGTTGTCTGACTGCAACTGTATTTTACTACTTTTTAGAAAAACAAGAATTCGTAATGAAATTTGAGTAGGAATGAAAATTGTCATTTTTTAGAAATTCATAATTGTATATGATACAAATATCATAAAAATTTCAAAGAATTAAAAATTATTTTTTCTCACTAAAAAGTAAAACAAAAAACTATTAGTTTTAACAAAATTAAAAGAATTTAAAACATCATGTCTGACTAAAACTCACATTTATTACTTCTAATATTTAAATTGCCCAAATTTTTAACTAACAAAATGTAAATTTTATAATTTGAATTTTTTTTTCACACTTTATAAGAAAATTTCTACTTTTTAATTATGTTTTGTCTGACTGTAACCGTCTTTTACTACTGCGACGAAATTTGCAAGCGAGAAAATTATGTCTGACTACAACTGTGTTTTACTACTGACACTAAAATTATAAGAATTCGAAAGGAATGATTGCAATTAAATTCAATGACATAAATTTACGATCCTTTGTCTGAGTATAAATGACTTTTACTACTTATAAAGAAAATTACAAGAATTTATAAAAAAAAATTTCTTTTATATTTCAAAAATAAATTTAAAAAAAAAATATATGAAAAACAAAAAATATATTTTTTATTATATTTTCATTGTTGACATTATTTTTCCACATAGAAAATAATATTCGAATATTATTTTTGAATTATTTTTTCTGTTTTTTTTTTTTCAATTTTAGATGGAGGTCAAACAAAGGATATTGAATGAATGCTGCGAAGGTTATACAATAGAAGAGGTTCACGTTAAAGTTGACACAGAAACAAAATGTGTACCATTTTGCGAAAAGTGTGTCGAAGGCGAGTGCACTTCACCTAACAATTGTCTATGCAAACCTGGTTATCATGGAAGCGACTGCTCTTATGGTAAGTAAAAATTCCTAAGAAAATTTCAAAAATAAAAATATTCCCTCTAACTTTTTCACCCTTTAAATTCAATTCTTTTCATTTTGACACAAAGCAACAAATTTTTTTCACTTTAAAAAAATTTTTTTTTAAAAAAGTAGTAAAATTTAACTAATTCAAAAGCAAAAATAAACTAATTTAAATTAGTTGAAATTTTCACTAATTCAAATTTAAAGAGAATATTATTATTTTCTCTATTGATTTCAGTTTAATAAATATTTAAAAAGATGATAAAAAAAAAAACGTTACAAAATTTATATATCTCGTTAAAAATTTTTTTTATCGCAGTACTTGTGTGTTATCTATTATTACATCATCGATTAAGAACACACGTTAAAAGTTGTGAAAACATTAAAAAAGAAATACTTTCGCAAAGATTTCCAAGATCATAATAAACCTGAGAAATAAAATAAAAAATGAAAGTCAGGGATTTTCTCATTTTTTTTTTTTTTTTTTTGATGACATTGCGATAATAATATAGTATTTTTAATATATGTATAATACAAGAAATTACAACGTAATATAATATTTATCTATATTATTGAGCAAAACCGATAATAATTATTGTATAACAAATATGAAAAATTGTAATGAAATATATAATTTTCATAATTTTTCAGAGTGCCAGCCAGGAACATGGGGAAAGTATTGTATGCAAGAATGTAATTGTACGCGGGAAAGTGCGTGTAATCCAGTAAATGGCAAATGCGAATGTCCGCCTGGATGGCAGGGAATTAGGTAATTTTTTTAAATTCCAATTGAAATTTAAAATTTATAAATAATAACAAATATTTTATGGTGACTTTTATCATTGCGCGTGTTTTTTCAATTAAATTTGATAACATTATTTTCATATAGTCACTTGGGAAATTATTTATTGCAACAATTTTTTTCTTTTTTTTTACATATTTTCGAAAGTTTTTTTATTTGCAACAAAATTATGAGTGTAATATTAAGTTTCTAATTTCAAAAATTAATTTTTTTTATTGTACCACTATTTTTTAATAGCTATATAAGGAGCTATTTTCTCTTTTTTTAATTTTTCATTTTAATTTTTGGAAAATTTTTGTTTTAACTGATACTATATTTTTTTCTATGTGTAAAAAAAAATGAAGATGTGAGGATAAATGCCCTCCTGGTCGATGGGGACTTTATTGTGGCTTCACATGCTCTTGCACAGATCAACTGTCCGGTTGTCATCATGAAACTGGCGAGTGCTTTGACCTTGAATCATACGATCCAGTGCCCACTGTTAAAGAGTGGACACTTAGTGAGTTAACACCTTCTTCCGGAGCAACAACCGACATTTCTTCCCCTCTTTATTCTGAACCGGAAAACAACACTGACTTTATTGATGTGACAAACGCTGATGATTTTGGTGACGCCAATCAAGATGATTTTCAAATTATCAGGATATCAAGTACCACTGAGGGGGCGGAAAGTAATTTCTCCTTTTTTTTTACTATATATATTACACAACTAATTTTTTTAAACAAAATTTACTTTTTATTTATTGAAACTTGTATTAAATTTTTGATAACAATTTGATACTTTAAAATTAACTACAGATTTTTAAATTATAAATTGTTTCTTTTTTATGAAAAAAAAAAGTTAAATTAATTCAACATTTGTAAGAAAAAATTTAATTTTTAATGACTTCTATACGCAGATGATTCAATGAAAACATTGACAAGTACAGAAAGTCAGACGTCATCATATTTTTCATCAATTGAAAATTACACGTACGATTCAACGCGACGACCTCAGGCAATATCGACCACTTATCAAACAACGCAGGTACCACTGCCAACTGAAATTTTCCCAAAGAAAAGTTCAATATTGACGACCAATACTGGACAAGTACACATTTTCGAGGAAACCCGCATGAACGTTGAATCTGACTTGAATGTTAAACATGGCATTGGCTCCACCGATCAATTCGAAATTGACCCACAAGTTGTCATGTCGCCCAAGACAGACTATGTCAAAAATGTTAGAAAAGGTAACAAAAAAAAAGAAAAAAAATTTAATTTAATCATTTTTTTAAACTTACAATTAAATTTAATTTATTTTATTTCATTCATCAATTTAAATTAATTTTAAATTCATTATTTGATAAATAATTATTCAGTATTTGTAGTTGTCATTTTGATGATGTAACTCAATTGTTACCGTTGGTTACAAATGGTAACACTCGTTTATCTTAACAATAGTAGCGCTTATCAACGTTTCAGTTAAATAGCGTTACTTTTAATTAATCCATTGGTTCTGAATAATAAGAAAAAAGTAAATTGAACCATCAATTTATGGTACCATTAGTTTGCTGGTACTAATAGTTAATGGTAACAATATTCAATGGTACTAATATAAAATGTCATCATTGACTGCATTAGTAATTAATGGTACCAATACTCAATGGTACCAGTAGTTAATAGTACTAATACTCAATGGTAGCAATAGGTACCGAAAGTACCATTAGTTGCAGGTACCAGTTGTTAATGGTACCAGTAGTTAGTGATACCAGTATTTAATTGTACCAATTAGTACAAATGGTACCATTATTTGTGGTACCAATAGTTTATGATACCCCCAGTTAATGGTACCAATAGTTAGTGGTACCAATTGTACCATTATTTGTATTACCAATAGTTTATGATACCACTAGTTAATGGTACCAATAGATGCTGGTAGTAATACATAATGGTACCAATTGGTAGCAATAGATGCTTGTACCAATACATAATGGTACCAATTGGTACCTTAGGTGCTGGTACCAATACATAATAGTACCAGTACTGGCTGGCGCCAAAACTTAATAGTACCAGTATTTAATGGTATCATTAGTTGTGGTACCAATAGTTTATGATACCACTAGTTGATGGTACCAGTATTGAAAGTATTAACAGATACCAATGGTACCATTAGTTGCAGGTACCAGTTGTTAATGGTACCAGTAGTTAGTGGTACCAGTATTTAATGGTATAAATTGGTACAAATGGTACCATTATTTGTGGTACCAATAGTTTATGATACCACTAGTTAATGGTACCAATAGTTAGTGTTACCAGTATTTAATGGTACCAATTGGTACCAATGGTACCATTATTTGTAGTACCAATAGTTTATGATACAACTAGTTAATAGTACCAATAGATGATGGTAGCAATACATAATGGTACCAATTGGTACCAATATATGCTTGTACTAATACATAATGTTACCAATTGGTACCAATAGGTGCTGGTATCCATACATAATGGTACCAGTAGTTGTTGGTATCAGTAGTTAATATTACTAAGATCCAATGGTACTAGTATTTAATGGTACCAATAGGTACCAATGGTACCATTATTTGTTGCACCAGTAGGTAATCATATAATTAATTAATAGTACCGGTATTTGCTTGTGCCAATACTTAATGGTACCAGTATTTAATGGTACCAAAAGGTACAAATAGCAACATTAGTTGATGGTACCAGTAGTTAATAGCACTAAAATTGAATGGTACCAATAGGTACCAATAATACCATTAGTTTTTAGTACCAGTAGTTAATGGTACCATTAGTTGCTGGTACCAGTAGTTCCTTGTTCCAATATTTAATGGTACCATTAGTTGTTGGTACCATTAGTTAATATTATTAAGACTCAATGATACCAGTATTTAATGGTACCATTATTTGTGGTACAAGTAATTTATCGAATAAATTGTTAATGGTACCATTAGTCGCTGATACCAGTAGTTAATGGTACCATTAGTGATGGTACCAATTATATTAATTTACTGATAGGTGTTACCATAAATTAATGGTACCATCAGTTGAATAAACTATTGTTTTACCCATTTCCTAAACTATACGATACACTTATCAAATTTATAATGATTTTCTCTAATTCAATATTTAATAATTAATTTCAATTTCCCTTGTTGGCTGATAATAATCTAATCTCATTAAAATGCATATATATGTCTGCTGATCAACTAATAATTATTATAGTGTTCAGTCGTATATATAGAGAGAATAATAAATGTATTTTGCAATTAAATAATAATTTTTGTTATTTATATATGCATAGAGAAAATTCACTTAACTCCATCATCCCTAAAACACTTTGTGTGGTCGTATATCATATTGTGTGAACTCGATAAATATAAGATCCCATCTTGCTTCACCCTGCTCTACATATTTCTCACATACAATCAAGTACACGCTACATTCTACTGTCGTGCATTTCACAATATATATATATATATATATATATATATATATATATAGTTACAGTTTCCTTTTAGTTTAAATCGTACAACAACGTATATAACAAAGTTACATTTTATATTCCCATGCCCTTTCAAAGTTCTTTTGGCTGACAATAATTCACAAATACTGAAAGCAAACACTAATTCTCGTGTCATTCTTACAATTTTTTTCCCCTCTTTTTTATTTTTATCATAGTCATTGTTTCATTTTTTTTTATTGTTTGTTTCATTGTTATAGTCAAATTCAATCATTTTATTTTTATTTAAAAGCGTTAATTAAAATTATAAGTACAGAATTCAATTTATTAGTCGTAGGATTTTTTTAAAATTCTAATTGGAAATTGTTAACTTTTGAATTTTAATATAAAATCAAGAGGCTATTCATTAGATAGCATTTAAAAAAAAAAAAAAAAAAAATTTCCCCGTGACAAAAAAAACTACCTATATTGAAAATTTCAATTGAAGAGAATACAAATCGGATACGAAATTGATGGGATTTCCAGTTGTTTTTGAAGTGAAAGATAGTCCCTCTATTCAGGATAAAATTGCTCTCACTTCCTTTGGGCAAAAAAATAAAATGGTGCATTCAATGAAAAATACTTTGCAATAAAAAGCAGGAAGTGAATGCTATTCAAAGAATTTCATTTTACAATCAATTTGAAAAAATTGTTCCTCGATAATTTAGTTATACGTGTGTATTAATTAAACTATATAATTATATATTATAATTAAAATACTAATTTAATTAAATTGACCTTATTATCCCAAATAGGCTAATCTTCTTTTTTTTGTCTATTTTAATTATATATAAGAAAGAAATATATTTTGAATTTCATTCCATTAATGGATAATTTGAAATTAATTAATTGAACGAGCAGTTCAATTGAGGAGCAAATTTTCAAAACTTGATAAATCCATTTTTCAAAAAAATGGAGACAACCATATATTTAATATTTTAAGGACCTCACAAATCGATCTGTCACTGTTAAATTTAAGGAAAAAAATTTATTAATTACAAATTTTGAATTTAAAAACTTATTGACATAACCAAGATGATTTACAATTTGTATGTTTTATATTAGAAAAAATTACCAAAACCTGTAAATCACTCAATTATGACAAAGTTCAATTAGAAACATAACGTATTGAATATAAAAACATTGTTATAGAAATAAATTATTATAAATTTTTTATTTTAAAATTAACTCTAGTGGTTATGTGTGGAAAGTCATTTGTTTAAATTTCTCGAAATAAAAAAATATGGATTTATCAGGTTTTGAAAACTTGCTCCTCAATTTATTAGTTATAATAAGTGAATTTATTAAGAGAAAATAAATTAAATTATTTATTTATAAATTTATTATAAAAAAAATTTACGTTTATAAATTCAATATAAATAAGTAAAAAAAACACAGTGCATTTCTCTTTTTTATATAAAAATAAAAAAAGGGGAAATTTTACCAAAGTATACATGAATATAACTTGTTTACAGAAAGTTCCTCGCCTGTGTCTCCATTGCCAATGGACATCGCGGCTCTTATCATAATTGGGTCTATAATTTCATTAGGCCTGACATCAATAGCGGCACTGATGATATTCCACATGAGAGCCAAATTGCTCGACGCAGTTCGTTTATCGATTTTCAATGACGAAAAAGTGAATTTCTCGGGAATTGAAAAGGGAAATGTTGAGAAAATTTCAACAATTCACACAACGACACTTCCACGTAAGCATTTATTATATTTCGTAAGTGAAAAAAAATAATATAAAAATATTATTTTAAGAATATTTAAATTTCACGATTATAAATTTTTAATTAATTACACGATTTCTTTAAATAAGGAAATTTTATTTAAATGCAAACTGGAATTATATTATTTATTTTTTTTTTGTTACATAAAACTGAAATCAATTTAAGAATTTAATTTTTTGCTTTATTGTTAATTAATTCATTGGTTTTTTTTTAATTTATATCTTAATTTGATTTTTAGAAAATAATGAAAAATGAATTTGAAATTTCAAAATAAAATTTCAATACTAAAAAATTGAAAGAAAAAGTCAAAGAAATTTAATAGGGAAATGAATTGGCGAGTAATATTTAATGTTTGTGTAATTTAAGGTACATTGAGTCGAAATGATTCGACATTTAATATGAATACTGAACCTAAAGCGATCTTGACCTTAGACGAAACGGGAAATGAATATGCAAACGGAACAGTCACTATTGGTATTCGTCTTTCGAGTAATCTCAGAGGCAAGTTTTTTTCTTTTTTTTCCAAAATGGAAAAATTAATTTTCAAATTTTTTTCTATAATTTTTCATAAAATATTGAGAACAAATTAATCAGTCAGCAAAAATATGTCGTATTTTTCAATAACAAAATTGTTTTAAAAAAAAAAAAAAAACAAGAAAATTTTGTTATCAACTTATTTTTAGTTTTTTTAAAAATTAAATTAAATTTTAATGAAAGATATTAATTTTATTTATTAATTTACAAGTCTGTTTTATGTTTTGCATAAATTTTAATATAAATTTTTTTTTTATTTACATTAATAAATAAAAATGTACACGTGGCAAAAATTTTACACTTAGTGTAAATATTGAATAAATAAATAAATTTTACCGTCAGGATATGAACACAAATTGTATAAATAAATAACGAGAGTTCCACTGTAATTTTAATTAAAAATTCAAAACTGAACGCGAGGAATTTTGAAATTAATGACAAGGTCTGTTTATTCTTGTTAATCTGGAAAATACAGAATTCAGTTAGAATTATTGTCGTTATTTTCAACGTTTAATATCATTTTCTCTTTTGATATTTTTTAATAGATAATGAAAATAATTTCAATTCATGTTTCAAAATGACAATTTTTTAATTTCATTTATTTATTATTTTTTTTATTTATTTTTATTTTCATTTTTTCTTCTAAATTTGAAAAATTAATTTTTTCATTCTCTTGATTTCCACTTTTTGTTATTATTAATTAATTTATTATTTATTTATTATTATTAAAATTTATTTATTTATTTAAATTTATATATCTTTATTAAAAATTGTATATATATATTTAGATTTTAGTTTTGGATTTAAAATTTCGATATTAACTATTTCATTGAGATTAAAAATAGAAATAAAGATAAAATTTGTTTTTTTATTAATAAAGTTATAAATGTCGGACTAATTTTTTTCTGCTTCTTCCTGTTGGCAGAACTTCTGGAGAGCCAATACGATAGACCAGCATCATTCTGTCATCGTGGCGCCAGTCAAACGGAAATGGAACATGTATACGATGAGATTCCACTTGCGTCGCCTTTTTGCATCAGCAAAGATACGTAACTTTATCAATTACACTGATACAGTCAGTATAGATAAAACAATTAAAATCCCCCTGTGAAATATTTAACTACGTTTAGACAACGTAAGACTATTCGCATCTCAATAAAAAAAAAATAAAATAATTTAAGATAATGCAAACGAGATTGAGAAATCTGTACAAAAAATTTATAATTATATTTATTATAATTATAATTTATAATTAATTATATATATATTTCCGAACATATTGGGTGTAATAAAAAAAAAAATACCGAAATATTTGGAAATTATTCCAATAAAACCAAAACAGTGACAGCGGTGGGATTTTTCTCTCAATGAGATAAATGTGATTCCAAATAAATAAATTTGATTATAATTATAATTTATAATTAATTATATATATATTTCCGATCATATTCGGTATATTAAAAAAAAATACCGAAATATTTGCCATAAGGAAATTATTGTTCCAATAAAACCAAAATAGTGACAGCGGTGGGATTTTTCTCTCAATGAGATAAATGTGATTCCAAATAAATAAATTTGATTATAATTATAATTTATAATTAATTATATATATATTTCCTGTCATATTTGGTATATTAAAAAAAAAATACCGAAATATTTGCCATAAGGAAATTATTGTTCCAATAAAACCAAAACAGTGACAGAGGTGGGATTTGATTTTTGACGAATAAAACCAAAAATAAATTTAAAATAACATTCTAAAATAAAAGAGGAAATGAAAATTGAAAGAAAAGTAAAAAGACTGAAAGAAAATCGTAAAAGAACTAAAATGGAAGAGTGAAACCAAAAAAATCATCAAAAGAAAGGAAAAGAAAGATCAAAGAAAGATGAAAGAAATAAAAGAGGATAAAAAGAACAATCTTGTAAGAAATAAAAATCATCACGGAAGGAAGAAAAATAAAATCTCCAAATACATATAAAAAGATCGTGGTTCAGGAAAAGTCGCGCAAAGGATGCTGAATACTCAACAAGGATTTATTTATATATATATATATGGAATAAATTTAACACGACGACGAAGACGACGACGCTCTAAGATGTTACGATAAAAGAAAAGAAGTAGAGCAAAGTGCATCGCGTGGCGCCTTATGCGCACGGATATCGATGGAAAAGTCACAACCTATTCGCGACCATAAAGTTTGCCACACGGACGTTCTCCACTTTACTCTTCGCGAGACTATATATATAGTATACAAAAACAACATTAAAACTATCGATCTTTGTTTCTCTGCTGAGACTCTAGTATAGATTACCCAATACGTCAATCGCAATCTGCCGATCGATCGTGAGAAAATTTTCGGTAGATTGCAAATAGTTGCTTCCAATGTGATGCCAGTTTAATGTTACATGTTACTTTTTTTTCGCATAAGAAAAAAAAATGCGAAAAGAATTTTTCAATCAATAAATCATTGCTACTCAATATTCAATATCAATACTCAAATTTGAATCAATATATTAAATTGTACTTATAATATACATGGAATTTAGTTCGTCGATAAAATTTGCATTTTTTTAAAATGAAAAATAGTTTCAAATCTATTTTATCAGCAATCGGTAAAACAGATGGTTTTTTTTTTACTCAGTTTCAAATCTATTGTATCAGCAATCGGTAAAACAGATGGTTTTTTTTGTCAATAAACGAGATTTTAATATTAAAATTATTTGTAAATTTTTATTGATTTAAATCTAAACAATAAAATTGATTAGCAATGATTAAATTGATATAAATCGATATAAAAATATAGAATAATCGAAATTTCAAAATTTCACAAGAGAAAATCACTAAAGAATAATAGATATTTGTAGTATAGATACTAATTGCATTTTATCATTATTTAAATTATCGTTATGTAGTAAATTAATTTGTGGCATTATTTTATAATCTCGTTATCAGTCAGTATATATAGTTAAATATTACCACATTTTTTTATTATTATTATTATTATTATTATTATTAGTAACATTTGATCTTTATCTCAAGCCAATGAAAGTATGTGCCCTTGTACCAAAGTTCTCGGTATTACTCCATTTATTGCTTACGAGAGTAATTAAAGTAAATAATTTATATTAGAATAACATTCCTTGTAATACGAATTTTCCATAAGAATTTTTGATTTTAATATAAGACATATGTTATTTTAATAAGACTTTTTATATTAATAAGACATTATATAATTATAGGTCATTATATATTAATAGAATATTATATATTAAGTCATATTATTTTTCAAAACATTAAAAAACATATATTTTAATAAGACTTTTATTATAAGACTTTATGATTGTATTTTTTTTTTTTTAATTTGAGACATTTTTTTCTAGTTGTCAATTTAATTCCATAGATTTATTATATTATACAAATTTACTATAATTTATAGTAAAAAATACTATAACGAAAATTCAAAAACGAACAATTTTTTTATTTTAAAAAATTGTACCAAAGAAAAATTTTTATCAGTAAAATTGGACTATACAAATAGTACTATAATATATTATACGAAACATCATAGTAGAAATTATTATAGTACAATTTTACTATAATTACACAAGAAAAATTTTACTACAATATAAATTTTTTACGGTACAATATTGTTCAGTGCTGAAAAAAATATAAAAAAATTTGCCATATACTAGAATTTTACTGAAATTATGAATGAACTGCACCATGTATAGTAGAAATTCAATTTATATATAGTAGAAAATTACTATAAAAATACATTACATTAAAATGTTACTACAAGACAAATTTACAACAGACAAAAAAGATTATAAAAATCTAATGTAGTAAAAAATTACTACAAAAAATTATTTTAACAAAAATTTATTTCCATAAAATTTAACTATAATAAATTAATTACAGTGAAACTTATAAATAAAAATTTACTACAATGATAATTGACTATAAAAAATTAATTGTTGTAAAAAAATATGAATAAAAATTTACAACAGTGAAAATTGACTAAAAAAATTAATTACAGTTAAAAAATTATTAATAAAAATTTAGTTCATTAAAAATTAACTATAAAAAATTATTTACAGTAAAAAAATTATTTTTAAAAATTTATTTCAGTAACAATTGATTAAAAAAAAATTATTTACAGCAATGAATTATAAACAAAAATAAACAGTCTAAAAATCACAAATTACAATTACAGTATTATAGTCAATTATTAAGTTATAAATTACGATAATTTGAACAATAAAAAAAAAAAAATATCCATAAATACTTGATTAAAATAAAATATATAATTGACGTTTAGGAAAAACCATCTTATATTGTATTATCTCTTTAATTTCGAAGAATAATAAATTGTAAAAGAATATACTTTTCTCACGAAATCATTTATCAAACAACAAGCTTCTCACAAATGACTTTTCGATTATCGCATCTCAAAATGTATTTTATATACCGCAATATCTTCTTTCGTAAGATCTTTATATATACTTAGTTTTAAATATGTTTATGATTTTATGTAATTTTCTCATATAATTTTAAATGCATTTAATTTACAAAACTTAAGGAAAAACGTATTTTATGATCAATCAAAACTAATCTTGTATACATGATCTTATAAAGTGTGCAAGTTCTGTTCATAAAATGAATAGTATGTAGAAAATATTTTTGCCCGTTGTGCAATTATATGCGCCACTATATATATATATAAATACATACACACGAGTATTTTTGTAATAATAGTGTTCTGATATTGCGATGAAAAAAAAAAAAAAATGTAGTCTGATCAGAAAAGAAAGTATAACTCTTATAAATTGAAAAGTCAACTTTCAATTATATATATTATATATATTAATAGAAGTTAATTAGGGATTTTAAAAATTACCTCTTTTTCATGCCACGCTTTTACTTCCGGACTGATACATAAATATACGAAATTAATTTTTAAAAAGAATAAATTACTTGTAAATTAGAAGTAGTCGGTTAAAAATATTTTTTCTTTTTTTTATATTTTGAAACTGATATAACGAGGACAGACGATGATTGCGTGTGTGTGGGAGTTAATAAGTCACTTTCATTTATAATAAATATATGTATGAGTAATTTAGAAAATATTATTTTACTATATTTATAATTTCATTATATTGTATATTCGTGAGTGCGAATGATTTGTTCTATTATATATTGCCATTTATTATATATATATACATTTGTTATATTTACGCCGTGCTTACAATATTTTTTTAAGCAAAAGTTGTAATTTTTCGTCAATAATAATGAGATTTTTTTTTTTGAAATAAAAAGTAAAAAATGTTTCAAGTTATTTTTACGTATTTTTTTTTCTATTCTCATAGTGAAAATTCTCATTCGAATTCGAAAGAAATGATAATTTACAAAAAAAAAAAGAATACAATGAAAAAAAAATTTATTTTATTCAAGTAATTAGTTACTTGACTATTACATATTTACTTAAATAATAATAAATATTGACTTGAACAAAATAAGTTTTATTCAGTGTATTAATTAGTAAAAAAAATTATTAACATAATTATTAAATTATTGTATAATTCCTGAAACTTACACGGAAAAAAATCTGAAACAGACCACTTGGAAAGATTCCCCGGGTAAGTGCCCCCTAGAGGTTCTATTAGAATTCCGTCTGAATTCCATTGGAGTTCCAAAGAATTTCCGATGGGATTCCGACGGAATTAGGACTCTAAAAATTTTGAAAAAATTAATCGAAATTCCGTCGGAAGTTCCGGCGGAATTCTGATAGAACCTCCAGGTGGCACTTTCCGGGGAATCTTTACAAGTGGGAGCGATAAATTTCACTGGAACAGCGAAAGTTCTCGCTATTCTAGAGAAACATATCGCTATTCTAGATAAAGATTTTTTTCCATGTATATTTCATATTTAGAACGAAAAATTGTGATGCAATATTATTCCATAATATTATCAAGATGAATTAATTTTCATTGAAAAATGAAATATGAATGACTAATAAAACAGTGAATCACAGTTTTTGTATATAGGATTAAAAAAATGTATATTACTTATCATAAAACAAGACCCAAGGTCGCCTTCGTCAACATCCGCATGGAGTATGAGATCATAGACTTTTATAATGATTCAAGATTATTTAAATACCCGAGAGCCTTTACCTAATTTAAACTACTCCGATTATTATTATCTTTAGAAACAAATATTTTATCAATTTTTTCTTACAAATAAGAAACATTTTTTTTTATCAACTTTAAATATAATTTTACAATTAATAGTATAAAATAATTATTAAAGAAAAAAATCTTTTATAAAATTATTTCATAAAATTATTTTATTTTATAAAATTTTAATTCCTGGTAATAATTTAAAAAAAAAAATATATATATATATATATTAATAAACATTTCGTAACTTTTGACCCTAGATATATGAAACTGGTCCATCAGTTCGGATAAATTATAAATGCACGATGATGTTGACACACAAAACGAATATATCTTGGAAATTGTGAGGAAATCTTGTAAATAACAAGTTGACCTCCAGTGGTCTTTTAACATTTAAATTATCTGCAAAACATTGCGCTTAGTAGTCAATGATAATTCTTCGTATCAGCATGAGGGATCGGATGCTGCATGTTTTATTGTTTTTGGCATTAACAGCCACGACATGTTTCGCTCAAGGTGTAAAAGGTGGATATCATTCTTCACCATCTGAAGCATTAGTTTCATTTCCTGCTAAAGAAAGTGGCACGTGTTACAAAAGAGTACCGTAAGTTTAAAAAAAAATCCTATTCATTAGAATTGAACATTAATTTACGTTCATTATTAGAGGAATTAACGATATTAATTGAGAAAAATTAATTATATTAATTAAATAAATTACGAAGGAATATAAATTAATAATATGTTAATAATTAAATTACTTTTATTAATGTAATAATTTAATTACTGTGATTTTAATATTTCATTTCACTATCTGTGATTACTGACAGAAATTTCTAAGGTCAAAGATAAAATTAAAAGCCAGATTAACACGAATTTGTACAATATTTCCATAAACTGGATAAAATTTCTTTGATCCTTTTTAACCAAAATGTTTTTTGTTTTTTTTTTATTAATTTTTTTTTCTTTTTATCAAAAGCGATAAATATTTATCACTTAGAAAGCTTAGAGGATAATAAAAATAATTTTTAGATATATTTATAGAGTGACTAAATAATATTTTTTTTTTATCATTTAGAGAATTAAATCTTAATTTTATTTGGCAAAAAATGTAAATATTATAAAGTGAAATGTGAAATATAAAATAAATAAAGTGAAAATAGTTTTTAAAATTTTCAACCTGATTTAACGTTAATTCCAAACTTGTATTTTATAATTCAGATACACTCAAGCTTTAGCAGCTAATATATCAAATGGCTACATTCAGACAGTACCTGGTACCCAGACTTCACAGCAGGGTTTCAAGTCAGTAAGTATCTTAATCACATAAGCTTTCAGAGACCGTGTTTGGCAAACCACAATTGGATTTTCCACCACCACTATATACATATATATATATATATATATTGTGGAACTTAAATGCAAATGTCATATAAATAAATTTTATTCTCACCTTCCTTATGCAGTTTAATTCAATTATAACGTATAGCAATAATTTCTATAATAATGTTTCTTTATTAAATTATTTTGAAAAGGATTAAAACACAAAAAAAATTTATCGGAATCAATTTGTTTTATTCCAAAACTGAATTTTTTTAAATCCTTTTTGGAATCCTGTTATTTTTGAATCAATTCGTTTCTGAATCTAAACGTCATGATTCTAAAATTATTTTAAAAGAATAATTAAAATTCAGCTCACAGTTAACTTGAAGGTAAAAAATTGATATCAAAATAGGTATAACAAATTGTTGAGATGTAACGTTTTCATCCGCTAAATGGGATCAATTTGATATCTTCAATGATGCTTCGAAAGAAACTGGATTTTATATCGAAAAGAATTTTTTTACTAATGCATAAAAATTTACAATTCTGATAGATACTGTTTGTCTCGAAAACAAATTTTCCGAATACCTTGTATAATATTTACAAATTTTCTAATTACACTAATTTTTATTTAAAAATAAATATATATAAATTTACTAAAAAAAAAAAAATTATGCATAATTTCTGATTCATTAGAACATAATAAATTTTTTTTTTTTATTTCGCATGTAATTATAATTTTTTCTATTAATAATTATTCAGAATTTATAATTAAAATAATAAATGAAAATTAATAAAAAAAAAAATTTTTCAGGGACGTATAAATATAATAACAATAATAGATTGTTGCGATGGTTTTACACGTAACAGTGAAACTGGAGAATGTGAAACACATTGTGATGAGGGTTGTTTTGGTGGTATTTGTACTGGACCAAATATTTGTACCTGTGACACTGGTTATATAGCGCAAGTTGGAATATGTACACCTGTATGTACAAGACCATGTCCATTTAATTCAATATGTCATGGACCAGATGAATGTAAATGCAACGATGGTTATATCAAGGAAAATGGTGAATGTAAAGCTGAATGTCCAAATGGTTGTAGAAATGGCGATTGTATTTCACCTAAAGTTTGTCAATGTAAACATGGTTTTACATTAAATAAAGAACTCAATGAATGTTTTCCCGTTTGTGAAGGTGGATGTCCACATGGCGATTGTGTTGGTCCTGCATTTTGCCGTTGCTATCCAGGGTAAATATTCTTATTAATATAAGCAGAAACCCTAATAACACAAGATATCTTGGGATATATTGATAATATCCCGCAGATATCCTAGGGATGTCCTATGGATATCAAAAGGATCTCTTAAGGATATCCAAAAAATCGGCGGTTTGGATATCTCTATAGACTTTCATAAATGTCCTCCAGATATCCCATAGATATCGTCAGGATATCCCACAGATATTTTCAGGATATTCTCAGTAATTATTAACTAATTTTTTTCTCATTCGTGATTCATTCCTTTATTCATATGCTTAATATTGTCAGAAAATAAATTGGTTTTAAACAATATAAATTCTTCCCCGCAAATAACGAATAACTATTAATATTAATTATACATTAAGTGCATGAGTTTATTTAAAAACTTTGAAAAAATGCGTTTCAAATCTTCATTTAAAATAAATTAGAAGCTCATAAGATTTTTGTTTTTATTATATTATTATTCATTATATTAGCTTAACAATTTTAACCTTTAAAAATATATGTTGAGATATTAAATATCCCGTGAATATCCTAAAAATATCCCACGGACATCCTGAGGATATCCCATGGATATCCTGCGATATAATATCCAATAGATATTTTGTGGATGTCTTAGGGATATCATGTGGATATCCTATGGATGTCCTGTTGATGTCCCACAGACCGGCGGTTTGGATATCCTAGGGATGTCCTATGGATATCCCAAGATATCCTGGGGACCATTCTAGGATATCGACCATTGATATTGATATCCTATGGATATCCCAAGATATCCTGGGGACCATTCTAGGATATCGACTATTGATATCCTATGGATATCCTAGGGATATCCTTTTGTTATGAGGGAAAAATACAAAAGGAAATTTTTTACTTCAATTTCGAAGTTTTTAGGGTTTTGTGGCTAAGGCCTAAAAGCCAAGGTAACAGTTACCATAGCAGCCGTTTCCATGACAATAGTTACCTAGAAACCACTCCAATCACAGAAAATTAAAAGGCATTAAAATAAGCTGCAACGCTTATTATTTTAATCAAATTTTGATTATTTTAATCTATTTTGGTAATAAAATAAGCAACATTGGATTAAAATAATAAGCGTTGCAGCTTATTTTAATACCTTATAATTTTCTGTGATGTCAACCGTTGCCATGGTAAACGTTACCTTATCAGGCCACGAAACCCTGTAATGGAGACGCTATGTTTCTATTTTTAAGTTGTGAATTATTACCCCAATTTACCAGTAGTAAACGAAATTAAGATAATTGTCCCAGTTTCTAGCCATATTAAGAGTGGTAAGACCCAAAACCTTAATTGTATTCCAACTTTTAAATCGTGGTGGCTAACTTTTGGGTTGTACCAATCTTAAGATGATCAGAAACTGTGAAATTCACCTTATACTGGTAAAATTAGATGAAATTCCACAACGTTTAATTCATCAGAAAATTTTAATTCACAGATACGAGAATGCTCCGGGGGATTTGGAGATTTGTGTTCCACAATGTCCAAAGGGTTGTTTCGGTGGAACATGTCTGGTGCCAGGATTATGTAAATGTGAGGAGGGTTATAATTTGGTATGGAATAACACGTGTGAGGCAATTTGTAAGGATGGTTGTGAAAATGGACGATGCATCACACCGGACAAATGTTCCTGTAATTCGGGATTTTATCTTGATGATGTCACGCAAAAATGCGTTAGTTCCATTAATGAACAATATGGTCAAAGAGTGACTGTACTTCAACAGGAAAGTGGAAATTATGGGAATTTGGGTCGTGCACAAAATAGAGAGAACGATCAACAAACAAATGTTCCATTTAGACAAATACCTGGTCGATATAATCAACAATCAGGTGTTCGTGGTCAACAATTGGGAAATTATCAAGAGTCTGGTCAACAATCAATGAATTTGGATCAGCAAACAGTGAGTTTTGGACAATATGGTAGCGAAAATCATGGTCAACATTTGGATAGTTATAATCAACAATCTGGTAGTCGTGGTCAACAATCAGTTAATTTGGATCAACAAACAGTGACTTTTGGACAACATAGTAGCGAAAATCATGGTCAACATTTGGGTAGTTTTAATCAACAGTCTGGTAGTCGTGGTCAACAATCCGGAACTTATGGCCAACAATCCGGAACTTATGGTCAACAATCCGGAAGCTATGACCAACAATCCGGAAGCTATGGTCAACAATCCGGAAGCTATGGCCAACAATCCGGAAGCTATGGTCAACAATCCGGAAGCTATGGCCAACAAACCGGAACTTATGGCCAACAATCCGGAAGCTATGGCCAACAATCCGGAAGCTATGGTCAACAATCCGGAACTTATGGTCAAGAATCTGTTAATTCTGGTCAAAATTTGGGAAGTTCTAATCAGCACGCAGGTCACTATAGGCGTGGTCATCAAGAGGCCGATGATTTTGAGGGTCAAGTTAGTCAACAGACAAATTTGGAGGTTGAAAATTTCCGTGTTGGTGGTTGTAATAAGCAATGTATTAATGGTGATTGTTTAGAAAATAAGTGCCTATGTCGTCGAGGTTATATGCTTGACTCAACAGATCCAACCGAGAGTAGATGTATTCCCATTTGTTATGGAGGATGTAGAAATGGAGTTTGCACAGCACCCAACGTTTGTTTATGTAATGCTGGCTATGAAAGAGATCGCAGCATTAAGGGCAGGTCCCATTGTATTTTAATTACGTATTAATTTAATATATTATATTTTGTACAATTATAATTATTTCTATATTAATAATATTATTAATCATAATTAATTCGTTATATTTATTCCTATTGTTATTTATTATTATTAAATTCCATTAAAATATTCTATAAATTATGCTAAATTATTATTGATTTTATATTCTTAATTGAAAATAAAAAAAAAATAATCAAAGTTGGATTTTTTAAGTTGTTTAAATAAAAGAGAAAAAAAAAATTGTATTTTTTTTTTATTATATTTCATCGTTTTTACTGATGAAATTTCCCCAAACTTATCTCATTTCCTCTACGTCAGAAAGGTTGAGCAATATATTAAGATTTAAAGGAAATTTGCGGTTAAGTTTTATATTTTATCTTTATTAAACTAAGTTTTTTTGGTAAAAAAAAAAGTATTCCAACAATTTGAAATTTATTTTTCTCAACATTATATTTTAATTGCAACTACAAACACAATAACCAATAGAAGGCAAAATCAGTTGGAATTTAATTTAATAAATTGCGCTTGGTTTGAGTAATAATAATAATAATAATAATAATAATAAAATAAAAACATATCGTTTGATAAACCGAAATTAAAGTTCATTTCATTAAAAAAATTTCCTCTGAAGTATAATTTTTTTTTAGATAAATCATAAAAAATAACACGTGCTATTAAATTATATTATTTAAAATTTTGTTGTCTATGAAAATAAATAAAAATGTGTTCTATTAACAAAAAAAATGATTATTTATTTAAATGCAAAACCATTTTTCCTAATAATATCAGGTATTTGTTAATAAAATTATAAAATTTGTTACATACACACTTAACTATTTGTAATTGATGTTTAAATAAATGAAAAAAAAAATGCTGAACAAGATTGTGTTTTGTTTTTTTAAAAATATTTTTAAACATTTCTTTGTCTAAATTTTTATTTTGTCAGTTAAATTGTTTATTTCAATTGTTGTAAATTAAAATATTGATCTTGTAAAAAAAAGGGAGAAAATATTTTTCAAAAAAAGGTGGAATACCTTTCATATGGAATTTTTGTAGGAATTACCCATGTTTACTTTGAAGCTGTTATTCAAATAAGAGTGAAAATAACCTCTGATAAATATTTTATCGCAAAATATTAAGAGATTCTTTTATATATACTTTAGTATATTCTATATACGAGGGATTAAATGTAAATTGTGTCTTGTGAAGTAATCATGGAGCATTTTATTATTGTGCTGCTAACATTTATTGTTATAAATTTTAGTGATGCTTCTTTAAAACCATCTACTCCGGATTCAATTTGTAAAGGAGTGTACAGGTATGTTTTTTAAGTGAATAAAGTATTATTAAATTCAATGCTGCTTTTTTATGCCCAATTTCATATAAATATAAAATAAATATAAATATAAAAATCAATGAAAATTAATGAAAAAAAATTTTTAAATCATTAATGAAAATAAAAAATTTTAATAAGATTTTCTTTACTACAATTCAAAATTTTTGATAGGGTCAGCCGGGGTAAATCCGAACGCTAATTATTTCAGCTTAATTAAAATTTTAAAAAATAAGTTAGACATGAGAATTTTTACCTTAGATCCTCTTCAAGAAATTCTAAGTATTATCCCATTTTTCGTTTGTTAATTAGCAACAGCATAAACAAAGATAACGAGTATTGCAAAAAAGATTGAAAATCAAAGATGACACTCTTTCAGTATTTTGTCTCGTATTTGAAGAAAAAGAAGCTAAAAATTCATTTTATTACTTATAATTGTTTGTTATGAATACTAGAATAGAAACTATTTTTGATTTTTGCCTTCTGTAAAATTTTATTAATAATATCAGACCGTTCGTATTTACCCCGGAAAATTGGAAAACCGGGGTCAATCCGAACGGTATTTTCAATCATTTTTTCTTATATCAGAGCCACACAAAATTGTTTTTATTTGATTAAACTATTATTTTAACTATATAAAAGTACATAGAAAAAAGTTTTTCTTTCTATATGTATCCTCGTTAGTAATTAATAAGCAGAAACTTAATCTCTGTTCTCTCGAAGGAGTGTTCCACTTTTTTTGCCAAATGGTTTGTTGAAAAAAGTTTTTAAGGATCTTAATAAAATTTGGTATTCTAGGGTTTTTGTGGTCGCTGATTACCAATGTGACGTCAGTTTTTCAAAATTCAAAATGGCGGATCCAATATGGCGGACGAGAATTAAAAAATTCATTGGATTTGCTCGAAAATTGTTACTCGGGGGGTTTCAGGGTCGCAGATTACGAATTTGGAGTTAGCAAATTTGATCATTTTTAAAAATAAGTTTTAGGAAAGTCCGACATATTGAATACGCCATTTTGAATTTAAAAAATTTGACTTTTATTTTTGTATTTACATTGAAACACTCGAAAATACTTTCTGTACCAAGTTTTGCAAAAATCCGTTATGATTTGATAAAGTTATTGAAGGTTTTAATTGTGTAATGCATTTTAATTTTTAACCTGTTTGATTTTTGTATTTATATATGATGCATTATTACATAATAGGTTTATTATCGTATTTTTTTGTGTTTTTATATAAGTTTAACAATTGCAATATTTTAAATTTATTTTCTCTAAGATTTTTCTGAAATACACTGGCGTTTGTATTTACCCCGGTATTTTAGGAAAGTTGTAAAGTATCGAGGTAAATACGAACGCTAAGTTTCCTGCGATTGTAATTTATCAAAAAATTTTTGCTACCCCATAAAATTGTTATATGGAAGTAAAGTAACAACTTCATGCACCAGAATACCGGAAGTATTGTCTTTTAAAAGAAAAAACCTTATGTTATTGTTGAAACTTACTAAAAGCGTTCGGATTTACCCCGGCTGACCCTAATGTTTTTAATTAATTAACTCTTATTTTAGTGCAAAGAAATACAAATGGAATCATAATTTTGATTTTTTATTGACTACTGAACGTTTGCTTCGAAAAAATTTGCAATATGAAATAGTTTGGCATTCATTTGAAAAATGTTGTCCAGGATATAATGAAAATAATTCAGTGTGTCAACCAATGTGTTTAAAACCATGTGAAAATGGTGAATGCTATAAACCAAATGAATGCCGTTGTCATTTGGGTTATACGAAAAATAATATTTCCGAAAGTGAAAATATTTGTTATCCAAATTGCAAGAATGATTGTTTAAATGGAAAATGTGTAAAACCTGACATTTGTCAATGCGATAGAGGCTATAAACTTAAAGCTGATAATATTACATGTGAACCACATTGTAATATTTTGTGTCCAAAAAATTCATATTGCATTGATTCAGATAAATGTAAATGCTATCCATCGTATGATATGACAAAAGATGAGAATGGAACATTGTTTTGTTCACCAATTTGTGGACAAAAGTGTATCAATAGTGATTGTATTGCTCCCGATGTTTGTCAATGTAAAGATGGATATTTTAAAGATGAAGATGATACTTTTGTATGCTATCCAAAATGTAATAATTTATGTCTTAATGGCTATTGTTCTAAACCAAATGTTTGTGCCTGTTATGATGGTGATAAATTATCTGATGATGGTTATACATGTCAGCCTGTTTGTAATGAAACTTGTATTAATGGCGTAAATATCTATTTTTATTATTATTACATTGAAAAAAATATGCTATTGAATCAATAGCATTTATGTTAAAGATATAAAAATTATTGATTAAAAGGAATATATGCTATAAAATTTTTTAAAAATATTTTATAGATTTTATAGCATATTCATTTGAATTAATAATTTTTATACCTTTGGAAGAAATGCCGAAAAAATAATCAATTTTTATATTATTTATTAAATTGTTACTTATTACATGGAAAAAAAATATAAAGTAACTTTTACTAATTACAAGATAAAACTTAAATTTTTTTTTCATTATATAATTTTAACTGATTAATTTTAGAATTGCACTGCTCCAAATAAATGCACTTGCAATGAGGGCTACAAGAAAACAAATTTAACAAATGTTTGTGAACCGATTTGTGAAAAAAATTGCATAAATGGTCATTGCAATGGTACTGATATTTGCATTTGCAATAAAGGTTATCTGATGAGTAACAATTCAAAATGTGAACCTGTTTGTACTGAAAAATGCATCAATGCTGTAGTTATATTGATAATATTACTTTTAATATTTATTTTTACAAGATATAAAATTATTTTTTTTCACATTCATTTTATATGAACAATTAGATTCGATTATTTTTTGTTTTAATAATTTGTAATTAACTCCCGAGAATTAAATAAATAATAAATTGTTTTTGTTATTTTAGACGTGCACAGCACCAGAAACTTGTACTTGTAAAGAAGGTTTTAGAAAACATGATTTTATGGACCATTATTGTAAACCAAAGTGTATAACATCTTGTAAAAATGGTTATTGTAGAGAAGATCAGCATCATTGCATTTGTAATGAAGGTTATGATATTCATAAGAATGGTGAATGTGAATTAATTTCTTGCTCCCCAGAATGTAAAAATGGGGTGGGTATAAAGAAATTGTTTACTTAGTCGATAAATTGGAAATTAAATAAATAAATTATTTACAGAATTGCGTATCTCATGACTATTGTTCCTGCTCTTATGGATGGACCGGAAGAAGCTGCGGAGTACCTCATAAGTGTGCTGCAATTTTTGATGATAAATTTGATAGGTAATTACAGTTATTAACAAATGTTTACGGAAAAAATTTACTGCGATAACGAAAAAAAAAATTATTGTTTATTTATTATAGTTTTAATGGTACTGTAAACAATGAAACAAGAATAGAACCAAAATGGAAAGGTCCAATATGCAACAAAAATTGTTTAAATTTCAATACCACTGATAAGCACTGTCTGCCATTTCAATTTGATAACACAATAAGAATGTTATGTCTTCTCGATTTAGGTACTAAATATTAAAAATTATATTAAAATAAGATTAAATAAAAAGAAAATTAAAATAGAAAAAATTAAAAATTTGCAATTCGTATTTTTAAAGACAATTCTATTTTTAGACAAAAAAAAATATAAAAAAAAAATATTTACTTAATTTGAAATATGATTTTGTAAATTGATATTTTTTTTTAAATTACAGATGTAGAATGCAATATTAACTCATTAGAAGCCAGTGGAAAAAATACTAGCTCAATTGTATGGTCCACAAGCAAATACGTAATTTACGTTATAATTGGATCAATGATATTAATTTTTATGTTTTTAATTATTCGACGACTTAAAGGACAACAAGGATCAAAAAGTAATTATACCTATATATATTTTTTTATGATTTCTATTATTCTATGTATTTATATATTTCTCTGATTATTTATTGAAAACAAAAAAATATCAAAAATTTGCAAAATTAAAATTAAAAATGCATTAAAATAATGAAAAAATTTTTTAATGCAAATTATTACAAATAATATTGTAATCAAATACAAAAAAAACAAGAAATTAATATTAACAATTTACAGTAATCAATAATAATTATTCTTTTAACAGAATGGCAATTAAAATCACATGATAATGATGAAACTTGTCTCTTGGAAGAACAAATTAGATAAAAATTGATGATTTATGAAGATTTATTATTATTTTATTATTAATACTATTATTATAAATATTATAATAATTGTTTATTAGCTGTTAAGATCAAAACTATTTTTTTTGTAAAATTACTTTTAAAAATAGTATTATTTTGTAAATAATTGAAATATTAAACTGTAATTTTTAAATAATTTATACGTAAAAAATTCGAAATAAAATAGTTTTTTATAAAAAGAAAATATATATTCTTACATTCATTTTCTTTTTATTTTATTTTAGGTTTTATTCACTATTATTCTTTGTTAGTTATTTTATATTTAATCTATTAATAATAATTAATATTTAATTAATTATTATTTAATAATAATGAATAATTAATAAATAATTAATTTAATATTATTTAATATCTTAATATTTTTTTACTAATAATATATTTATGATTATTTATAATAATTGTTTATTATTGATTTAATTATTGATTTAATAATAAAAGAAATGTATTTTTATTGATATTATGAAAATGAATGCGATTTTATTTGAATATAAAAGAAATATAAAGAATATTATAAGAAGGACTTCCCCATATGAATTGTTTTGTTTTGTAGATATTACTCATACTCAGACAATATATCCTGTGATAAATATTTTATCTCAAACTGATGTGAGAAAAGAAAATCTCTTATATTGTATTTAGTATTCAGTGCACAGTGATTGAATGTAAATTGTCTTCCTAAGAAATCATGAAAGATTTTATTATTATTTTTGTGTTTATTAAAATTTTTATTATAAATCTAAGTAATGCTTCATTAACTCGAACTACTTGGGAATCTGTTTGTAATTCGGAGTACAGGTATATTTTTTACTCAACTTTTCGGAAAGCCAAATATTTTATTATTCTCATTAAAAATTCTTAATTTACATTTTTATTTAAGAAAAAAAAATTTTTTTTTTGATTCTAAATAATTATTTATTTTAAAAACAGATATAATTTTTTTTTTAATAGCACCAGGGAATATAAAATGGTTCCTTACGAGGAAACGTATAAGCAAAAAGTATTTGGTGTTTTCTACAAAATAAAAACGCGAATTAATTATCGAAAAGAGGTATGTTTATAGTTTACAACTATCAAATTGATACTAAATCGATCTAAATTTTTTGATATACTTTTTTGTATGAAACAGTGATTTTTTTTTAATTTAAATAAACGTTTACTTGACTATTATAAAATATATATTTTTACTTGAACCAAATAATTTTTGAAACCAAATAACTGAACTGTATATAATACTTTTTGTATTTCAAACGAATACCACTTAAATAATAATTATTTTATTTATTTGATAATAGTCAAGTAAACGATTATTAGCGAATCAAATTTTTTTTCACTGTATCAATTTTATAGTTTCTTTTTAATTTGAATTTAAAATTTACCCACTTGGAAAGATTCCCCGGAATTCCGCCGGAACTTCCAACGTAATTCCATCGGAGTTCCAAAGAATTTCCGATGGGATTCCGACGGAATTCTGACGGAATTCCGATCATTTTTTTTCAAAATTTTTAGAGTCCGAATTCCCGTCGGAATCCCATCGGAAATTCTTTGGAACTCCGATGGAATTCCGACGGAATTACGTTGGAAGTTCCGGCGGAATTCTGATAGATCCTTCAGGGGGCACTTTCCGGGGAATCTTTCCAAGTGGGTAAATAATACAGAATTAAATAAAAAAAATTATTCATATAAATTTCAGTATCACATTGTTTGGCATACATATGAAAAATGTTGTCCAGGTTATTTTGAATATGATTCAGTGTGTCAACCAGTGTGTCAAAAATCATGTGAAAATGGTGAATGCCATAAACCAAATGAATGCCGCTGTAATTTAGGCTATAGAAAAGAGGATTTTGTCGATAATATTTGTGTTCCAATTTGTCAAAACGATTGTATTCATGGAACATGTACAAAACCTGATATTTGCACATGTGATTCTGGCTATAGTTTAGAATCCGATGGTTTTACATGTGTACCAATTTGCGAAACATCCTGTCCAGAAAATTCATCATGTCTTGATCCCAATCGTTGTGAATGTGATCTTTCATATCATGAAAAATTCCATGAGAATGGAACAAAGTTTTGTGCACCAAATTGTGGCCAAGAATGTGTCAATGGTTTTTGTTTTGAGCCGGATGTTTGTAATTGTTACGTAGGATATTTTAAGGAACAAAAAAATTCTTTTATTTGTAATCCAAAATGTAATAATCCTTGTTCTTATGGAATTTGTACTTTCCCGGATGTTTGTACCTGTTTTGAAGGACATAAATTACTTGATGATGGTTTCACGTGTCAGCCAATTTGCAAAAATGCCTGTATCAATGGTGTAATTATTTATTTATGGAGAATTTTAAATTTCATTTATTTTTTTAATCTTAATTTTTTTTAGAATTTTAATATTTAAGTGAATTTTAATTTTAAAATCTAAGAATAAAATCTGTTTTATTATTTGTTTTTTTCTGTAAAAATAGAATTGTATTGCACCGAATATGTGCACATGTTTTGATGGATATGGTTTTACGAATGATTCTGATTCAATTTGCAAACCAATTTGCCGTTCGACGTGCGAAAATGGTCAATGTATTGCACCTGAAACATGCAAGTGTAACGATGGATATAAAATGGACAATTATTCAAATTGTGAGCCAGTTTGTTCTGATGGTTGTCACTTTGGTGTGAGTATTTTTCGTTTTTTTCAAAAATAATAATAGTCAATTTATTTATTATTTATAAAATTTTTTTTTTTTTTTAATTTTTCAATTTCAGACATGTACAACGCCGAATAATTGCACATGCTTTAAGGGCTATAAGAAAATAAATGAATCAGTCTGTGAACCAATTTGTGATAAAAATTGCGATAATGGTCGTTGTAGTGCACCAGACATTTGTATTTGCAATGAGGGTTATCGAATGAGTAACAAGTCAATGTGCGAACCGGTTTGCACTAATTCTTGCATCAATGGGGTAGATATCGAATGTGAATTATGAATTTTTTGTTGTGAATTTAATAAAAAAAAATTGTTTTATTATTATAAAATATAATTAATTTTTTTTTTACTCCAAATGGAGAAAGATATTTTTTTCAATAATTTTAATTACTATTAATATTTATAAATATTATATAATAAAAATTTTCAGAAATGTTCAGCGCCAGAAAATTGTACTTGCAATGAAGGTTTTCAAAAAAGTCAAACTTTAGCCAATTTTTGTGAATCATTGTGTAAAACAAATTGTGAAAATGGTCATTGTACTGGATTAAATTTTTGTACATGCAATGATGGCTATAAAAGAAACGAGGAATTAAATACTTGTGAACCATTTTGCAAGAAAATTTGCGAAAATGGTTATTGTAGTAGTCCTGAAATTTGTACTTGCAATGAAGGTTATCAAAAAAGCAACGAATCGAAATGTGAGCCTGTATGCTCAGAAGGTTGCAAATATGGGGTAAGTTCCATAAAAAAAATAAGAGAAGCAAACGCATGGCGTTGTAATGTTTGTAATTGATAGAATCAATATTTAGCTCGCCGAGCCAGGGTTCGTTTTGATTCCGTACACAAAAAAATAATAACAATAATAACGAGTTAATTACAAACTGAAACAAATCATTTATTTACAACGGTATTTACAGGTGACGAAAATATACAGACGTACATATAAATCGCGAAAGTCGGTTTCACACAACGATTGTCGGCGTCTATCGCGATACGTTGAGCCGCGAAATCGAGAATCTGCATCAATCTGGTAACGTCGCTTATTTGAGCCGCGCATTAACGAAATCGGCTTCAACTCACAGCGATGAGTCGTGAAATCAATTGTAATACTGCCTAAAAATCCGCGATACTCTGGTGAACCACGAGTAAAACTCGTGTTCCAATTATACAAAGAGTAAAACTCTAAGTATATCTAAAAAACGGTAAAAAAAGAGCGGAAAATCTACATTAAACTTCATGAATACAATATGAACTACGAGTAAAACTTGTAATATGAAAGCGAATGTTAACAAATATTATTAATCCCGATAAATAAACATGTACGCGTTATATCAATAATGTCCCGATTATTGATTTTTCGAGGATCAGCTGACAGGCGTGCGCACGCAAACTATAGAGCGCGAGACCGAGCGAAAAGACCCAGGCAAAGGCGCGGAATCGTTCTCCCCCACCACTGCCCAGCCGGTCGAGCGGATATAAAAGGAGGAGAATTTTTGAAATCGAGACAGAACTGAGTTTTACTCAGAGCAGTAAGGTGTAACTTAGAGTGTTACTCTTTGTTAATAGAGTTTTACTCTATAATTTATGTATGTCGAGTATTACTCGAAAGCATTTTCAAACGTTGGAATGATTTTGTTCTTTAAACATGGTATTAGATATACTTAGAGTTTTACTCTTAGTATAGGTAATCACGAGTGTTACTCGTAATTATTCAGGGTCACCGAAATTTAACACCACCACCGAGGAAAGGATCATCAACCGAGCACAAGATTTTCCAAACGGCTCCAAATACCCTGGTTGAACGCCGATCAGCAGAATTTCGCGGCTCGACCTGCATCGAAGCCGATTCTACCCCGCGGCTCAACACTTCCGATGGACGCCGGTTAAATCGAGTCTCGAGTAGATATCGCGTTTTTCCTCAAATATTAGTAGACCCTCCAGAATTTCATACTGTCTTATTCTTTTTATGTAACAAAACCGATCGCACGTTACTTCATCTATTAAAGAAGACAATGAAGCTTGATATCAGTCCGTATCCGATTAACGTAAAATGTCAAGTAATTTTATATTATATGTAAATAGTATTGTAAATAAATAAGATGTTTAGTTTGTAATCAACCGTATTATTATTTTATTTCTTTGAATCAAAAAACCCTGACTCGGCGAGCTAAATAGATTCATTTATTACAAACGTTACAAACTCGTATTCCAATTATACAAAGAGTAAAACTCGCATTCCAATTATACAAAGAGTAAAACTCTAAGTATATCTAAAAAACGGTAAAAAAAGAGCGAAAAATATACATAAAACTTCATGAATACAATATAAACCACGAGTAAAACTCGTGTTCTAATTATACAAAGAGTAAAACTCTAAGTATATATAAAAAACGGTAAAAAAAGAGCGAAAAATATACATAAAACTTCATGAATACAATATAAACCACGAGTAAAACTCGTGTTCTAATTATACAAAGAGTAAAAGTCTAAGTATATCTAAAAAACGGTAAAAAAGAGCGAAAAATCTACATTAAACTTCATTAATACAATATGAACTACGAGTAAAACTCGTTTTCCAATTATACAAAGAGTAAAACTCTAAGTATATCTAAAAAACGGTAAAAAGAACGGAAAATCTATTTTAAACTGCGCGAATACAATATTTCTTTACTATACATTAGTTACGTTACTTTACAATTCTTTACTATAGATTACGCTATTTTACATCGCGATACATTACTTTACAATTCGTTACTATACACTATTTACACATAAAACCGATATAATGTTCGACGGGTAAAACCCGACGAACGAGAGTAAAACTCTCTACAAAGATTTTCGGAGTAAAACTCCTAGTCAGGTGGGTAAGACCCTCCCAGAATCCGTGTAGCATGAGAGTGACGGTCCTCAGCGGGAGCGCAACTTATATAGCCGTTCGGTGGGCTAAGCGTACGCGAGAGAGCTTTCAGCGATGCGGCCCGCGCGGCGAAATCGGGTACTACATTGCCGTGCTCTGCGGTCGGTAACATGTTTATCGACTCACGATAATATTTAGTATCAATATTTACAGGCCGATTTCTAACTATTATTACAGCGTTACCGTTGCTAAGGAAAAAAAGTCATGGTAACAGTTTCTGTGGTAACTGTTTCCATAATAATGATTGCTATGGAAACGTCTGCTTTTTGGTTTGAAAAAGTAGTTTTATTTTGAATTTACAGATATTAGTTTACAAAGAGTAAGGCATAAATCCACTTATAAGACCTTAAACACAATAATATAATAAATGATATGCCATCGTTGATGGGTCTCGTCATTACACTATAATATGGAAACGTTTGCTATGGTGGTTAGACGGTTAGGTTACCGACTTTCGAATACTTAGGGTCGTGCGTTCGATTCTCGGCGCTTGAAGAATTTTTCTTCGTTGGATATAAAAAATGATTTAATTCTGTAAGAATTAATAAATAAATTTAATAATAAATAAATAAACAAATAATTAATGAATAACAGGTAATAAATATTTACAGGAATGCACATCACCTGAGAAATGTACATGTTTAGATGGTTACAAAAAAATGGAAAATTCCACAAATTGTGAACCAATTTGTGACAATTCTTGTGAAAATGGTCACTGTACATCGCCGGGAAATTGTACATGTAATGAGGATTATGAAAAAGATAAAAACAATAATTGTATTGTTAAATGTAAATGCACTCATGGTACTTGTCGAGAAGATAATGGATTATGCATATGTGAAGATGGTTACAAATTATCATTTGAAAATTCGACTATCTGCATTCCTATTTGTTATAATGCTTGTATAAATGGTGAATGTATTGCGCCACAAGAATGTAAATGTCATGACAACTACATTATAAATAATGATTCAAATAACAATAGTACATGTGTCAGTATATGTGGCGTGGAATGTATTCATGGATTATGTATACCAGAGCAAAAAGCATGTGATTGCTATTATGGTTGGACAGGAAGAAGTTGCGAAGTGCCTAGTAAATGTGCTGCTATTTTTGAAGATGCACTTTCTGGCGAAATGTCTGATAGGTGATTTTTTTTTTGCATATTTTATAATAAATTACAAATTATATTCATATTATTGTAAATAATTGTAAATAATTATTTATTATTATTTTTATTTATTTATTATTTATTTATTATTTTGTTATTTTAGTTTTAATGGTAGTATGGGAAATGTTACTAAAATAGAAACACAATGGAAAGGTCCAATATGCAATAAAAATTGTTTACATGTCGATGCCAATCAAACAGAATGTTTTAATCAGTCATTGATGTTTGATAACACAACAACAATGTTATGTTTTCTCAATATAGGTATTTATTTTGAAATAATTTTCTTTTTTTTATATAATATACAATTTTAATATATTTTTATTCAAATAAACAAAATATTTTATTTACAATTCAATAAGTTTAGTTGCTTTTAAAATAATTAAATAATTAATTACATAAGATGAATTAATTAATAAAGTGTAATAAGATATTAAAGAAATTATTAAAATGGGAAATTTTATTAAAATAATAAAATCATTGTTAATAGAATTAATAAAATAGGAAAATATATAAAATGGGAAATAAAAAGAATAATCGTATAATAAGAAATAAATAATCGAATATCAAATATCTAATAATTTCAATAATTTCAATAGAAAGCCAATTTACAATTTGTATTCTTATGGAATAATTCTTTAAGAATAGAGACTTATTTCAAAATAGGATATTGTTATGAGATTTTTTTTATGAACCTCAGATCTGGACTGCAATGCCCTTTCATTAGAAGACAATGGAATAAAAAGTGGTTCAATTGTATGGTCAAAGATTCAATATGGACTTTATGTCTTAATTGGATCTATAATTTTAATTGTTATGTTTTTATTCATTCGACGATACAAACAACAACAACAACAAGAATCAATAGGTGAATAGCTTTTATTATTATTTACCGCTTTCATTAATCTATTTTATATTATTTTCTGAAAAATTGTTTAATGAATATATAATAAATAATAAATAATGACTCTATCCTTTTAGTTGTATGTCGATCAAATTCATTTCTTGAAAGTGACAACTATCTCATGGATGAGCAAGAGGATTTATAATTTACGAAAATTTTTCACTATACTAATTTTATTATTATTGTAATTATTATAATTATCTACTGATATAAAACTACAATAATTTGTAAATAATTGGAATATTTTACTGTAAGTTTAAAAATAATTTGTACATATTATATATATTTAAAATTTTAAATGAAAACATTTTATTCAAAAAAAAAACTTTTATATTAAAACCACTCTATTGATTTTGAACTACTAATTATTAAGAAATAAAAAAACACAAGGACTAATGTAATTGGGTACTTAACATTATTATATAAAATAATAAAAAAAAATTCAATACAATAAATAGTAAAGATCAATTATAGTAAGACTCACTCACAATCTCTAGGGAAAGAAAATAATTCTACATAGCGACAAAAATATAGAAATTAAAATATTTTTTAAAAAAATTTGAAAATAAAAAGAATTTTAAGTGGTAAGATTCAATTTTAAGTCAGACCTAATTGGAAAAAGGATAATTTTTTTAAATACTACAAAAAATCATTATGATTATCGACAATACTGGTATATATGTGACAATAATCGAAATTATTTTTGAATAAAAAATACGATTATGGAAAAATCCCCGCAAGTAGTAAAGGTCAGTGTTTAGTCAGACACGCGTAAACAATATAAAAACTTGTTCTATTATTAAATGTAATAATATAAAATAAATTCTAGTGTCAAAATAAAATGGGGAAAAATTACAATTTTCAAAAAGATTATTTTTACATTTTATTGAAAAGTTACCAAGTAGCAAAATTTTGTATTTAGTCAGACATGAACATGTATAAAATAATATGTAACTTAATTATAATAATAGAATTTAAAAAAATGTTAAAAATTAGAAGCATATTTTACAAACAGATAATTTATACAATTGTCGAAAAAAATGTAAGTAGTAAATGTCAGTGTTCAGTCAGACATTTATATACAGTACAAATGCATAATCTATAAAAAAAATAATAAACTAAAATGTTGTACAAAAAATAAGAAAGGGGATAATTATATTTTTCAAGAAGGTTATTTAATGCAATTATCAAAAAGTTCCTAAGTAGTAAAAGTCAGTATTTAATCAGACAAATACAAATATACAATATAATATGTAATCTAATAATTATATATTAATGAAATGCTTGGTCTGTTCTTCTGTCCTCACTAAAAGTTGGTCTCTACTGATTTCACGTGTTTTTTGAATAATAATAATAATAATGATAATAATAATAATAATAATAATTATTATTATTATTATTATTATTATTATTATTATAAAATTGATTGTTCTTATTCTATTGCAATTTAGGTTCAATTGGTAGGTTTGTTTTTGGAGGTAATGTGTTGTTTGAAGGTAAAAAAAAAATAGATTCTTTCTGTTTAATTTTATTTAACTTTGTAAAGGATTTTTTTATTTTCCAGAAGAATGTTCTATCTAAAATTATTATTTAATAATAAAATGCTTGGTCTGTTCTTCTGTCCTAACTTGAAGTTGGTCCATATTGATTTTACGTGTTTTTTGAATTGTAATGTATTGACGTGTGTCAAATTTTGTAAATTACATTTCTCATTTTTGACAAAGTTGTATAATTGTGTTTTCAAATTTTGGAATTGATTTCTTTAAATTTTTTTTAATAAACATTGGAATATTTAATTTTTGCGCGCTTTTAATTTTGATAGTAATAAAATAAATTACAATGTAAAAATTTAAAACATATTTTTCAAAATGGTAATTTATATAGTTATCGATAAATTTATGAGTAGTAAAAGTCAGTGTTCAGTCAGACACGTGTATATAGTATACAATAAAAAATGTGTCTATTATTTAAATAAACTATCAATATAAATTAGATGTTGAAAAAAATGATATTCACATTTTTCCATTACTGTAATTTATGCAATTATTTTCTATTCTTTTTTTTTATTATCTATTTTCTATTATTTTAAGTAGTAAAAGTCAGTATTTAGTCAGACACATACAATAATAGATAACTTAAATATATATATATATATATATATATATATGTATATAATAAAACCGTTTACAATATAAAAAATAATGATCATATTGTTAAAAAATGAAATTAGTAATTTATAAAATTATCCAAAAACAAAAATTAAGTAGTAAAAGTCAATGTTTAATCAGACACATATAAAAAATTAAATATTTTTCAAAAAAAAAAAAGTAATTTGTACAATTATCGAATAGTTTCTAAGTAGTTAAAGGCGATATTTGGTCAGACATATTTAAATATATATATTGAAAATTGTAATGTAAAAAAATTATAAAAACGGTTAAAAATAATATTTTTTCAAATAAAAATAATTTATTTATTTATCGAAAAGTTTCAAAGTAGTAAAAGTCAATATTTAGTTAGACACAGGTATACAAATAAAAATATATAAATATATATATATAAAATGATTTTAAAAAAAAGTAAAGAAAGTAAAAAAAAATCTGAATAATAATATTTTTTCGAATAAGATAAAATAGAATTATCTATAAATTTCTAAGTAGTAAATATCAGTTTTTAGTCAGACACCTAAAGAATTTCTCATATTATTATTATTATTATTAAAAACGTTGATAAAAATGTCTAAAGAATACAAGTTTACATAAATCGTCCGTACGAAGGCGCTGATCATCAACATAGAGGTAGAGAGTGAGAGAGAGCTTTCACAATTTCGCGAGTTTCTGCGCAGAGCTTTAAAGCTCATGTCAAGTGGTGGGGGGTAAGATGTCGATGCGCCGCCGGTGGCCGGTTTCGGGGGTTGACTCGCGCCGTGGGGGCGATGAGCGCACTTCTCTTCGCCCTGAGACTGACCTGCTGCTGTTTCTGGCTGGTTTGCATCGTCTTCCTGATTCGCCCATCCTGCGGCCTGCCGGATCAGGAGCAGGTCCATCATCATCATCGACGCAATCTCAACGTGAATAATAATAATAATAATAATAATAATTTTAATAACGTTAAGAATAACAATAATAATAATAATTATAATAATAATAACAATAATAATAATAATAATAATAATAATAATGACGCCAACACCGCCGCCGCCTCCTCGTCACTATTGTCGGGTATCCTGGCCGACGTTAACGTCTACGACAACAATGACGACGATGAAGATGAGATCGATGAGGATATCCTCGCGGGAAACATTACGACAGGTTCGTGTGTGATTTTTAGAATTTTATTATTTTTTTTTTTTATTATATAATTTATAGAAAATTTTTATATAAAATTTAATATTTATTGTTTATATATTTATCTATATAATGCATTGCCCATTTGTACGTAGAGTACTAAAAATATAATAAACAATATAAATAATAGAATTAGCGAAAAAAAACAAACTATTTTGTATTGTTTTGTATAAAATTTTAATATTATTTACATTGAATATATTATTATTATAATGTTATTTTAGTTAGAAAATTTTAATTCAATTTATTTTCCGTCGTTCTAGATTAATTTTTCCCTAGGGGAGATATTTTTCGTTTTTTATTAGAAAAAAAAAGTATTTGCCTGCATTGGAAAAAATATTGTTCTCGATGATAACTAATGTTAGTTTAGAAATTAACTAATAAAAATTTTTTACTCAATTTTTTAAACAATAATAGATTTTTCCAATTTATATTTTATTTTATTATTTTATTAATAGTAATAATAATAATAATAATTTATTTCATTGTACGCCTTTTTCAAAGGCTTTTACAATTTCCTTATTACTTAAATTAATTTAATTAATTAAAATTATTATTTTATTGATCAAATTCATTTTTAAAAAAATCTATTTTATTTTCACATTTTTCACGTTTTCTTTAATTTAGTTACACTAATTTTTCATCATTTGTTTCTAAATAGAATAATTAAATAAAAATTGACATTTCTAGTTTATTTTATAATAAATAAATTTCCAAATTGTTTCAGAGATTTTTGAATCAAAAATTGATTCTATTTTGTTTTCTCTTTGGTGATAACATTGTGAGAGGGACGAGAAAGAGAGTGCATTACCCTGAGAATTTAGTTGAGATGTTTGCGTGAGCATGTTATATATATATATATATATATATATATATATATATACAAATATGGTTACTGGGCGTAAAGTGAAACACGAAACTTGTCAACAGATCGGATTTATTTGCGACAAATATAAAAAAATATATATATACAAATAGATATACGATTTGAGAAATATGTGAAAAATTAAAATTCTTAACCTCAGATTTTTATTACAACCAACTCGAATAGCAGGAATCGATAAGGGTCCTCACCCTCATTTACCGCGTGTGTTGTTCCTTTAAAGAATAAAATTTTTAATTCATTGGTGAAAAAAAATATTTTTTTTTTTTTGCCAAAAAATGATTTTTCAATTTTGCTACTTTAAAAAAAAAAAAATTATTTAGTAAAATTTGAATTAAATTTTTTTTTTTATTAGAACATTTTAATAATATAAAAATAAAACACTTATTTAAATATTAATTAAATTATATAAATAAAAAATTGGAATTGTTTTGTATACAAGATTTAATTTTTTTTTTTTTTGCTTTATTCACGTGTTGAGTAAAAATTTTATTATCTAATAATAATTACAAGTTCATGTTTATAAATTTGTGAATCAAACTATAGACTAATTGGTTGTGTAAACCGAGAAGTGTATGTTTGTCGCACAAATTACTAGTTAGAAACACTATTACACCACACACGAGGCTAATTATTCAGTATTTTGAAAATTAATGTTATATTACTAATATGAAATTTCACATTAAAATTAAATTATTCCTAATTAGCATTTAATTCATTCATAAAAAAAAATTAAGGATTTATTTTAATACAATTAAATAAATAACTGAAATTTATCATTTATTATTAATGATTGTTATTGAATTTTATTTTTTGAACAATTGAAATAAAAATTTTCTTTACGTGGCTGTTTATTTTATTTTTTTTTTTACTTGAAGAAGAGGAAAATGTAATAACTATATTCTTTTTACCAATAAATCTGAACAGGCTCATTTCATTGAATCCATATTATTCCGATATCTTAGACCTACTTGGCTCGAATTGAAACTGACGTTGAAATTTACAATAATATGAGAAAAAAATTTATCGAAAAAAATTTTTTATATTATATAATTAATTTCAAAAATTTAATTAAATTTCAAAAAATTATTTTTATGCCAATATTTATTTTTAAAAAACTGTCGGCAATTGTGTTAAATAAATAAATAAATAAAATTAATTTGAATAATAAAAATAACGAAAAAATAAATAGTAAAAAAAAAATAAAATAGAATAATATAAAAAAATAAAGAAAAATAAAATTTCAAATTTTATTTAACGTAAAAAAGTAAAGTTGAAAAAAACTAGTAAAAAAAATTGGGGGTGGGAGAGAAAATAGAAAACGTTAAAACGATCACTTGTCGGAGATATAAATGTAAGATAGAATGACTTGGACAAGTTAATACTTGATATATAACAGGAATTTAAATTTTACAACGTATAGATAAATCAGATAACAATTAGTCGATTATTTTCTTGAAATCGTAAGATCTTTCAAGGGCAGAAAACTATGTCGATCAATGTAAAATTAGACAATGTGTTATTTCCCTCATTAATTATTATAAATTAAATTTTATTCGAAAATTCAAAATTATATAAATTTTATTTACCCCCCAACCCTCCGCCCCCGCAAAAAAAATTGATTGTCCTTTTTCGTATTATTTTCAATCTGATGAATTTAATTTCATTTGATAATATCGTTGAATATCTGTGAGGCTTTCTAAATGGTAAATTGATTTTGAAACTCGAGAGAATTGAATATTTCCATTTTCAATATGAGAGATATTTTTTTCTATACTGATTTAATTATTAAAAAAAAATACTGCGTGAAAAATTAATATTGATAAAATATTAATATTAATAAATAAGAAATAATTTTTTAATAAATAAATAATTTTTATTCAATTAATGAAAAAAAAACTAAATAAAAATGGAAGAGAATGAAAAATGTATAAACTATATAAACGTAAGGATAAAAGTATTCAAGACGAAATATGAAACTAGTTATGAAACCAGTAATATTGTAAAAACTTGAGGCAAACATCGATAATTGGATGTTTGCCAAAAGTAGATTTTTATTATTTTTTTTACATTAAGATACCTAATTTTTTATTCTGTATTAAATATATTGTATATATACACGAAATTAAATTAAATATTCTATCTATTTATTTATTTTTATTATCATTATAATTATTATCTAGTTATTTATTTAATATTTAATTTTTTTTATATTCTATTTTATTAAATTTTTTAATTAAATTCAATTTAAACTAAATTTAACTAAAAATTTGTTATTTTATTAAAAGAATTCTAGAAACAATATTTTCATAACAAACAAAAAAATATATACTATAATAAACAACATTTTCCACCCCCTCGGGATTGTAAATAGAAAATTATGTTTGAAAAAAAAAATCGTATTACAGTATGCACATAATTTGTCATTCATAGAATGCAGCGCTTGCATTTATTTCAAGGGATTAATGCAGTTTGTGTGAAATTATCGATTTAAAATGAAGAAGGCTATCTCATCTATAACAAAAAGAGCTTTCTGATAGGCTAACCCAGAGAGTTGCGGACAAGTAGATAATTTGATACGGTTTCCGCAAAATTACTTCCTTCATCGACTTTTTTTTTTCTTTTATAAAATATATCCGCAATGCTAGAAATATACGAATTCTATTTATTTCCATTGGAAAATGATTTTATAATATATTTATATTTTATTTTTTAAAACTGTTAAAATTTGAAAAAAAAATTTTATTTTAATTCTTTTTTTCGGGGATAGAGAGAAAAATTGTTCGGAAAAAAGAATTGAAACAAGATTTTGTTCTTTGAAAATAGAAAACAAAAAGAAAATTTTCTAGTAGAGAAAAAAAGTTTATTGTAGAGAAAAAATTTATTAATTCTAATTCTACTTCTAATTTTACTTTTAATTCTACTTCTAATTCTACATCTAATTGTACTTCTATTTCTATTTTTGCTTCTAATTCTAATTCTTATTCTAATTCTATTTCTAATTCCAATATTAATGTAACTGAAATCAAACTTTTACTCCAAGGAGCTTTCACTGAATTTTTAATGTGGATTTTTTGTTACAAATGTAGAGCATTAAAATTCAGAAGATGAGGAAAGTTTCAGTCAGACATATATAAATTCTTATTCAGAGTGCATTAACTTTTGAAAATTTGAATCTTTCCACTTAAAAAATTTACGGGAAAAATTAGATCCAAATTTAAGCATACTTTTTTTAAATAAATATTTTCTCACATTAAAAATAAGAATCAGTAGAAAAAATACATTTAAGTCAGACAAGGGTAACTTTTTTTTCCTAAAGTACTAAATAAAAAGTAGAGTTACAATTATATTTTTAAATCCAAATTGTGTTTATTTTTTTGTCAAATAAATTTTTTAAAAATAAATTGTCGAAAATAAAAATTTAATAAAAAAAAAAAAAAACAAGTACCGTAAAATGGGGTAAAGTCGGCGTTTGGGGGTAAAGTCGGCCGGCGCTTTAAATCATTTTAAAGTTTAACTATTACTTTTTTCCAGAAGAAATCCGAGTTTTATTAAAAATGTAGTTAGAATTAATGTAAATTAATAAATGAAATACAATATTTAAGTGTTTAAAGCGCCGGCCGACTTTACCCGCAAACGCCGACTTTACCCCATTTTACGGTAGATCAAATCAATTTTTGGTCAGACAATTTATCTTATGAACAAAGAATTGTAAAAAGGAAAGTCTTTCTAAATTTTCTTTTCATATTATAATCTTCCCTTTTTTTTGTTGACAATTTTTTTTTTTTTTAATTAGCCAATGAAAAGAAAGAAAAAATGTAAATGACAACTGCGCACTTCTTAAAAAGCCGCATGAATTGTAATGAACTATATATATATATTTCAGAATTGAGTTTGCTGCGTGTTTTGTTGAGCGCAACCTACTTTACGAAGCTTTTGTCTTTAGGGAAGATCTATAGATCAATTGAGTTGTTTCAATGACTGTTACCAGTACAGAGGGAATATATATATATATAGAGAGAGAGGCAAGCGCACGTGTCTAGGTTCACCCGGAAAATATAAGAGTCGCCATTCCAGAAGGGAAAATACACGTGCAGAAAAGCCTCAGCAGTAGGCGAGAGATGTATTGATTTTAATGAATGCGACTTGGACCACGTTCTCTGTGCCATATACTATTATACTACAAAACTGTCACATAATACACACACACATACATCTATATATAAAGAAAAATACGATAAGGTCTATAAAACAAAAACAGATCCTTATTATTCTCTCGCGCTAAGCCTAAATAAATGCTGCGCTCGATGGTTAGTGGTACTTTTTATCGACCTCACAATACTCTCTCTCTCTCTCTTGAAACTATATTGGCACGATATTCCAACATTGAACGCCCTTTGACCTCTCCCTCTCTCTCTCTCTATTTCTCACATTCCGTAACCTGTAAAATTGCCAGTTCAGCTTTCTTTATTTAAGACGAGAATTTTGTTCCTCTTTAAAAAATTGCCTTTTTAATCTTTTTTTTTTAACTTCTTTTTCTGGAATAAAAGTCTTTTATTCCTGTCTGACTAAAAAGGAGCTTTACTACTGCATTAAAAATTTTAAATAATCTTTTTTTTTTGGATTTACAATGTTGATGAAAAAAAGGACAAACAGAATGTCTGACTGAAGCAAATATTTTCTACTATTTTTTCTACACTACTGTCTGACGATAACAGACAATTTTCTACTTAAATTAAATTTTAAATATTACTTCTATTTACAACGTTTATTAAAAATGTCAAGAAATAATAAATTTAATGTCTCACTACAAAAAAGGATTTTTCTATTATTTTTTTTATATCTCACCAAAGCAGCCATTTTCTACTAAATTTTGTAAATGAACAATTTTTTTTATTTTACACTGTTCGCAAAAAAAAAAAATGGCAAGGATAAAAAGGATGTCTGACTACAGAAACTTCTTTCTACTAATTTTTATATCCATGTCTGACTAAACACGAACATTTCTACTAATAATAATTTTTAAGTAATATTTTTAATTACGTTAGTTAAAAAACGTCAAGGAATGATAAATCAGATGTCTGACTGAAACAACTTTTTTTTTATTAATTTATATATCACTGTCTTACTAAAACTCTTTTTCACTATTTTTTATTTAACTGTCTGACCAAAACAGCAATTTTTCACTGAATTTTATAATTGAACTATTTTGCAATTTACACTATTGATAAAAATAGCAAAAAAAAATGATAAATAGGATGTCTGACAAAAGAAGCTTTTTTCTTCTTAATTTTTCAAAATACTAGATTTATTACAGTGTAATTAAATGACATAATCTGTTAATTAATAAATACCTAAATAAAACAGGCATTTTCTACTTATTTTCATATCGATGTCTGACTAAAACAATACTTTTCTACTAAACTTGAATATGTAATATTTTTTATTTATAACGATTATAATAGAAATTATTTCAAAAAAATGGAAATTACGATGTCTGACTATTACTGCTTTTTTTAATAAATTTTATACTCATGTCTGACTATAGCAGACTTTTTCTACTGAATTTTAGTTTTTAAAATTATTTTTCTGTACAATGTTAATAAAAATAATTACAAATATGTTTCATAAACACATTGTCGGATTAAATCACTTTTTTTCTAACTAATTTCTTATACTTATGTCTGACTAAAACTGACATTTTCTACTAAATTTTATTTTTAAATGCAAATTTCATTAATAATGTTATTAAAAGCAATTACAAAAATTTGCTAAACAATATGTCTGACTAAAATAAACTTTTCTACTAATTTTCATATTTCTGTCTGACTAAAAGAGATTTTTTCTACTGAATTTTAGTTTCTTTTCTACTAAATTTTATATTTAAATACCAATTTCATTAATATTGTTAGTAAAAGCAATTACGAAAATAAATGTCTGACTTAAAAAGTCTTTTCCCAGTGAAATCTAATTTGAAAATAAAACTCATCTATTAATACATAAAATGCAACTTGATAACAAAATTCATTGATCCGATTTTAACACTTTAATTACTATATAATGTAGAATATCGCATCGTTATTTAACAGAATATTTTGTTAACAATAATTGAAACTGTGCTTTTGCACTAAAATTACGTTTCACACTATTTTTTTTTCTCGCCAACCATATACAGAATTATTATATATATATATTTTTTTTTGACAGAAAAAATTTGATTATACGTTTGACAAAAAATAATCTGGTTTCTACTGAAACAAATGATTATATTTCATGTGTAATCTGTTTTTATAATCCGATTTAAAAAAAAAATCGTACATAAAATTAAAAAATTGAAAAATTTATATCATAAAAAGTATAACAGTATTACGAAATATTTTATTTTAGTATTGAAATCATTATATTATTAATAACGATCGCAACTAAATGTTTTATATAAATTGAAGCTTAACTTTTATCAATTTATTTATTTTTAGTAAATTTAAAAATAATTTGATTTTTACAATAAAAATATTCCTCCAAAAAAAAAAATAAATAAATAAAAATTCTTTTATTCGTATATGTAAATTTAATTCAGGAAATATAATAAATTCCTTTGAATAAAAATATTATAATTTGTGATATTAAAAAAATATCTAAATAAAAAATGAACAAAACAAAAAAAAATTGGATTCAAATAAGAAAATAAAAATAATTTTAAACAAAATTTTCTTTTTATTATAGAAAACGGCAAATACTTGGGCTCGCCATGTAACCTCACATGCAATCCATTATTACAACACGTTTTCTGTGACTCCATCACTCACAGGTGTGAGTGCGAGAAACTTTACCCTGTGCGCCTCGGGCCTAGCAAGGGATGTGCCAAACGTAAGTTCCATTCAAAACTTTGAATCTCCATTCTCTTCGAATTCTCTCATTTATAAAAAAAAAATAATAAAAAGTGGAGAGACCTTTCACTATTGTATTATTTTATTTATTATTTTACTATTGTAAAGAAAAATTGAGAAATACTATATGAAAAAAAAAATTGAAAAGAAAAGATTAAAAAAATATAAAAAAAACCCTTGCGTTATAGAATGCAAAATAGGTCGTATAAAAGAATACTTTTATTTTCCTATATATTTACATGTATATATTTTTACACATTCACATATTTATTATCCTTCATTAATTTATAATGCTTTTTCATTAAAATTATAACGAGCTGACATTGTTTTCATTTCGTTTGGTTCCCAGTGTATTGTTTAAACTTTCTAATTAATATATATTTTTTTTTTGCAAATTCTCACCGCGAGCAATTACGTCTTCTTAATTATCCACGTTAGTTGGCTAATTTTTTTTTTACTATTCTTAAACTATTAATCCTTGAATATTTTATTTAGTGACAAATTTCATTTTTTCTATTTATTTCTCTATAATAAATAAATATATATTTAATAAAATAGATTAATTAAATAGGTATTAAAACTTTTTTTTGTTGCAATTTCAGCGAAAAAACTCGGTGAACAATGTTTTTATCGAGCTAGTTGTACGTTCGCTGATCAACACTCAACGTGTACGCAAGTTCAACACAATGCAGTGTGCGATTGTGAGGAAGGATATCATAGGGTCGCCTTGTCAAGACCTAATAAGAAAGTATTTTGCGCCGAAGGTACGTTATAACCCATCTATTGTATTTTTTTTTCTCTTGTCACCATGTAGAACTAAATAAATATTTATTTGTGCCAAATGAAAATTTTATTTTTGCCAAACAAAGTTTTATTTGTGTCAATGAAAAATTATTTTTATTGAAAGCAAATAGTTATTAACAATAAACAATTTTTTTTTTATTGAAAGCAAACAGTTATTAACAATAAACAATTTTTTTTTATTGAAAGCAAACAGTTATTAACAACAAACAATTTTTTTTTTTTTATTGAAAGCAAACAGTTATTAACAATAAACGAAATTTTTTTTTATTGGAAGCAAATAGTTATTAATAAAAAAAAATTTTTTATTGGAAGCAAATAAAATACAGTTATTTAGCAATAACTAAACAAATTTTTTTTTAATAAAAGCAAGTATAGTTATTTAGCAAAAAAATTTTTTATTCAGCTCTATGACGAATATTTTTATTTAATTAAATTTTAGAAATAAAAAAGTAGTAATTTTTTTTTTTATAAAGAATCATTTTTTTTTCTCCCAAAATAAGTAAAATATTCAAACTCACATGTCCTTTGGCTAAAATGCAAATATTTACTGTTTCTTTTCTTATTTCAATTTGTATGAAACTATACATAACCTGAGGGATTAGCGGTTGTACTTCAAGATTTCATATATTCAGTAGAGAACAGTAAAAGAAAAGATATTAAAGAAATTTTTTTTTCTTTTGTTTTTTTTGTATGTTATTAAAAAACGAAAAATGTCACTCAAAATTTCAATTTAGTTTCAAATTATTTTTTTTTTACTTTATTATACACGAGGGGAAACAAAAATAATATTAAAAAATAAAAATACCCCAACCAAAAATTTCAGTATTATACCAGAGTTGACTACTGGCGCAGTACTAGTTCAGTATTGGCTGCCGAGACTGGGCAGTCTGTACTGAACCAGTACTGGTATTTTCATTGTATCCGTACTGGTGCAGTACCACTCTCCCAGTACTGGCAAACCAGTACTGAGCCAATATTGAGCCAGTACTGGCTCAAATAGATTTTCTTTTTGATTAATACTAGTTTACAAAAAGTTCTAGAGTGAACCCGATGAATTTTTTTGTTTAAATATTTTGTTCATCAAAATTTTTTCAACTTGATTTTATTTTTCAAAATTAAAATGTACTTTATTTTGCTTTTCTGTGGGTAAAATTATTTAAACAAAAAGTTTCCTGAGACCAAGTCTAAAACATTTTGCAAGATTTTCTTTTTGTTTTCAGATATGCAATAAACCAAAAAAAAAAATATTTTTAACGATCAAACTAAAAATAAATGGGACGTTCTTTGTCAACCGGACCACTTTATCTCTCCATAATTGGTTTAATTTAAAAAAAATTTTATAATATTGGAAAAATTAGCTTGGAATGTCTATTTTTTAATCCCGCTGGGCGCTTTTTGAAATTCAAAATGGCGACTTAAATATGGCGCCTAAACGACATAAAAAACACAAAAAAATCCACTAATATGATCTATATTATTGTTTAATGCTTCACATATGACGATAAAAATAACCACAACATAGTTTACTTACAAACTAATAACGTATCTCCATTCAAAATTCAAAAATTCAAAATGGCGGATTAAATATGGCGGATAAACTTAAAAATTGAGCTAGACTCGTGAAAATTACTACTTGGGGGTTTTTGAGATTGCTGATTACGAATCCAATGTTAGTTTTCGAAAATTCAAAATGGCAAATCCAATATGGCGGACAAAAATTAAAAAATTGTTTAGATTCGACTGAAACTTGTTACTCGGAGGTTTTTGGGGTCGCTGATTACGAATCCGTTGTTATTTTTCAAAAATTCAAAATGGCCGATTCAATATGGCTGACAAAAATTGAAAAATCGTGTAGATTCGATTTAAACTTGTTACACGGGGGTTTTTGAGGTCAGTGATGACGAATCCGGTGTTAGTTTTCAAATATTCAAAATGGCGGATCCAATATAATTGACAAAAATTAAAAAATCGTTTAGATTCGCCTGAAGCTTGTTACTTGGGGGTTTTTGGGGTCGCTAATTACAAATCCGTTATTAGATTTTAAAAATTCAAAATGGCAGACTTAAAATAGTAGCCCAAAATTTAAATAATTGAGTTAAACCCGTGAAATTGTTTACTCGGGGGTTTTCGGGGTCACTGATTACGAATCTGCGGTTACTTTTTAATAATTCTTAATAGTTGATTAAAAATCCAAAAAATTGAGGTAAACTCGTTAAATATATACCTAAGGGTTTTTCAGGACAATCTTTACGAATTCATTGTTACTTTTTAAAAAATCAAAATAATGAATCTAAAATGGTGGACCAAAATATAAAAAATTGATCTAACTTTTTCATATTGAACGTAAAAAGGTGCCATTTGAACTTATCAAATACAACGCCAGAAAACTTTTTATGGAAATTACGTGAGGATTGTTTAATTAATAATCACAAGACTAGCTTAATTTTTTAATTCTATCCGCCATTTTGAATTTTAAATAGAGATTTGTCATCAACTATTTAAAAATTTTTTAAAACTGACATCGGATTTGTAATCAGCGACCAAAAAAACCCCTTTGTAGACATTTTTACGAAATTAGCTCCATTTTTTAAATTTTTGGTCCGCCATATTGGATCCGTCATTTTGAATTTTAAAAAGCGCCCAACGGGATTAAAAAGTAGACATTCCAAGCTAATTTTTCCAATATTTAAAAATTTTTTTAATTTAAACCAATTATGGAGAGATGGGGTGGTCCGGCTGACAAAGAACGTCCCAAATAAATTTGTTTATAAAAAATTAATATTTTTTAAAATAAAATAAATATAAATTTAATTTAAAAAATTAAATACAATCTCAACTAAAATTGCACAAATGTTATATTATCAATAATATAAAATATATAATTAACCTTTCTTAATAGAAATTATAAAAAATAGTTAAACCTTCAAACTTATATATATATATTTCAATGGTCAATAAAATTATTGTAATTTGTTTCTGGATGTTATTTTTCAGTTTTTTTCAAAAAGTGAATTATAAAGAAAAATTTAATGTTAATTTGAAAATAATTTAAATAATTTTTTTAATAATTACCTAATTTCAGGAATTTAATATTCATTATTATATATTTGTGATGAGTTAATTTGTAAACTAATTTTGTTTTATGTAAATTAAATTGAATTCAATGTTAATTTATTTATATTTGATATAATAATTAATAAATTAAAGTGAATAATAAAATAATTATATAGTTAATTGCATAATTATATACATTATATAATTATTTTATAAACATTTTTATTTTTACTGAACTGTTTTTATAATAAACATATTTTTATATTTATTTTTTGATTTTTTTAAATAATAATTTGCAATATATATTATAAGAAAATATAAAAACTCTTGGTGTTTTCAATTTTATATATAATATAGTATTAATTAGTTAGTTGACTAATTTAATTAATATATTTAATTTGTGTTGGGTACTGCGCCAGTATTTGTCAGTACTGCGCCAGTACTGCGCCATTAGTAAATTTTTGATTGGGACCTGTTTTTAAAATAATATTAATTAATTTCAATGGAATTTATAATCCAAAAGAGATTGAAAATTTTTTTTTTTTTTTTTGTAAAATATCATTTTGGGGGGAAAATATTTTTTTAGAAAAATAATAATCGGAGCTTAACAGAGCAAAGCAGTGTCAATTGCAACGCTATGACTATATGAGTTGTAAAATTGAGTAGGAAATAGACGTTGTTATGAAGTGTGTACTCTATATTTATGCATTCTATCATCTGTGTACACCCTTCATGTGAGCAAAACAAGCAAATAGTATTGCGCCCGAGTGAGTATTATATGTCTGCCTTATAGAAGATTAGCCGTGATTATAAATTTACAGCACACATCATCTGCGATGTGTATGTATATAGAAAATGCAATAAGACAAAAGAGAAATTTTTTTTTTTTATTAATTTTTATTAATTAGGATTTATTAATTTTTTTATTAATTCATATTTATAATAATTATTATTTATTAATTAATGTTTCTAATTGTAATATTTATTAATTAATATTTATTAATTAAAATTTATAATAATTAATATTCATTGATATAAATACTTTTCACACACACATATATATATATATATATATATATATATATCAGGCGCCAAAAATAATATATCTAAAAATATTTTTATTATATTTCATTCTCGTTATCTATTACACTATTTTATTCTCCAAAAATTTTTATAAGTAGTGATAAACAATTTTAGTCAGACGGACCTTTTATGATTTTCCTATTTATAATATATAAAAGTTAGATTCAAAAAAGAAATACATTTTTTTGTTATTAAAATTTTTAAATTATATTTTTTCCACAAAACTTTTGTTTATATTGTTTTTTTTTGTAATGGATATAAAGAATCAAAAAAAAATTTGATAATATTCGAATTATTTTCCACAGATTTGGTGCTGATAAAAACGGATTTCCCGACACTTCTTGGAGTTGCAGCGGGCCTAGCAGTATTCACATTTTTAATATGCTTTGTGCTGAAATTATTCAGTTCAACAAGATACACAAGGCCGAGACATTTCGCCAATGCAAATCATGCACCACCAATGCTCTTTTCCAGTGATACAGGTGAATAATAAATAATAATAAAATAATAAAAATTATTATTATTGTTATTATTTACTTATTTTATGTTTTAACTGGATAATATTTTATAATAATAATAATAATAATAATAATAATAATAATAATAATAATAATAATAATAGTTATTATTATTATTTCCAATGGACATTGTTGTTGTTGTTACTTATTATAAAAAAATTGTAAATAAAAATCAGTTTTATAAATAATATTCTTGTTTTAAAAATAACAGTTTAATTTCTCATCATGACAATTTTTGATTAGAGATCGTAAATTTTCAGTTTATCTTACTTGAAGAAACAGTTGGCATTGCCAACCACAGGACGAATAGAGAATAATGACCGAATAATAGAACGATTTGTCTTCTTCTTACACTGAAACCCAGTGAAATGAATATATTGTGTGTGCTTGAAGATTTGTAGTAGTAGATGTAAATTTACAAGTTGAGGCAAATTGTTCGAAACTTCAATTTCTATCGCCACTGATATAGATTGTTAAAAAAAAAATTACTTAATTCATCAATGAATACAGTAATTAACATTAAAAAAAAAATTAAATTCTGCCTGACCCAAAACTCTCTTTTACTACTAAAAAATAAAAATAAAATTTTTTTCTGACCATAAGAGTTTTTTTCACTAAAAGAAAAATGACAATATTTTTATAGAATATTGTCTGAATGAAACTGCATTTTACATACTTAAAGAATAAGAATGATTAAAAATCTTCTGTCTGACTAAACAATGACTAATACTACTTAAAGAATAATTTGCAAAAAGTTTAAGACCTTCTGTCTGACTGTCAATACTTTCTACCACTTAGAGAAAAAAGTATATTTCAGTTATGTCTGACCATAACTGACTATTATTACTAATAATAAATAAGTTACAATTTTTTTTTTAATTTTTCAGTCTGACTGAATATGGATATTATTACTGAAAATAACTTATAAATTCTATTGGACAAAAAACTGTCTTTTACTACTGACAAATTGAAGAAAAAACATTTTAACACTAAGTCTGACTAATATTTTCTTTTACTACTTAAAGACAAAATGATAAAATTAGTGATGTCACAGAAAAATAAAAGCCATTAAAATAAGCTGCAACGCTTATTATTTTAATGCCTTTTTATTTTCTGTGTTGTTTTCGAGTAAAAAATTTTTTTTTCAAAATTAAAACAATATTATTGCTAATAATGATGTTTAATGGTACAATATGACAATTGTATTTAATATTAAGTTTGTAGAATTTTAATTAAAGTTTACTTACTTCACGAGTTTACTTCAATTCAAACGCAAATATTGAAATTTCATTGTTAACATAAATTCAATGCATTTCAGTTTCTGATTTGATTATGTTTGAAGTAGAGAGACAGTTGATTGTTATATATATATATATATATACATATATATTTAGAGAACAGTAAAATTATTTTGTTTCTATATTCTTTTATTAAATTGTTTAAGCATTTGTTTTGCATTAAATATTCTTAAAAAATAAATACTGAATCTTATTATTATATTCTCATCATAATGAGAAGGTAATTATTTTAATTTACTATTATATATTTAAATCTATATTTATTTCGTTATTAAAATTTAGAGTGTTTAATAAAAAGAAAATAATTTTTAAAATAATTTTAAACATTTGTTTTCATGTATAAAAAAGTGTTATTTTTTCAAATTAAATAAAATATCTAGAAATTGCATGTAAAAATTTGAAAAAAAAATTAAAATAATCTATGAAAGCGAAATCACTGAAATAAAAATTGAAAAAAGCTCTTTACCCGAAGAACTGAAAATAAGTGTACTCTTTATATATATATATATATATATATAATATTCGAAAGTTGATCAAACTTTTAAGGAATAACTTTTAACCGCAAGCAATTTAACTTTTAGAAAGCTTTCTTTCGTTTTGTTAATTTAAGATAGGTTTTTGATGTTTAAATTATGTCGTACAACAAAAAATCGCATATTCATCTCTATTCCATATTTCAAAACTAATTTATTAATTAATTATAATAATAATATAATAATGATTCAAATAATAATAATTATTGGAACATTTAGAAAAAATATTTTTTTGATTCAAAGAAATTGATTTCTTTAAATCAAAGAAATCTTTTCTCTGAGTGTAATTTTATAATAATTCTATAAATATTAATAATAATATTTTTTTAATATAGAAATCTTTTTTATCTTTATTAATTAATATTTGGGGCATTCTATTTTAAAATTATACCCCTAGTAAACAATTGACAATATAAGACATTTTTTAAATAATTATTTCTCCCATTTAATTAAATCAAATTACTTTTGCAATGAGTGGTTTCGAAAGAGAAATTTCTAAACTTTACAATTGTAAAAAAATTTTTTCAAAAAAACATTTAAATAGTATAAAAAATTTAGTTTGAAGGTTAAACTTGTAAATATCTCAAAACACGTTGTCTCCGATTTTGAAAAAATCTATGTCAAAAGAAAGCTTAAATATTCTATTTTTTATTTCCGTAAAGTTTATAATGGACATTTTCGAGAATTTCCAGAAATTAATTAAAATTCTCAGACGTTTCGGAGGTTAAAAAGGATTGAAATTTGTATGAATGGAGAACCATTTCTTTCAGAGCGGATTTTGTTTTTTAAATTTAATTTCCATTAACCTTACATTATTACATCACTTGACATTAGAGAAAAAAAATATTGTAAACAATAAATATATTGATCTTTAGCTATTTGCAATTAAAAATTTTTCAAATTAAAAAAAATTATTAAGATTAAAATTGAAGTTTTAAAATTTATTTATTTAAAAATTTCGTAAAAACAAATGCCGCTGTATTTGAACATAGGTTCTCTATTCATGCAAATTTCAACCCTTTTTAACCTTTGAAACGTCTGAGAATTTTAATTAATTTCTCGAAATCCTCGAAAATGTCCATTATAAACTTTACGGAAATAAAAAATAGAATATTTAAGCTTTCTTTTGACACAGATTTTGTCAAAATCGGAGACAACGTGTTTTGAGATATTTATAAGTTTAACCTTCAAACTAAATTTTTTATGCTACCCGTGTGGAAAAAGCCACGATCTTGCCCTCAAGAGTTCGGGGCCCCCGGCGGGGGCCCATGAGGGCTGATCCATATGGCGAATCCATGAGGGGCACCGTAGGGGCCCCGCATGGATCGCCCTCATGATCGATTAGCAAAATTTTCTAAGTCCAAAAATCAAATATTTTTTTATCACCAAAAAATTAATGTTTATAATGATTCACAACAATGAAAAACGCGTTTTTAATTAAAATATATTTTCACTTTTTTTGAAAATAACACTCACACTTATGGCGAATCCATGAGGGGCACCGTAGGGGCCCCGCATGGATCGCCCTCATGATCGATTAGCAAAATTTTCTAAGTCCAAAAATCAAATATTTTTTTATCACCAAAAAATTAATGTTTATAATGATTCAGAACCACGAAAAACGCGTTTTTAATAAAAATATATTTACACTTTTTTGAAAATAACACTCACACTTATGGCAAAATAGATGAGGGCCACCGTAGGGGCCCGCATGGATCGCCCTCATGATCGATTAGCAAAATTTTCTAAGTCCAAAAATCAAATATTTTTTTATCAACAAAAAATGAATGTTTCCAATGATTTAAAACAACGAAAAACGCGTTTTTAATAAAAATATATTTACACTTTTTTGAAAATTCGCCTGAGATGATTCATGATAATAATCATAAAGCATATAATTAATTATATTTTATAAATTGCATTTGATTGGAAAATATAATTTAATATCTTAACTTTAACTAAATGATGTTAAGCACTTTTCTTTGTTAGGTATTTTTGAAGTTTAAATAGCATCAAGAAGTTAGCATTCGTTTTGAAGTAGCGTACGTAGCGTAGTTGGTAAAGCGTTAGACTCATAGTCCGTAGGTCGTAGGTTCGATTCCCCCCATGCGTTAGATTTATTTATTTCTCAGGTTTGCGTTTAATCATTAATTCTATGTATGAATTAATTGAAAAATGAAAATATCCGTTAATAGTATGCATAAATTAAATATTTTTTAATTTTTTAATTAATTAATTTATTATTACTTTTAATTATATCCGACAGTTAATTAATTAGAACGTTAATTAATAAATTGAATTTGAGTAAGAATTTAATTTAAAATTGAATAATTATTAAATAAATATGTTATTTATTCATAACTTAAGCTTATTTATTATTAATTAACTTTTATTATTAATATTATTGATTAAAAAACATTATGGCAAACTTGAGGGCAAGATGAGGGCAAACGTGAGGGCCCATAAGGGCGCCCGTAGGGGCACCCTCATGGATCGCCCATGCGGGCGCCCTCATCGATGAGCATGTCGTTTCCATGAGGGGCCCCTATGGATCATCCATATGCGGCCCTCATGGCATGAGGGCGATCCATAAGGGCCCCCGCTGGGGGCCCACATCACTTTTCCACACGGGTAATTAAACGTTTTTTTAAAAAAAATTTTTTACAATAATAAAGTTTAGAAATTTCTCTTTCGAAACCACTCATTGCAAAAGTAATTTGATTTAATTAAATGGGAGAAATAATTATTTAAAAAATGTCTTATATTGTCAATTGTTTACTAGGGGTATAATTTTAAAATAGAATGCCCCATTTATTAATTTTTTTTTATTATTTTTTTATTATTTATTATTTATTATTATTATAATTATTATATATTATATTACTTATTATGTTTGGTAATTATTATTTTAAATACGTAAATGTAAATCTGTTTTTCTATTTATTAATTAATATTTATTAATTAATAATAGTTAATTAATTGATTAGTTAATTTAATAAATTTTGGTTTTTTTTTTTAATAAAAGGTGACGTACTTCATGGAGAACGACCATCGTCACGTTCGAGTCAAAGAAGTAGCGGTGGTACATTAAATTTCACGAGAAGGCCAAGTAGTGCAGGAAGTCGTGGTCCATTGGTTCCAGCATCCAGAGCAGGTGCGGCTCGTGCCGCCGCCATCTTGCTGATTTCATGTCATCGGCAGTCGACCAAGGGCGGCAACAAACATCGTCGAGCCCTTAGTGACGTTGCTGAGGGATCGTCAGACGGCCTCGGTAGACGAATCTCTATTCTGTGCCTCTGTCTATCTATATAAATGTCTTTCTCTGTTTTTTTTTTCAATTTTTTTTGCCACTTCCTCTGTGTCGTAAATTATTATATCAATTTCAAAATCCATATAAATTTTTCACAATTGAAATTTTACTATCAATGTTGTTATGCATCCATTATTGTTTTAAGTGTCGTATTTTTTTGTTTATTTATTTATTTATTTTTTTTTTAATTTTTCTTAAAATTAATCTTCATCAAAAACTGAATTTAAAAATGATTTTAAATTATTTTTTATTATTAAAAATAATAATTAATCATAATTTTATTATTATTTATAGTTTTTCTTTTTTTCCCTCTAATTCTAAGATTATTTATTTCATACGTATATCGTGTGTCTTTTAGCTTCCTGAATTTCAAAAATCCTGCATGAAATTTTTAATTTATTTACTATTTATTTACTATTTTTTATTTATTTTTATTTACTATTTTTTGTTTTGTTTTTTTAATTTCTTTTATAAATTTTCTTTTATTTATAAAATGATACACGTACAAGACACAATGAAAAATTATAAAATACAAAAAAAATAAATAAATAACAGAATAAATTTAATTATAATTTTTTTAAATAATTTCTTTTTTTTACATAATTCCACCAATTATTTTATTGAAAAACTATATAAAAGCAATATATTTAGGGACTATGTAATGAAAAATAAATTATTGAAATGAGCCGTGTAAATAAATCGAGAAAAAAAAAGAAATTGGATAAAAATTAATGTTTTCGAGAAACAGCAAGATGGCAGCGGCCTCCTAATTCATTTCTCAAGTAAGATTTAGCTTGTGGGATTTTCACTCGCTTTCTTGCTGCACCGACGCATGTAGAATTTATAAATTAATTTAGTTAATTAGATTAGTAATATAGAATGCTTCGTTTATAGTCTTTTTTTTCCAAAAAGTGTCCTCTTTCTAATTATTCACTTTTTTCTACTTAAAAAACTTAAATACGAAGAAATTTTTTTTTTAAATGCACTGTTATATGTATAATTTTACATTTATTTAAATTTTCTTAATATTTTTTAATCATTTTTTGAATATTTACATTATTTATTTAAATAAATTTTTTCAATTCTTTATTTGTAAATTGTTACTGAAAAAAACAGAGTAAATTATTTTTAGAATATTTACAGTGCATTTAATGAAATAAATAATTTATATCGCATGAAATTATAGAAAATAATGAACAGAATTAAATTAATAATTATAGAGGAAAAGGAGAAAAAAAGTGAAAAAATATATTATTGATAATAATGAATTAGAAGAATAGATTTAATAAATAAATAGTATTTGCATTAAAAAAAAAAAAAACAATTATAGATTATCCGCAGATTTAAAACAACGAATATGAAATAAAAAAAAGTATTTTTTATAGATTAGTTAATTAACTATATATTTTTTTAATTAATGTAATTAATTAATTAAATTTATTAATTCATAATTTCATAGAATTACAAAATATTTATTTTTATTGTAGCTTAAAAAATTATGATTTCGAAAAAAATAAATATTCAAAACAAAAAACAAGTTAATCATTTTTTTGTAAAACACTTGAATTATTTTTCATTTACAATTAAAATTTTTTTTCGATTATAATAACAAACCTTTATTGCATGAATAATAAACTATTTTTATTTTATTTATAGTTATACTTAAACACTCGCATGTAATTGGAAATTAAATTTTTAAAAAATCTGCTTTTGAATCAAATTTAAAAAAAAGGTGTAATTTCCTAATATAGAGTAAATTTTTAGAAAAAAATCAGAATAGGTAAAACAATTGGAAATAATATAATGCCATGTATTTCTCTATTTTGACTGGTATATTTAGGTTCACGTCGACCAAGTTTGGCATCACTTCACAGTACGGGTTCATCAGCGAGAAGTTTTAGCGCACGACGACTGGAACGAGAGCGAAATGATAAGGAACAAAGACAGGCTCTTCAAGAGTTGAGGTTAACGAAACAAAGGGAGCAACAACAACAACAACAACAGCAGCAGCAGCAACAACAACAAGTTGCTCCAACACCAAGTCCACGAACTCCACATTCAACAGACGAACTTTTACCATCGGTTGAAGAAGGAAAAGAACTATTTTATAATGAGGTAAACGATAATTTTTTTAGTCAACAATTTGTCTGACTGAATCTGAGTTTTACTACTTAAATGTAAATTTTAATTTTTTAAAACGTTTTGACTGACTAGAACTGATTTTTACTACTTAAATAATGCAATATTTTTACACCATCTGTCTGACAAAAACTGACATTTACTACTTGTAACAAAATTTAAGAATTATTAAAACTGTCTGACTAAAACTGACAATTAATACTTGAAAAATAATCACAAAATCTGTAGAAATTCTGTCTGACTAAAACTGGTTTTTAGTACTTAAATAATGCAATATTTTTAAATGCAATATTTTTACAAAATGTGTAAAAATTCTGTCTGACTGAAACTAACTGTGACTACTGATAAAAATTTATAATAATTAAAAATAACATGTCTGACTAAAACTGATTTCTACTACTTAAATAATGCAATATTTTCAAACTAAATGTCTGACTGAAAGTGAATTTTTCTACTTATACAAAAATTACAAAATATTCAAATTGTCTAACTAAAACTGTATTTTACTACTTAAAAATTGATGCAATAAATAAAATTGTATTGTCTGACTAAAACTAATACTACTGCAAAAAAAAATTGTGAAACTAAAAAAATAGTGACTATATGCATTTTTTTGTAATAAATAATTAATAATATTATAAATTATAAATTACAAAACTTAAAGACGTCTCGTCTGACTAAAATTTAATGTTACTACTAAATTGCCTAATTTTAAATTTTCCAACTTTCTGTCTGACTGAAATCGCCTTAAACTACTTAAAAATTAATTAAAAAATATTTTAACATTTTGTCTGACAAATCTTTCTTTTACTACTTAAAAATATATCATTTTCAAATGTGCTGTCTGACTAAAACTGATTATTGCTACTAATAAAAAAAAATTTTTTTTAATTTAAATATAGTGTTTTCTAACTAATACTAATTGTACTACTTAAAAATTAATTGTGAAAATATTTGTATAACAGTACCTGACCTTACAAAAAAAAAAATTAATTGTTTTGCCTGACTAAAATAGTCTTTTTCTACTAAAATAAAAATCACGAAATTTATTTAAATATTTCTTTCAATTTAAGTTATATTTAAAAAAAAAATTCAAAATAAATTAAAAATATTAAAAATTAAGAAAAAAATTGAGAAAAAAATAAAAATATATTTATTTGTGTAGCAAATACCAACGACTTCCGGTACTTCAGGAACGGCAAGTACAACAACGAGAACCGCTAATAATGCAGTTAAAGAAGTTACACCTGCCACCATTCCACCGTTGTTCGATAATGAAGTCGCAATCTGTATGACAAATGACATATTTCAATATGATAAATGATGATAGCCTATCGATAAAAACGAATCGAAATTTTTCAGGTAGCTTTTTCAAAAAAAAAGAAAGAAAACAAATTATAAGGTATAAAGAAGTTGCCTAGTATCAGGACATTATATATATATGATACAAAATTCGATAAAGTATACATAATAATATTAAAATAATAATTATAATAATAATAATAAAAATAACAATAAAAATAAAAGTAATAATAATAATAATAATAATAATAATAATAATAATAATGTGCGTTTCATAATTAATATGCATTAATAACTTTATGGAATGACTCACGCTGCAAATTTTTGCTCTAGTCAAAACTCACATTTTCTTTTCTTTTTTTTATTGTAACCTTTCTTTATAATTTTAATTTTTTTTTTTTTTTTTTTTTGACCTACAATTTATCAAAACAAAAAGGAATTGATAATTAATTTATTGAAAAAAAAATTTCCTAATCCTTATAAAAAAAAAAGTTCCCTAATTATAAAATTCTTTTCTAAATAATTAAAATCTTTATAATTGCAATTCTATAATTATTTTATCTGTGACAATTTTTTTTTTAAATCATGAAAAAAATGAAATAGTTATTTGCCTTGAGAAATTGTGAGATAAATATTACAGCAGCGTTCGCTGTAATGAAAAATAAAATAAAAAAAAAAAAAAAAACAAGTGAAGTAGCTAAGTCATAAGTATATTTAAAGCCGCGGTGCGCCTATTTTATATTTTTCGATTTACACAGCATGTGCATATTTTTTCTGTGATATTTCCATGTGTAAATGTGAAGAATGCATCATTTTTTGTTTTTTTCATATAATTTCAAATTTTCCCTTGTAAATTCATATATTCAAACAATATCAAAATAATTGATTTTTTTTAAATTAGAAAAAAAAAAAATTTCTTATACCCCCCCTTAAAAAAAAAAAATGAAAAGTTTTAATTTAAAAAAATTCTAATTAATCATTAATTTAATTGGCGCGAATTATATTATAAAAATTATTTATGACAACAAAAAAAATTATAAAAATAAAATGAAAAAAAATTTTCTATTAAAATTTCACGATTACAAAAGACGTGTGACATAAGATATAATTTTCTCACACTAAAATACACGATTATGTAATATATATATATATATATATATATATATATATATATATTTGTATATATATACGTAACGTGTTTATAAAACGTGTGAATAACAACTTTTAAAAAAAATCGAAACATGATTATTGCACAATTATTTTTGAGCAATGGTTGAGAATTATTGTTCAGTCAATAATAAAAAAAAATGAACAAAAAATGAAAAAAAATCCTTTCAACGAATAACAGAATCGAAAACACGAGGCTGTATATTTTACCCTTTTTAAATTACGAAATGTTTGTATATTGAAACAAATGTCATTGAATGAATCTAAAATGCTCGAAGTCCGGCGATTGAATTTTTTCCGCTCCCCGGCACCTATATATTATGATAAATAATATATATTGAGAAAAAAAACCGCGATTATATGCTGTATATCCATGTCGTGTTCCTTTCAAATTATAATTTTCGCGATATTCATATTATATTGCTCAACCTTGCCTTTCGCCACTTCCTTCCTGTATCTGTATACATACTACATATATGTATAAAATATTTTATAATCTGTAAATAATTGTTCAAAACTAGATAATCATTATGTCAATTCATTGAATTTTTTTTTCATTTAATTCATTTTTATAATTTTATTAATTTATTAACTTATTTTATTAATTTCCTTAATTTTTTTTTTTTTTGTAAAAAGAACAAGAAAATATGCATTGGTTTTAAAAATAAAAATTTTTTTTTAAATTTCAATGAGAGCGGAAATTAAAAGATAGCTCAGTGGTAAGAGTACTCTACCGACAAAGAAACGACGTTGCGTTCGAATCCTGCTACAAGAAAACAAATTTTTATTTATATTTATTTGAAAATAAATTAATTAATAGAAATTATCTAAATTTAATTTAGTAAAAGTAATTTTTACAGTGAAAAAAATACCGATTTTATTTACAAAAATAAAAAAAATAGATTATAATTATTAATTAAATGATATAATTAAATATATACATTAAATTTATAAGCTTATCATTAAAGTCTTGCTTAAAGGATTTAAAAAAAAGCATATAATATATATTCTATTTGATTGTTATAAATTGGTATATATAATGAAATTATTAATATGAAGGAATTTAAAATAGTAAGAAAATCATCTCTATGAACGTCCTCACTTCATCCTTCCTAAAAATAAATAAATGAGCATTAAAGTAAAAAATATAATACGTAATTGAGAAGTGGAACATAATTTATAAATTTAAAAAAAAATCGTTTATTATAGAAAATAAGTCTGCAAATATGGAAACCCCATTGAATCTATCCAGGCATCCATTTTTCACCCCTATTTGCCAATATGTGCCTATGGTATATTAAAATTATTTATTATATTTATCATTTATTTATTTATAAATGACAAAAAATTAATTAATATTATAATTATTACAAAATCAATTTTTTTAAATAATTGCAATTAATTATAATTATGATCAATGATTTTAATTTATCAATAAAATTCCCCTCAGATAATATAAATGAAAATTCTTCTTTCTCAGTTTTAGTGAATGTAAACAAAAAAAAAATTTTTTATACATATCAAAATAAGTCATTTCCACGTAGTATCTTTTTATATAGTCATTTTTACCTAAACAAAATATTAAATTAATATTGTTAAACATAATAATGATAAAAGTTTAATGAATGCAAAATAGCGAGAATTCCATATTTGAAGACTCCCATATAGTATAATAAAATAATATATTATAATATAATATATATATATAAAATAATCTACGAACAATATGGTTGTATCGAGGAATTCAGGTTGACTCAATCATTTAAAATTAAGAAACAAAAAATTTGAAAAAAAAATAAATTAAAAATTAAAAAAAAATAAAATAAAAATATAAAATAAGAGAAATAATAATTAAATAGATAATTAAATAATGTATAATAACAAAATTTCAATATAAAAATTATTTTAAAAAAATAATAATAAACAAAATTTTCAAATTATCAATATTTCTCATGATTATAATAATTATTATATAGTCAAGAATACTATATATTAAAATTATAGCTAATAACATTTCATAAAATGAAATGTAATAATAGTTAATAATTATTAGTTATTAAATAAATTTTAATAAATTTATTATTATTACTTCGTTAATTAAAAATTAATAACTTTTTTTTCATGATTAGATGTGCAAATTCTGGATTAAAAAAAAAATCTACAAAATTTGTAAAGTTTTTTTATTGTTATAAATTTCGAAAAATTCCAATTAGTACCTAATGTGTAATAAATAATAATAATAATAATAATAATAATAATAATAATAATAATAATTTAAGATTGAGTCAACCTTCATAATTTGATGACGATTTTTTCAAATGAACAAAATCGAATATCAATAATAATAACGTTTGTGTAATGCTGCAACGTTGCGCTGCCTTTCTCAATGAAAAAAAAGGGAAAATTACAAAGATCGTATATTAAATGCTACAATACATTTTATATAATATATACAATATACAATATATAGTATATAATATATAACATATATATATATAGATATATACATATACAAATAACCAAAATAATATAGTAACGCCTTATCTTCGTTAAAAAAAAACGGCGAAGAAACGAAGGTTTCGATGTATATTATTATTTGTAAAATCTATGTACGAAGTTATGGTTTTAACCCTTTTAAATGTTTACTGTACGATAAATTATTGTAAAATAGTCGTTGGACAAATAAAGATCGTTTTTCCTATATATAGATATTTGTTTTTTTTTTTATTTAATGGAAATTTTAAACCGTTTTTCTGACTAAAACTATCTTTTTTTACTAACAGTTTTAAAAAGCAGTTTTTTTAAAAAAAAATTACTTTTTCCTGACTAAGAATGATTTCTACTACTTAAATAGAAAATAGAAAATATTAAATTCTGTCTGATTTAAACTGACTTTGACTACTGATAAAAAATTTAATGTCTGGCATAAACTTACCTTGACTACTGTAAAAAATTTATAATAATTTAAAAACAACTTGTCTGACTGAAAATGTATTTACTACTCATTATATAATTTTTTAAAAATTCTGTGTATTGTCTGACTAAAAATGACAGTTACTACTTTAATAAAAATTAAATAATAGTGAAATATTCTGGCTGACCTTAATTGACTTTGACTACTGATAAAAAGGGGTAGTAATTTAATACCAATTGTCTGACTAAAACTGCCTTTTACTACTTAAATAATAATGTAATATTTTTAAATCATATGTCTGACTGAAAATGATTTATACTACTTTTAACAAAATTACAAAATATGAAAATAGTTTAACTGAAACTAATTATTACTACTGATAACAAATTGCAGCAAAAAAGTAAAATAAAATTTTATTGTCTGACTAATACATTCTTTTACTACTAAAATAAAAATTAGTTAATACTGTAACATTTTGTCTGACTCTAAGTGACTATTATTACTTAAAAATAGCTGCAAATAATAAAATTGCATTGTCTAACGAAAAATTTATTTTACTACTAAAATAAAAATTACTAAATTCTTCAACATTCTGTCTGACTGATATAATGACTTTTACTACTAATAATTTACTAATTAGTAACTAGTTACTCAAAAATTTCAGTAATTGTGTCTGACTGAAACTATCATTTACTACTGAAACAAAGTTATCACTTTTTAAAAAAAATTCTCTACAACTCAAATTTGTTATTATTACTAATTACAATAGTTAAAAAAAATTTGTGTCAGATTATAACTGACTGTTATTACTGAATAAAAAAAAACTTTATTAAACAAAAATAATAATTAACTACACAAGGAATAATTTTTAATTACATTTATTGACTTTTATGAAATTTGAACAATACAAAAACGGTAAAAATAAATAAATCAGTCGTGTGAAAATTTTCAAATCAAATCGCAAAGCATATTGTGCAATATTTTTATAATATCTATATGGAATTCAAAGTATAAGACTTTGAATTAAAATTTAGAAAATATTGATTTGAAACATATTTCAAAAATATGGTGCTAACATTAACAACAATTCTTTAATGGTAAACAAACTTTGATTTTCTAATACAAAGAAACAAACTTGGATTTTGTAATACAATGAAACAAATTTCGATTTTGTAATGTATAAAGAAACAAACTTTGATTTTATAATATAAAGATTTAATTTTTTTTTCTATTAAACTCTTTTTATAGAAAATCATTAAATTCTCACACATATTCGAAATACGAGTTTTTCAAAATTATTACACAAGAGAAATTTTTTTTTTTTTTTTTAAACATTCCAAAAATAAAAAATATTTCCTCAAATTTCAGTCCAATGAAATAAATTAATCACGAAAAATGTAACAAACTGTAATACAATATATAAAGATTTATTTATTTATAAATATAATATTTCTGAACATTATAATATATTTCTCAATATTTTAATATTATAAATAATTTTATTTCTCTGGACTAAATTTTTTTTATATTGTTTTGAAACAAATTTCTTCTTACGTAAATTTTATATTTTTTTATTTTCTGTTTTTGCTATTTAAAAATTTTAAATTTAGAAACAAATTCAATTTTTTTTTTCTTCTCTACTGCAAAAAATTCGTAACGAAAAATTCATTTTTATTTTGAAAAATATATGTTTTATTTTTTGTACTATTAATTTTTTATATAATGGATGGTAACATTTTTTTTTTCGCATATTAATTTCATAAAAAGAAACAATTGAAAATTTTTATTGGTCACATTGTTTTTCTATTTTAATATTTATCTGAATCAGTCTTGCAAGTAAATAAATTTTTTTCATGTATATATATATAAGCGAAATAATATTTCGAAATTTTAACGTGCAATTGAAAAATGGAAATTTAATCAACTTCCTCGATGGTTGGTCCACCGGCGGGACCAGTACCAGTTGGAGTTGATCCTGGAGCACCACCAGGAACACCACCAGCTCCTTGATAAAGTTTTGTGACAATTGGATTACAAACAGCTTCGAGTTCCTTTTGCTGATGACCAAATTCCTCTTTTTCAGCCAATTGATTAGCGTCCAACCATGCAATAACTTCATTACATTTTGCCAATACCTTTTCCTTATCGGCGGCATCAATTTTATCCTTAATTTTCTCATCATCAACAGTTGCCTTCATATTGAAACAATATGATTCCAATGAATTTTTCGCCGCTATTCTTTCCATTTGTGTTTGATCCTCCTGTTTATATTGTTCCGCCTCATTCACCATTCTTTCAATATCATCCTTTGATAATCGTCCCTTATCATTGGTGATAGTAATTTTATTCTCCTTGCCAGTTGATTTTTCAACAGCCGAAACATTTAAAATTCCATTTGCATCAATATCAAATGTAACTTCAATTTGTGGTACACCACGTGGTGCTGGTGGAATTCCAATAAGTTCAAATTTACCCAATATATTGTTATCCTTTGTCATTGCTCGTTCGCCTTCATAAACTTGTATCAATACACCCGGTTGATTATCAGAATAAGTTGTAAATGTTTGTGTTTGTTTCGTTGGTATTGTCGTGTTTCGTTTAATCAACGTTGTCATAACACCGCCGGCAGTTTCAATACCAAGTGACAATGGCGTTACATCAAGTAGCAAAAGATCTTGTACCTCCTCTGATTTATCGCCATGAAGAATTGCTGCCTGTACAGCGGCACCATAAGCCACAGCCTCATCAGGATTTATTGACTTATTCAATTCTTTACCATTAAAGAAATCTTGTAATAATTTTTGAATTTTTGGTATCCTCGTTGAACCGCCAACAAGTACAATACTGTTAACATGTGCCTTATCCATTTTTGCGTCCCTCAATGCCTTTTCAACAGGTTCCAATGTACTTCTAAATAAATCAGCGCACAATTCCTCGAAACGTGCCCTCGTTATTGATGTATAAAAATCAATACCATCAAATAGTGAATCAATTTCAATACTCGCTTGTGTTGATGAACTCAATGTTCGTTTTGCCCTTTCACAAGCAGTACGCAATCGTCTTAATGCCCTTTTATTTGATTGTAAATCTTTTTTATATTTTCGTTGAAATTCCAAGGCAAAATGTGTTACCATACGATTATCAAAATCCTCACCACCAAGATGTGTATCGCCTGCTGTTGATTTAACTTCAAAAATTCCGTCTTCAATTGTTAAAATTGAAACATCAAATGTACCACCACCTAAATCAAAAATAAGAACATTCTTCTCGCCAGCTGTTTTTTTATCAAGACCATAGGCAATTGCGGCTGCCGTTGGCTCATTAATGATTCGTAATACATTAAGACCGGCAATACAACCGGCGTCCTTTGTTGCTTGACGTTGTGAATCATTGAAATAGGCTGGTACAGTAATAACAGCGTCAGTTATTTTTTTACCCAAAAATGCTTCGGCTGTCTCTTTCATTTTTACAAGTACCATTGATGATACCTCTTCGGGGAAAAATGTTTTTAGTTCATCACGATAGGTTACTTGAATTCTTGGCCGTCCATTGTCATTCATCACAGTGAATGGCCAATGTTTCATATCACTCTGCACTGCTGGATCATCAAATCGACGACCAATTAATCGTTTTGCGTCTGAAAATGGAAAAAATTATTTTTAGAAAAATAGTATTTATAATGTGAGGCATTTCATTTGAAAACGATCAGTCATGACTTAGATTTTTTTAATATTTCGTTTTTTTTTTTTTTTTTTTGTATTGTTTGGGGACTTAAATAAGTGTGCAAAATTTTAATTAAAAATCTTAAATTTTTTTCAAGTTATTTAGGGTCAGCCGGGGTAAATCCGAAGTAAGTTTCAACAATAACATAAGTTTTTTCTTTTAATAAAGACAATACTATTCTGGTGCATGAATTTGTTACTTTACATCCATAGAACAATTTTATGGGGTAGCAAATTTTTTTTGATAAATTACAATCGCAGGAAACTTACCGTTCGTATATTTATCTCGATACTTTGCAACTTTCCTAAAATACCGGGGTAAATACAAACGCCAGTGTATTTCAGAAAAATCTTAGAGAAAATAAATTTAAAATATTGCAATTGTTAAACTTATATAAAAACACAAAAAAATACGATAATAAACCTATTATGTAATAATGCATCATATATAAATACAAAAAATCAAACAGGTTAAAAATTAAAATGCATAATTACACAATTAAAACCTTCAATAACTTTATCAAATCATAACGGATTTTTGCAAAACTTGCTGCAGAAAGTATTTTGGATAATACTTAGAATCTCTTGAAGAGGATCTGAGGTAAAAATTCTCATGTCTAACTTATTTTTTAAAATTTTAATTAAGCTGAAATAATTAGTGTTCGGATTTACCCCGGCTGACTCTACTTTTTTTTCTTTTCATTATAACTATTTCATTTTTCTTTGTATAGAAAAGTGTTTTAAATGTTTTTTCTTCAAAAAGTATTGAATTTTAAGAAAAGTGATTTTTATTTTTAATATTTTATAATTTTTACATTATTTATTTAAAAAAAAAAAAACATTTTTATTAATGTTTAAACCTGTTATCAGGCTAATTTCGATCTAAAAAAAAATTATGAATATTGTTCAATATTATACAAATTACATATTAAAATTTGGTGAATGCATTATGTTTTGTTCTGGAAAAATTTTTTTTTGAAATTTACCGTGTATATAGCTCTAGCGGTCGCATCAGTTAGCGCTTGGGGTTAGATCCCATGCTAGAGCGATGTACGGCAAATATCAAAAAAAAAATTTTCGAGAACAAAACATAATGCATTCACCAAATTTTAATATGTAATTTGTATAATATTGAACAATATTCATGATTTTTTTTAGATCGAAATTAGCCCGATAACAGGTTTAAACATTATTAAAAATGTTTTTTTTTTAATAAATAATGTAAAAATTATAAAATATTAAAAATAAAAATCACTTTTCTTAAAATTCAATACTTTTTGAACAAAAAACATTTAAAACATTTTTCAGTACAAAGAAAAATGAAATAGTTATAATGAAAAGAAAAAAAAGTATCTTAAATTTGTTAATGTAAATAACTTGAAAAAAAAAACTTAAGATTTTTAATTAAAATTTTGCACACTTATTTAAGTCCCCAAACAATACAAAAAAACAAAATATTAAAAAATCTAAGTCAAGACTGATCGTTTTCAAATGAAATGCCACATGATAATAATATTGTGTAGTACTACTACTGCCTAAAAATAGAAATTTATTTTATTCAAATAATCGGTTACTTAACTAAATATTTAGTAAATAATTGAACTGTATTTGAACCAATAATTTCTGTATTTGAAACAAATACAATTATTTCATTGATTCGAATAACATACTGAAAAAAAATTATTTGATTCAAATACTTCAATTAACTTGACTATATTAGCAAATAAATATTTACTTGAACAGGATATTTTTTACTTGCATCAAATAAACTGTATTTGAATCAATAATTTCTGTATTTAAAACAAATACTATTTAATTATGCTTCAAATGAAAATTATTTGGTTCAAGTAATCAATTATTTGAATCAAATAATTTTTTTTTTCAGTGATACTACAACTATATATTAATAAAAGTGGGAATAGAACGTCTGCGTTGGCAGCCGGTGGCTTAAAATAAACCATCGCAGCCTCCGCTAATTTTCTCACTGTGGGTGTTTGAGATGCTAATTTCGAAAACTGTTGTCTCACGTGGAGAAAGAGAGACATTCACTCTCTCTCTCTCTCTTTTCACAGGTGATATTTTTTACATTTTTTTTTTTGTTAGTCATCTCAAGTTTTTTTGACGTCAAAATTAAAATTAGTTTTTATTTCCCCCTTTTTTTGTGATGTTTCTTTATAATTTTATGAGGCAAAAATATTTATTAATATTTTGATGACTAAATATTATTTTTAACACATCAATTTAAGGGAATATCAAAAATTAAATAAAAATTAATAAAAATATTAGTTTTCCTTTTTTTTTGTAAAAACAATTTTTTTTTTTAAATTTTTCTTCTCCATTTATTCCCATTTCTTGTATTCTTTTCTATTTTATTGCTTTTAGTTTTTTCATATTATTTCCTATAATATTTCTATAGTTTTTGCACATAATTTTAATTATAAATACATCGTACATTGACTTAAATAAATAAATTTATAAAATATATACATATTTATTATAAAAAAAAAACATTTAAATTTATTTATAAAATATATATATATAAATTATAAAAATAAAATTTGTAATTAAAAAAAATTTGTGAACCAAAAAAATTGAATTCATTTTACATCAATGAATTTTTAATTAAAATTAAATAATCAATGAAATTAAAAGAATTAATAAATATAATTAACAATAAAAATTATTTTTAAGAGAATAAATGAAAAATATTTTTTAAAAAAAACTAAATTCTAATTTTGCTTCAGGTAATTATTTATTTTGCACTTATTTTTCCAATAGAAAACAATTGTAAGCTAATTGTTATTAATTTTATTGTAATTATTTATTTAATTTTATAATTATTTTTTCTTTGAATTAAATAATTAATTAAAATTGAATAATATGTTTATAATTTTTTTTATAATTAAACAATATATTTGTAATTTTTTTATAATTAAAAATTGATTAAATAAATAATTATTTTTTCATTATAAATAAACAATATTTTTGTTAATTTTTTTTATAATTATTTTTTCTTAATAATTAAAAAATATTTTTATAATTTTTTTTTTTTTTTTTTTGATAATAATTTTCCAAAATGGGGAAAGTGTTTATTTTATTTTATTTTTTTTTTTCATCTGAAATTCAATGAGACTTACCAAAAATAGTATTACTAGGATTCATAGCAACTTGATTTTTGGCTGCATCACCGATGAGTCGTTCCGTGTCGGTAAAAGCGACATAACTTGGTGTTGTCCGATTACCCTGATCATTTGCGATGATCTCAACTTTTCCATGTTGAAAAACACCTACACAAGAGTAGGTCGTTCCCAGATCGATTCCAATTGCTGGCGCCTTTGCCATTCTTGCTTGTTTTTTTGCTGTAAAAATTAATTTTATTAACATTCACTTCAATTTACATTGAAAATTAATAAACTTTCTTTTTTCATTAAATTTTGATATTTAATTTTTTTTTAAATAATTTCACAATTTAACAAAAAAAAAAGAATATTTTTTTTTTTTACAAAATTAATTAAATTATAACCAAATAATTTAATTTAAATTTATTAATTTGTTTATTATTATTTATTAACACAATAAATAATAATTTATAATGATAATAAGAATTAATAATAATAATGATAATAATAAATGATTATTTGTTTAATATAAAAATATGTGTAAATAAATTTACGTTTCGAATTTATAATATTAATCTCTATTTTATTGCAAATGAAAAATTTATTGAACTTTTGACGTTTGATATAATTTATCAGTTTATCATTTTGAAAAAAAATAATAATTGTATAAATTTTTTACAATTAAAAAAATTGTATCTAAATTTTATTTACCTGCTTTCAATGAGATTTACTGCTTATTATTTTAAAATATTAATTTTTAATTAGATTTATTTTTCAAAAAATGTCATTGCAAAATTTTTTTTGTTAATCGTAATAAACAAATGAAACTAGAATATGTAATTTGAAAATTCCGAAACGTTAAACATACGTTTTTATATGTAAATGTAATGTAAATAAATAAATTTAAAAAAAAAATATTTTTTTTTTACATAAAAATATAAATTTTTAATAATTAACAAAAATGTCAATTATTAAAAAAAAATTGAAAAAAATCATTAAGAAATAAGGAAATTAGAGAATAATTTTTAAAAAATAATGTTTTTATGGAAAAAATTAATTTTTTTTTTTTTTTGAAAGAATTGATAAAACGCCTTGTAACGTGAATAAAATATGAGCTACACTATATACAGTTCGCTTAAACTGTGTTACGACCTTCGCAATCTACGTACATCGCATAAAACGACAAGAAAACGTTATCACGTCGTTTTAAAAATTTCCACTCTTAAAATCGATATAAAAACGTTTTTTGAAAATTTTTTTTTTATTATTATTATTAATTTTATATGATTAAAAATATTTAAAATTAATAACGCGCCGAAATAATTAGTTAAAATTTATATTTTTTTAAACCCATTATTATTATTACTCACCTTAGACACTTTTTTAAAAATAAAAAATAGCACTGTAAAGTTCAATTTTTGTTTATTAAAAATAAAACGTTCTTTCTCTTTCGACGTCTCACGAAATTCTGACGACCTCTTGCAACTGTGAGAGCTTTTATAATACTACTATGTACAATATTCGAGAATCTTCTCGACTAAACCAATCGTAACGAAACTGCGACATACATTCACCAATGGAATAAACGTATCTAAAAGAAAGGATGCGCGGGCGCGCGAATCGAAAGAAAAAGAAAAAGATTGTGTGTGAACTGAAATGAAATTGCGTAAATTTTTCTATTTTTAGCAACACCTATATATATATATATTGAAACAAGTCTTTTTTTCCCAAGATAAACACCCACGTAAATTGTCCAAGTTTTTTATTTTTATCACAAAAAGCTCATTTTCCTTTTACACAAAAATTTATAATCGCTTCTCAAATTTGAATTTTAAATTAAAATTTTTCCTTTCACACTCTACATTGAACTCGTTCTTTTCTTTTTTTTTTTTATTAAAGAGTGAATAATCTCTTGACCTTTTTAATCATTCTGAAGGATTTTTTTATACTCTAATTAAAAGGTATCAATTTTTCGTTCTATTGAAAAGAAAAGATTTTTACTGAAATTTGCCATTTTCTTTCTTTTGTAATTTAATTTTACATTCAGAAAAAAATTATATTTACGGATTTGAACTTTCAAATTTGGAGATATTCAATAAAAAAAAAAGGAAATATATTTAATATAAAAAAAAATGATTTAAAATTTTTGTCGTTTTTATTTCATTTTTTAGAAATGCAAAACTCGTAGACTTATCACACAAAGTATAGAAAAAAAAAATCGCTGGTGATGACAATTTTGAAAATCATAAATAGATTGTAAAAATGGTTTTTGAAAATCTCTTTCACCACACAGAATTCTTTTTTTTCTTTAAGAACAAAATAGAAGTTGATTTATATTTACAAAATCAATACATATTCATTATTGATCATTATACATGATTTTTCTTTGAGAATTTTTCAAAAATCATCACTGTATTTAAATTTTAGTCAACAAAATTGTTGTTCTTAATTCTCAAATATTGACATACTTGTTTTTACAATAAAATGGGAAAAAATTCTTTAAAAAAAAAAATTTCTTCTTCTTCAAAAGAAATATTTTTTTTCAAAAAAAAAAAAAAAAGAATTTTTTTTCTGTTTTATTAGAAAACAATTGTTATTAGAGAATTTGTTATTCCTTTCGATGTGCGTGACATGACAAATTTTTTTTTTAACTTAGCATTTTTTTTGATTATTCGAAATATATAATGAGCCTCTCACGTTACAACGAATGAAAAATTATCTTTTAAGCAATTCGAATGGACGCGATTATTTTCAAATATTAGAAAAATAGGACTGATAAACCATTCCCATGGATGTGGTGGCAAAAAGTGAAAAGCAACTCCACCAAGTTGCAAATCCCATAACTCCCCTAAATACATCCACGGTAAAAATCTGAAAATTAAAAAAAATTCAGAATTAATAATTTATTTTCTTAAAATTTGGTATAAAATTTTTTTAAAAAAATGAGACTTACTTGCTTCAACGAGCTGAAAGCAAGTTGAAGTTCTTGAGCACTTTGAGCGACAGTTTTCTCAGAATCATCTGAGAGAATTGTTGATGAAATCACTGGAGATTCATCAATTGGACACTCTTCTGAATTGATGGTTTTATAGAGTCCTTCCCATGTGTAACCACCAAGTGTTTTGTACATTAGAGTAAAAAACAAACACATTATCAAAGGTGCAATGTACTGTATAGCGACAACACAGAGATAATAAAATACTGCCGCGATCTGAAAGAATAGAAATTTAAAAAAAATCTATAAACTGAAATTAAAATTACCTAACAAAAAACAAATGGATTAATTTAATAATTTCGAATTTCGAAAATTCTTTCAAACAAACCTTTTTTTGTAATTCTATATTTGATATTCTACCAGCTTCTTTTTTCTGTATTTCTAGTCTTTGATTCGCGAGATTAAGATAAGATTGCAGGTACAATGGCATTAGCGCCAACTTGAGTAAAACTACAGCTATTATTGCTATCAGCCTTGCACTCTCGAAGGCTGCTGGAGTCATCCTAAGGAAAAAAATTATTATTTTTTTTTTTTTTTACTACAAAATTAATCAAATTATTTTTTTTCTATTAAATTTTTATCACTTTTTATTAAATTAATAAAAAGAAAATTTTATTATTAAAAAAACTAAACTTTTAAAAAATTTATAAAATATTTTTGAAAAATAATTCCAAACTTACAGTGGTTCTGTCATTCCACTGAAAATTCTTATTGTAAGATAGTCACGGCTTATTGGTTTAAACCAAAGACTCACTAATAATAGTGGAGAAGCGTAGCTCATGTTTGCCAAGAGCGTTAAAATTTTTCTATTCTTATAGTACCTGCAAAAAATTAATTCATTTTAAAAATATTGTTTCTAATTTAAAAAAAAAAAAATTCCAATTATTCATACCTTAAAGCATCCCAATGCATTTTAGAAACTCTTAATCCAGGAAAAGTAAAAAGTGAACCCAAAAATCCACACCAAACGGCGAGAAAAAATTTTACAATAATTTTTGACGCTGGACCCCTAAAAAATGAATAAATAGTTTCGCATTTTTGAAATACGTGTAAAATAATTGAAAAATTAAACAATTAGAATAATAAAATTTTATTTACGTAGAACTGAGGCCCTGTTTTTCTAAAAATATTGAGGCGCTATGATTGAAACTCGTGTAGGCTTTCTCTAAGCCAATTTCAAGGGTATTTTCATCAATAATAAGAATCATCATTGCTACAAGAAGATATGCAAATCCAGTAACAATGCAAGTAGATCTTTCGCCAATACTTTCTTCTCCTTTGAAATATTGAACCCAAAGAGTAATTAAAACCTTACTACATATTGTGTCAAAGAAAAATGAATTTTTAAAAAATTAAAAAAATTTTTTATCATAAAAAAATAAATTTTATATACAATTTAATGAAAATTTAAAAAAGGATACAATGCAAAGCCAACAACCAGAGTACACCAAAGGATGCTGAGATTAATTTCATCTTTAATTGGATACCAAGAGTTGTAAATCTAAAAAAATTTGTTAGTTATTAAATTTTAATTTTTATAATTAAAATTTTAATATAATTTAATTTAAAATTATATTTTTTTATTTTTATTTTACCTCAGTCAATGTATAAACGAGAGCAGTGTAAATGGAGAAATCCAAAAGCCATATATAGTCCGAATAGAATTTTAAATGTACAACATCGAGTGGCGAAACTTTTGCATTCTCCAATGTGATATCTAAATTTCGTGGAATTTGAAAGACATCCGCAACTTTACCATTTTCAGTGTGTTTTCCCTTTTTTGGCTTTTCCTTTTGAATACCAGAAATGTTTCTTAATTCCTGATCAGTGGGATATAAAAAACGAGTCAACCTGAAGATTGAAAATAAAAATTTTTTTTTTTAAATATAACTTACTATATTGAATTTTTAATATCTACTTTGGGCATTTATTTTGAAATGAAAAGGAAGTTACCACTTTACTTACCCAGTAGAACATAAAAGCCATCTAGCAAATGAAAAGTGAGGACTCAATTTTTGAATAATGCTCACCATTACCAGAGTAATGACCAATTGTGCTCCTAGTAACGCCTAAAATAATTAAATAGTCAGAAAATTTTAACATAATTGTTTAGAATTGTGGTTAAAAAATTAAAAAAATTTTTTGTTAAGACAACAAATATATTTTGTAAATTTTATTCTTAGCAACGTAAATTTTATTTTAACTTTAAAATGAATATAAAATATAAAAAAGTAACTGATTTGTACAAAAAAAAAAAAAAAATTCACGGTATTCAGGTATATTTGAGGAGTAAATTTTCAAAATCTAATAAATCCATTTTTCAAAAAAATGGAGATAAACATAAATTTAATATTTTAAGGACCTCACAAATTTAAGAAAAAAAATTTGTTAACAACGAATTTTCAATTCAAAAACTTTTCGACATAACCAAGATGAGTTATTATTTTTATGTTTTTTATTAGAAAAAATTACCAATACCTGTAAATCATTAAATTATGATAAAGTTTAATTAAAAACAGAACGTCTTGAATAAAAAAACATTGTTATAGAATTAAACAATTACAAATTTTATATTTTAAAAGTAACTGCAGTGATTATATGAGCAATGTCATTTGTTTCAATTTCTCGAAATAAGAAAATATGGATTTATCAGGTTTTGAAAATTTTCTCCTCATTTATAAATAATTTTATACTTAAAACTTAATTACATTATTAAAAAATAATAATTTCTCAATGGTCAAAACTAATCCATCTTTTATACTATTAATTACATAAGATTTAAAACAAAAAAACAAAATTTCAGTTTTCAACATTGAAAATGAAATGAAAAACGTTAAAATTTTGTTAAAACTTACACGAAAAAATACTAAATTTTAAAGGTTTTTTTTACAAAAAATAAAAGAATTAATAAATATTTAAAAAACTATAAAGTTAAAATTTCAAAATATAGAAAAAAAAACATTTTCCCCTTGGAAAATTTACTTAATTAACGAAAATTTTAACATTTGCTAATTAAATAACAAAAAATTTTTAAAATGTTGTAAAATTTTAATGTCTTTCATTTTAAAAACTTTGAATAAACTATAATCACGCGATTTAATCTTATTTCTAAATTAATTCTAAATTTTTGTACGCATTACTTAAAAATTATTTGATTATTGTTTAAATTGTATGTTTCAGACTTTGTAAAGTATTTTTTGTTTCATGTTCTGTTATATCACTTTCTTTCAATATTTATTTAACTCCTTATCTCTGTATATTGTTTATTACTGTCAAAATAATTGTCATTGTCTTTTATGTTTGTTAAGTATCTGATGCTATTATTGTAATTTGTAGTCACTTATAATATCACTTGCACTCTTTTTTTTTTTTTTTATTGTTCTTGCCTTCAATTGTAATCGTTTTATTGTTTTATGTTAGAATTTTTTCCTATAAAATTAAAAAAAATAAATAAATTTGTCTTAAATACTTACCATTGTAATGAAATTGGATGTCAAATGAATGTTGTATTTGAAAAACCGACATGTACACAATTAATAAACAAACTTTAGAAAAAATTTAGGGTAAAAAAAAATTTTCCATTGTAATTTTTCGTGTCCGATTTATTAAGGGTCATTGCAAGTTACTATTTTTACTTCGTTACATTTATAAATAGTATACATTCCAAAAAGAACTCTAGAGACACTTTCCTGGTAAAACTTTGTTCTGTCGTCTGCTGCTAGAAATATTCATTTGTCTAGTGTGAAAAAGTGCCACGTGATGTCTCTGGTGTAATTTCAAAATTACCCGCCATAATTTTTAGGAGAAAAAAAGAATTAAAAATTTATTTTTTTTATTTAATATGAGCGAAAACGGATTTAAAATTTTTATTATTTATAAAAAATTTAATTTAATCACTGTAATTTGTTTATAATTTTATTTATAATAAATATATTTTAATTTAACTATAATTAAAAATTAGTAATTTTTTTTTAATTTTCTATTGTTAAGATTTCAACAAAAATTTGTAAATTTTAATTAAACTATCGATAAATTCTTTTTTTTTTTTATTAATTATTATTATTGAAATTAAATCTTTAAATGACTGGAGAATTAAAAATTACTGATTATTAAATTAATAAGAAATTAGTAATAATAAAAAAAAAATTAAATTAGAATAAATAATTATTAATTTAACAATTTGTGGAGAAATAAATGACACATTTTTTTTTTTAAATAAAAAAAAGCTTTATTGTGAAAAATGCATGACAAGCAGTCTCGACTACCTGATGAGAAAAACAGGTGAACAAGAGGAATGCGTTTTGCGGCGAAAAATACATTTTTTTTTGTTCAAATTTTTATTATTTTTATAATGAAGAAATATTTTATTCTTCTTTTTTTTCCTTAATTTTTTTTTTCTTTCTCAATAATAATAATAATGTGAATGAAATTTCCATTCTTAAAACTTGTGCAGATCATTATTTTTTATAATATATCGTCGATTATATTATTTCTCTCGTAAAAGATATATAATTAATTTTGTGCTTTGTAAATTCTCGTGCAGACAATGTCATCCACCTTCATTATCTGAAACAATTAAAAAAAAAAAAAAGAATTATAACATTTTAAAAATAAAAAAATTTATAAAAATTTAACAATTTAAAAATATAAAAATATAAAAATTCAAAAATATAAATTAAAAATTCTAAGAATAAATAAAATAATATACTTTTTACAACGCAACTGTAACGGAATCTAGTTTTTAAATAAAAAGAATATATATATTATTATACAATAAAGTGAATAAAAAAAAAATGACTGATGATATAATTATACGTGTATTAAACTCACATAATAACGAAGCTAAATGGCTCTAAATTATTTTAGTCACGAGAATAAAATGCGCTAATTAAGTTTTTAATTGTTAATTTCTATGAATTTCTTGATATATTAATGAACATATTATCCTAGTTCTTAATGGATCGATTAATTATTTCCCTCTACCAGAGAAGAAATTTACATTTTATGTGAGAATTTATATAAAATAATTTTCAAAAAAAAAAAAAAATTAATTAATTAATATAATTAACAAAATAAAAAAAATTTAAAAAAATTAAAATTGATGAAATTCATTAATTAACAATTTAATATAACGATGAAAAAATTAATTGTAAGTACAATTTTTCATTGACTAATTTTAAATTAAAAATTATTGTTTGTATTGTCAAATTTTCATTTAATTTTATTCTTTACTTGATTCAAAATTGAAAAAAATTGAATATTTTAAAGCTTTTGAATTTTTTTTTTTAAATTTCTTAAATTAATAAACATACGGCTTTCATTTCAGTAGGTGTAAATTCTCGTTCAATGATTGTATCTTTATCGCCTTTTTGAATTTGAGTCATTTTATCTCCGTCAACGGTGATTGTTGTCTTGACCTTCCTTCCGTCAGGTGTTTCCTCATCAAATTCAACACCCGGTTTAAATTTGATTTCCGAATTCTTAAAAGTGCTCGTTGTATTCATTGTATATTCATCACCATCGAGGGTAACTTCAACAATTGGACTCACTGCCGCTCCCATTTTTCGCGTCATGAGTCCAACACCTAAAAAAAAAAAAATTACAAATTTCACTTTTATTTTTCTCAGTAAAAAAATTTTCATTTTTTTTTTTCATATTTCTTTCTTTTCCATTATATTTGTAAATATTTTTTTTTCTATTTAAATAAATTTATTTTTTGAAAAAGGAAATAGAATTTTGGCACTTAAAAAAAAACCACTTTTAAAGATAAGAAAGCACTTGAAATTATATTACCAAGTGCTTTCATGTACTCGTCAAATTTATCGCTTGATTGTAATTTATATTTTTTTCCTGAAAATGACATTTTTTTTTTAGAATATATATATATTTAGTTCTTTTAATATAAATTTTTTTAAGTGAACTGATGTAGTTTTAAATGGACACTAAAGGCTATCGTGAGAAAAGCAAGAGTTTTATCGAATTTCTTATCTATTGGAGAATCTTTTATACAGAAATGAAGCAAAATTTTGCGATAAGAGGTAATAAATGAAGAAAAGCAAAAATACAAGAGTAAATATTGAAAACTTTGAAGTTTGACCCTGCGAGAAGAATTATTGACACGTTTGTGTATTATTTATACACATGTATATATGTATATAGTAATCAGTACAATGACGTGAATAGTGAATATATAGGAATTATCACAAAAAAAAGCCGCGATTATAATATTTTTTCCGTTCATTGTGTTGACTACTTTTTTTTTAACCGCACATCCTCTCACAGATATTGTATCTACTTTGTTTTTGTTTTGAAAAAAATTAAAAATTTTATTTTTGAATCAAAATTAAAAAAAAAGTTTTAATATTTTTTTTTACTATTACTACAATAAGAAATATTATTTTCTATTCACCTCAATAAAATGTAAGAAGAGAAATTATGTTTTTTTTTTTTTTTTTCAGACAAGTTCTCAAGGTATAGACGAATATGATTCATCATTTTTCATAATATGAGATTATCTTTATCAAAAGTGTGATAAAATATTGCATATAGAGGAAATTATTTTTGCGTGAAAAATATTTAAAATTTCCAATTTATTCTGACAGCATCAAATTTTTGAAGAAAAAGTTTAAAAAAAGTTTTAAAAAAGTTAAAAAAAAATTGAACATTTTTTTAAAAATGAAATTTTTAATTAATTTTTTAAATAAAAATTAAAATAAAAATAAAAATTTTTTTTTAAATTTTAACTAACAATAATGGATTTTACAACTCTCTTTATCTGAATTAGTAAAAATTTTTTACTAATTTAAAGTAGTGACTCACTTTTTGCTTTAGAATTAGTTAAATTTTACTAATTTTTAATAAAAGTTACTAATATTTAGTAAAATTTTACTAATTGAGAAGCAAAAAGTGAGTCCTTCATTTTCTTTCTATATAGTGGAAAAAAATTTATTTACATTTGAATTAAATTAAATTTTTGAAACAAAAATTAAAATATAATGGACTTTTATATAAAAAGATTTGGTGTGACCTTTTTTTTTATGATTTACATTCAACTTATACATTGAAAGGCAATAAATTAGTTGATTGCCCTTCAAGTTTCTAATTCTTTAACCGGAAGTTGTAATTGATTTTACAAGATAAACTGTCTCAAAGAGATGTAACAAAAAAAAAAAAAAAAAAAAAGAATTTATTGTCAAGAATATTTTACGATCTATTAAAATTTAACTACTTTTTTTTAAGCTTTATTGTTGGTTATTTTATTATTATTTTCTTTATTTTATTGTCTCTTCTCAGACTGTTTTTAATTTTTTCACTTTTTATTATTTATTTTTTATTTATTTTCACTTTTTATTATCTAAAAACCTACTTTTTTTCTACATTTTTTTTGCAATTTTTTTAGTAACGTAGTCTTCAATTTTGCTTATCTTATCAAAATTTTATTTTTGGAATGAATATATGTATAAATAGACTGATATTATTATGCATGCCATCATGAATATTTATAAAAATTTATTAAAAGAAAAAATTATATAAAGAACATGTTAAAATAAATGTTGAATTATATTCTATTGTTGTTTTTGCAATATATTTTTTTAGGATTTAATTTTTAGAGTATCTATTTTGCGTTAAACAGAAAATAATTTTTTTTATATATAATTTTATATTTGTTTATATATATATATATATTTTATATTTGGTTTTTTTTATATATTTTTTTTTATATATTTTTTATATTGATTTTTTTTTATATATATTGATTTGGAAATGAAAAATTATTTCTGCACATTTATAACATATTCAAAGTCCCAAGAACTTAAAGAGAGAGAGAGAGAAGGAGATATAGGATGAGTATGTAATTTTCCAATTGAATGTTGACGCGCGGTCAATTTATAAAAATCGCATGAATATAAGTAGGAATGCAAATAACAAGAATGCATATTGCATCAGAGAAGACTTGCATTTCCCTTTCAATTACTATTATTGCGGTCAACAATAAATTTATGGATTTTTTTTTTAAATTCTATATCAAAATTTACTTTCGATAAAATTTTTTTTTTTTTTTTTAATAAATATGAAATTAACAATATTAATAATATTGATAAATATTATTTAAATTAAATTTCTTTTTTTCAAACTTATATTAATTACTTTATTAATAAATAATAAAATTAAATAAACGTCAATTTATTAAATAAATAAGTAATGAAGATAATAATTTAAATTATTAATATTTTAGGAAAATAAATATTAAAAAATATTTTCAAACGGTTTAATTATATTTTTTAGTAAAATTTATTAAATGAATTATGAATAAAAATGAATAAAATTGAAAAAAAATTTAAGTAAAATTTTTTCATGAGAAATATATTGTGGGCAAAATCGTGAGATAAAATATTCGATGATTTGCTACTGCAAATATATAATTCACGCACATCTCACATTGAATGCATGTTCTTTGAGAAAAAAAAGATCATTCATTGAAAGGTAAAAATGTCGAGGGAGGGTTCGACTCGATTGTGATTTATTAACCTCGACCGAAGATGAATTCAAATACTAAATTGGTCTACAATTGGTCTGTCTGGTGTAAGGATGCCCGCAACATATAACGTATGGGTCATCGTACTCCCATTTATATACATATGCCAATCATTTATATATATATATATATATATATGAGAAGAAATGAATTAGAATTGATTCGATTATTATTTGTAATTATAATACTAGTGAACGTCATTTAAGTTCATTAATAAATATTCTTCATATATATATAGATATATATTCTCCAACTGACACAATTCATGCGGCGACAGGATGAGACAGAGAAACGGAAAACCTCGTTATATCTGATAAAAGCTCTTCATTTCGCACGCACTCGCAAACACACACATAATTACAATCAATTGTAAATCATTAAATAATTTCATCTTCATCAGGAAAAATTTATTATTAGAACAGAGATGAATGTATTACATATATATTATAAATGTTGGCTATATGAAAATTTATTACTGGCAAAGATAGTATATTACGATACTAGGCCAGAAAGTTGGATTTCCTGGCGGGCGTGAAATATAAGGCCGAGGCGAAGCCGAGGCCTTATATCACGCTCAGCAGGGCATCAAACTTTTTGGCCGTGTGTCGTATACAATTTTTCTTTATCCCCACTCGAAAGTACGTTTAATAATTATTATTTTTTAATAAAATGGCATTAACCATGTGTCTACTGCTGTGGCTCGCGTCAGCGCGCCCTCCCGGCCACGTAGCGAAGCTTGTAGCAGAAGGCTTAGTTACAGATGACAGGTAGCCCGCCCGACTTTTGCAAAGCCGAGGCGAAGCCGAGGTTTTGCTGGTCGGGGCGGGCGTCAAAATTATATGAAAAATATAAATAAAACGCACAAAAATCCAATGCACGAATAATAATTTGGCATATGGAATTTAGTTTATTAACCATAAGGCATCTAATCACCTGTGTTGTGTCTTTGTGTATATATAGTTAACCTTTGAAAATTTTTGTTTACTTTATAATAGTGGATGAAAGTGAAAGATTTTCAGTTTAGACATTTAAAAAGAAGGAGAAAGTACAATAACACTTACACAAGTACATCTTATTTATACATGATTTGTCACTTTTTTTTAACTTAGGTTGCTTATTTTTGTGGTTATTTACCGCACTTGACACAAAACAGGCCATGAAATAAGCGTTGCTATGTGGTTGCTATGCCATCAAGCCTTTAAAGTCTCGTAGCCAATCAGAGCGCACGTTGTTTCTGGCCGGCCACAAAAGCCGTTCTTCCCTGAACGATTACCGACAGGGAAGTCCGTACTTTCGGGTAGGGGATACAGAAAAATTATTTCATGTAATTAAGAAAAAATAAATTATATTTCAAATAAGTGAAAAGAAATTTTTATCAAATTAAATTGAAAATTATTTATAAAAATAATAAAGAACAAATTTTCATTTAATTACAATTCTAAAAAAAAAATTAAAATAATTTCTATCAGGAAAAATTTATTATTAGAACAAGGAAAATGTATTATGTTATGCAAAAATTTTGTTGCCCAAAGAAATCTTATAATTTTTTATTTTTTTTGCGCGATATGAAAATAAAAAAAAAAATAATTTACAAAACAAAAGAAGAAGTTTAAAGTTTAATAATTTCAATGAATTTTAAAAATAGATTTTTTTTTCTATTATATCGATTAATATTATAAACATTCTTTTTTGAAATAATTTTTTCAAAAGAATAAATATTATTAGTTTTTTTAGATAATTTTTGAAAAATCTATTTTTAGAGGAATATATTACAAAAATATAAAATATATATATAAAAGATTTAAAAAATATTGAAGAAAAATATTTTGAAAAAAAAGAATTGCAAAAAAAATAACATTGCAAGTGTATTGATTTGTTATAAAAATAGAAAACTTGCACGTGACTTCAATTGTTAATATTTTTTACTCACACACATTGCATGTGAAAGAAAAATAAACAATTAAGATTCGATTTTACACTTTGTAGCCTACAATTTGCGCTTGTAGTTGATTTTGTCATTTGATATGTGAAACATTTTTATAAAAAAAATAAAAAAAAAGGAAAATAAAAGAGAAAATAAAAAATACATAAAATAAAGGAAGAAATAAATTCATAAAAAGAAAATAAAAAATTCAGCCATTTTATAATTATATTTATAATTATAATAAAATAAAAAGAAAATAAAATAAAAAAAAGGCGAAAAATGATTTTATGTTTAAAAAAAAATGCAGCTATTTTATAATGTTATTTTCAATAAAGAGAAGCAGAATAGAAAAATCGATTATTATTAATAATTATTGTAATCAACACTTATTAACACATCAACACTAAGCATATATATATATATATATATTTGCTTTCGAATTGAAATTTGATAGTGAAGCTTGGTAGAAAAACCGGTTTGCATGAATGTTTCTTATTTGATTACCAGCAAGAAACACCTACACATATACTTGCAATTATGAGAATCATAAAAAAAATGCATTTTCATGAATTAAAATCAAATTTTTCAATTTTTGTAAATTAATTTCTCCAAAATTTTCTTTAATTCCAAACTATACTGAAATTTTTAAAAAACAAATTTCCATTACAAATAGGAAAAAAAAATTTCCCCATATGAATAAATTAGAAAATTAAAAGACAAAAAACAGTTTTTCATTTAAAAAAAAATTACATTTTTTAATATTACATTATTTTTTAAATATTACATTTCAATATTATAAAAACATTTTAAAAATGCAAAAAAAAAATCTGCTAACGAGAAAATTATTAACCACAAATAACACGCCCATAAATTTACCATGGGTATTCGCGCCATGTGTATCGATTTTAATAAGAGCGCGGCACGCACTTTTTGAACAAATTGCAAAAAAAAAAATATATATATATATATATTCTACATACCTAAAGCCTTCATGAGCTCTTCGAAATTTTCACTCTGTGCGAGTTTATATTTTATGCCAAGGAAAGACATTTTTTTTTTTATTTATTTATTTAGAAATATAAAAATTGAAATGTAAAATGACAAAAATTCTATTCAGTTGATATTATAGAAGGGAAATGTTGTTGGGTCCTCGATTCTTTTCAGACACCGGTAAACTCCATGACAAACTGAATAGCACTGGAACGTAGTGAAACGACCTATACCACCACATGGGCCGGTAGTATGGAACGAATGTCGCACACTATTTACACACCTATACATACATATATATATATACGAATCTTTTAATGTCTACAATCAGGAACGCCCCTTAACTATTTTGTGCCATGAGCACACAAAATTTGCTTTTTTTATTTTAATATTTCCATTATTTTACACACACACACTCATATTTAAAAAAAAAATTGAAAAAAATTTTTTTTTATATTTTTAAATATTTTTTTAAAAATATTTTTTTATTTATAACATTTATTTATTTATTATTATTGTTGAATAGAATTATTATTATTATGGTAAAAATCATAGTAAAAAATACTATAGTTTTGGTAAATAAAATTTTATCTCAATTATTTTTTAGTAATTAATTTATATCAACTTTATTTATTCATTTTTATACATTTATATTAATTCCTTTTTCATTAAAAATGAAATCATTCATTAAAATGATTTTTCATTCTCAATTTGCAAAAATCGAAATTTAAACAATTTTTTTTTATTAACCTTACGAAAATAAACAACTATTTAATTATTATTTTCTAGTTTTAAGCAACTATTTGAAATAGTTTAAAACTTTAATTTGATTATATAAAAAAAAAACATTTTTTAAAATAATTTTCAGATTTTGTTAGAATGCGTCTGTGGTTAGGTGGTTTAGATTATCGACTGTCGAGCCTTATCATCATGGGTTCGATTCCCTGCGTTTGAGAATTTTTCTCTGTTAGAATTTTACTAAATGATAGTTACAATATTGTTAATAGTTACAATCGCTGATAGTTAAAAAACATTAATAGTTTTTCTAGTGATAGTATTAATATTAGTTAAATAAGTTATTTAATTAAATTAATTATAACAAAAACAATTAAATAAAATTAAAATTGAGTACATACTGATTGTTCTTATATATCAGGGAGAAAATTATGAATTAACAAATGTTGAATACGTTCCCAAAATTCCATTCTCTCTTTAAAAACAGAATTTATCATTTTTGTTTCGGTATTGGAATAGTTTCCAATTTTTAAAATATTCATATTGTGCTGATGAGGTTTCCATGAATTTTCACCTTCGCATAATTTCTCTGATGTTGGCACTCTGACAATTGTTTGACAAACAATTTTTTTTATTATTATTAAAAAAATAAATAAATTATTATTATTAAAAAAAAAATTGTAAAAAAATTGAATTTTCTTATTGTTTTCAATTTTTTTATTTGTTAATATTAAGAATCTTTATATACCCATTTATTGTAAAAGATGTCCATAAATCAACCATGAGATCAGTAATAATTGAATCATTTTTTAAAATTTCTCTATCATTCGCTACAGAAACAATTGATTTTTGAGGATAAAGATATATGAGTTCGTCTGTATGTGCAATTCCAAGATTCCAATTATTACGAGTTACTTTATTTGTCATGCTAATTAAACCTCTATAATTGAACCAATAAAAATAAAGTGGTGATTTTGTATTTTTAGCATAAAATGCCGATGAAAAAATAATGGGATAATTTTTAAATAAATCTCCCAAAAAATCGGATAATTGTTTAAGAATCTGAAATTAAATTTTGTATTTTTATTTGCAATAATAGAATCAATTTTATTTTTATTTTAATTTATTTTTTTATTATCTTTCATTTTTCCACTATTTTTCATTTTTCTCTATAACCCACCAAATTTTTCTCATTGGAAATTTCATTTTTGAAATAAAATCTTTTAACTTCTGATACAATTGCCGAAACATTTTTCGTCAATTCAAAATAATTAAAAATATCAATTAAAAAATCATCAAAATTTTCTATTATCTCATTATAAAATTTCTCGTTCACATAAAGTGCTAAAATTCAAAGAATTAATAATAATTAAATTAAAATGATTGCAAATTTTTTCATAAAAAAAAAAAAAAATTATTTCTAATTGCAAATTAATTTCTATTAAATTTCTTACGGGCAATCCAAGTTAAACCTTCATCAGTGACAATGCCACTTATTCCTGAAAGATTTTTAAATTTTTTTTCTTTCATAATATAAAAAGGATTTTCAATAATATAAGCACCGGTAACATTTGGCTCTATTGTCGGTAGCCAAGTTGAATGTAAAATATTTCCTATTCTTGGAAAAATAAAACTGTTATTAATTAATTTTTTATAATCAATATCACGTAAACAATTGACTATTAATTGAGAATCTTCATTTGAACAGTTAAAATATTCAGCCACTGATTTTGCAATTTCTGCACTTTTTTTACCTGACCTATACGAACGCATACTAAATGGACATCCACTTTGCATAATATAACGATGAAAATAACCTAAAGGGGAAATAATTAATTTATCAATAAATTTCATTATAACAACCAAAATAGAATTTTTTTTCAAAAAACAAAATCAATAGGTATATATATATATTTTTTAAAATTATTTATTAAATATTTTTGAAAAAATGTGGAATATTTTTAATACCCTCAGTGAGATTTGAAAAAATATGATGATTTACAGAATCAGCACCAGTACTATAACCAGTTAGTGTCACTTGATTTGGATCACCACCGAAATGTCGAATGTATTTTTGAATCCATTGAAGGGCAACTAGTTGATCTTTTATACCAAAATTACCCAAGGCCACATTGTCTCCAGTGCTTAAGAAGCCAAAAATATCGAGACGATAATTCATACTCACATAGACAATATTCTTGTCCAATAGATAATTTGGACCTAAATTTTCCACACTACTACTACCAATAAGAAATGCACTTCCATGTATCAATACCATAACTGGTAATAATTTAGATTTATTTCCACTAAATGATTTCTGTGAGAAAGAAAGAAAAAAAATTCTTTTTTTTTTTGGTTTGGCAATGTAGTGTCAGCCGGGGTAAATCTAATTATTTCAGCTTAATTAAAATTTTAAAAAATAAGTTAGACATGAGAATTTTTACCTTAGATTCTCTTCAAGAGATTCTAAGTATTATCCAATTTTTCGTTTGTTAATTAGGAACAGCATAAACAAAGATAACGAGTATTGCAAAAAAGATTGAAAATCAAAGATAACACTCTTTCAGTATTTTGTCTCGTATTTGAAGAAAAAGAAGCTAAAAATTCATTTTATTATTTATAATTGTTTGTTATGAATAATAGAATAGAAACTATTTTTGATTTTTGCCTTCTGTAAAATTTTATTAATAATATCAGACCGTTCGTATTTACCCCGGAAAATTGGAAAACCGGGGTAAATCCGAACGGTATTTTCAATCATTTTTTCTTATATCAGAGCCACACAAAATTGTTTTTATTTCATTACTCTATTATTTTAACTATATAAAAGTACATAGAAAAAAGTTTTTCTTTCTATATGGGGCATTCTATGGAAAATTTTCATTGAAAATTTTTTTTTGTCCGAAACATTTTTATAGAAATCTATATGAAAAATAAGGAAATACGTATTTTTTTATTTTTTTATTTTTTTATTTGATGAAAATGAAGGAAGTTATGATTTTTTAAAATTTAACGTCAACGAAGAAAAAGTGTGTTATTGGAACATTTTTTAATTTATTGTACTAAGAAATTAAAAATTATGCTATATATGAAATTTGTTCATTTTTTGTCAAATTTTTCAAATATGTGCTAAAAAATAACGTACCTATAACAGAAATAACAAAAAAGTTGAAATTAAACTTATAAAGTGAGTTTTCTCAAAAGAGACACTTTTGATTTTTAATTTTTTTTTTTTTGCATTACAATCTCTGATGACTGAAGAATTTTTCCCCCTATCTGCGAAAGTGGTACTTTTAGTTTTTAAATTACTATTTACAATTTTTAAGCTTGAGGCAACGATTTTTAGTATGTTTTTATGAAAATTAAAAAAAAAATGAATGTTAATGGAAAAAGGTTATATTTGTAGAAAAAATGATTAAATTCGGTGAGCCGTACTAAAAAAATTATAAATAGTAATTTAAAAACTAAAAATACCACTTTCGCAAATAGGGGAAAAAATTTTTCAATCATCAGAGATTGTAATGCAAAAAAAAAAAAAAATTAAAAATCGAAAGTATCTCTTTTGAGAAAACTCATTTTATAAGTTTAATTTCAACTTTTTTGTTGCTTCTGTTATAGGTAGGTTATTTTTGAGCACATATTTGAAAAATTTGAGAAAAAATGAACAAATTTCATATATAGCATAATTTTTAATTTCTTAGTACAATAGATTAAAAAATGTTCCAAAAACACACTTTCTTCGTTGACGTTAAAATTCAAAAAATCATAACTTCCTTCATTTTCATCAAATAAAAAAATAAAAAAATACGTATTTCCTTATTTTTCATATAGATTTCGAAAAAAATGTTTCGGACAAAAAAAAATTTTCAATGAAAATTTCCCATAGAATGCCCCATATGTATCCTCGTTATAGTAATTAATAAGCAGAAACCTAATCTCTGTTCTCTCGAAGGAGTGTTTCACTTTTTTTTTGCCAAATGGTTTGTTGAAAAAAGTTTTTCAGGATCTTAATAAAATTTGGTATTCTAGGGTTTTTGGGGTAGCTGATTACCAATTTGACGTCAGTTTTTCAAAATTCAAAATGGCGGACGAGAATTAAAAAATTGATTGGATTCGCTCGAAAATTGTTACTCGGGAGGTTTCAGGGTCGCTGATTACGAATTTGGAGTTAGCAAATTTGATCATTTTTAAAAATAAGTTTTAGGAAAGTCCGCCATTTTGAATTTAAAAAATTTGACTTTTATTTTTGTATTTACATTCAAACACTCGAAAATACTTTCTGTACCAAGTTTTGCAAAAATCCGTTATGATTTGATAAAGTTATTGAAGGTTTTAATTGTGTAATGCATTTTAATTTTTAACCTGTTTGATTTTTGTATTTATATTATATTATATGTATATATATGTATTATATATATTTCCCTAAGATTTTTCTGAAATACAGTGGCGTTTGTATTTACCCCGGTATTTTAGGAAAGTTGCAAAGTATCGAGATAAATACGAACGCTAAGTTTCCTGCGATTGTAATTTATCAAAAAAAATTTGCTACCCCATAAAATTGTTCTATGGAAGTAAAGTAACAACTTCATCCACCAGAATACCGGAAATATTGTCTTTTAAAAGAAAAAACTTATGTTATTGTTGAAACTTACTAAAAGCGTTCGGATTTACCCCGGCTGACCCTATATACTTAATTAATTGGTTGCAATATCCAATTAGGTAATTAAATATTAAAATCAATTAATTGGTTTGCCATATTAAATTTAGTTTTCAACTATTGTGAAAAATTTATTTTATCAGCAAATTATTTGGATAATTAAAAAAAATTTATTATTTTAGGATTGAATGTATAATAAAAATTTATATAATAAAGAATAAACATTTTACCCTTGGTGTGTAAATATTGAGAAAAAGACAATCTTCATTTCCAATAACTTTTTTTTCGCCATATCTTGTCATTTGTGTACAAACACTTCCTTCATTATTTGCTAACAAATATTTCTCTGGTAACTCTTTTAAAACTGGATTACTAAATCTGGATTATGATTTAAAAAAAATGAGAATAAAGAAAAATTAATAGACTAATATAAAAAAATTTTAAAAATAAAATAAAAAATACTAAAAATTAATTTTAAAAATAAAAAAAAATCAAATAAACCTCAATTTTCCAATTGGTGGCTCTGCATATTTTATTCCAATAAAACCAGAAATATTTCGATTTTTTCTGGTGATCATAAATATGCCCTCTATTCTTGTATTATTTCCAATTGTAACAATTGGTTGCCCGTGACATTTGTTCACATTTTGTAAAATAAATATTAATATTACAATAAGAAAATAAAATAAATTTTTTATTGAAAATTTCATTATTTTGTAATGTTTTTTTTTTTTTTTATTCCTCACACTTATTTGGGAATTTAGCACAATTTTGAATGATATAGTTTAAGTATATTTGATACAAACTTTATTATAAAATTGCCATAACACTAAAATAATATATAAATTTAGTAAAACTGGTTTTATAAACTCACTGATCAGTTGTATAAATAATTTTAAAAGAATTTTTAATTTTAGAATTATCTCGTATATGCGAAGGTATAGTTAATTTTTTAATCTCTTTCTTATCATTTTCAAATTTTTTTTTATTTGAATTTATTAATTATAATTTATTTTTAGAATTTCAATAAAAATAGAATTTTTTTTCACCAAAAAAAAATATCGCATTAAATTTTAGGAAAAAAAATATAAAAATTAAAAATATACAGCAAAACTAAATTTTAATTATTATTATTTTTTTCTTTAGTTATTATATAGTCGATGAATTAAAAAATATTTAAAATAAACTTTCAATAGATACATTTTTTATGTATTATACGCAGTAATAAAAAAAACCGCTACTTATAGTATACAAATTTATAATCCATACTTTTGCATATAACACTTGTTCAATCACAAAATGTTTTATTATATTTTTTTTCTTTTATCTAATGCTCTTTTTTTAATATATTATGATGAGTAAAAGAAGACTCGCAATTATATTATGACAAAACATATTCCACACTGTATATTACTTTTTTTTTATCAGTTTTGCAAAACATTTGCAAACAAATAATAATCGTTGTTGATAAAAAAAAAAATAGCATTTTCATTTAGTTAATTGCAAAAATATTTCATTTTAATAGCATAAATTTTTTTCTTCTCATACGAATCATTGTTTATCATAGTCCATTAAGAAATTGAATGATAAAAACCAATTAGTTTTATGTAATTAGCAATTAATTGGAATGACAATAAATTTTTTCAAAAACAAATAATTTTTAATTTTAAAAGAAAACTACCTTTAACTTTTAATGTTTATTGCGATTAAAACAATTAATTTAAAAATTCCAGACTAAAAAATAAAAATTACTCTCTAAATCTGAATTAGTGACTCACTTTTTGCTTCTGAATTAGTAAAATTTTACTAATTATTAGTAACTTTTACTAACAATTAGTAAAATTTAACTAATTCTAAAGCAAAAAGTGAGTCACTAATTTAAATTAGTAAACATTTTTACTTATTCAGATTTAGAGAGTAAAAAAAATTTTTTTTATTTAAAAAAAAAAAATCCCCCGGTACAAAAGATCCCTTCTTTTCGTAGTCGAATTTATCGAGCGAGTACAATGAATTCCGCGCGGCAGCCGCAGCCGCAGCAATGCCGCATATACAAAATTGACCGAATGCTCAGCAGAGAATTGCGTTTCTCCGCAGTGACGCGTATGCCTTCATATGGCTTTCCTCGTCAGTGAAACGCATTCCGCTCTGCTCAATAAAATTTTTCTTCTATATTGATTTAAAAAAAAAAAAAAAAAAAAAAAAATTTTATGTGAAAAAAAAATTGTGATATATTTTTTTTTAAATTTATAAAAATTATTTTATACAAAAAAAAAAAACACGGTTGAGAAAATAATAAATTGTAGAAGGGAAATTTTTGTTTTCAAAAATTCAAACACGTGCTCTCTACTACTTGGCCGCCATGTTCGATACGGAAAGATTTATCAGCGAGATTGAAAAACGTCCTGCAATTTATAATACTAATTGCGATGAATATAATGATAGAACGGCAAAATTGGCAGCTTGGGACGAGGTTTGTCAAGTGATGATACGTAACTGGCCAACACTCTCAGACGAGGAACGCATTGTCGAAGGTAAGAAAGAAGAAGGAAAGATGAGGATGAAAAAAAAAAAATTGAATTGCGTGTACGGTCAACACACAACGTAAAAGCCATCTGCGTGAATATTCGATACCTGCGATGTGGTTATATAGAATATATTTTCAATGGGTGGGGGAAACCGGTAAACTTGCTTTTAATCTCATATTGTATATATATATACCTTCTTTGAAAATTTTTCCTATACAAATTTTTGTCTGGGATATGCAAAAGAAATTTTTTTTTTCAATTTTGTTTTTATTTTAAATATTTTGATTATATTTTAATACAATTATTAATTACAAAAAAAAATTTCATTACAAAAAAACTATGAAAAATTGCAAAAAGTTTGCAAAAAAAATTATAAATCATTATAAAAAAATTTTAATTATTATAAAAAGTTACAAAAAAGTGGAAAAAAATACAAATCATTATACAAAAAATTACAAATATATTTTTATAAAACTTAACGAATACAGTTTATTAAATTTAACAATAATATAATAGTTTTTGTTTCTTAAATAATTTAACTACATATTTTAAATTTTTCATTAATGCTGATTTTATATTTAAAAAAACATTTTTTTTTTTCAAATTGTAAACAAAATTTCGAAAGTAGATTTCTGCATTAGATTTCTGTATTACCAACAAGTGATGACTGGAAAATTTATTATTGAAAAATTATTTCGTAACATATTTTTTATTTAAAGTTCTTTTCATTTTTTAAGAAAAAAATTTTGTTTTCATTTATTTTTGTATTTTAGTTTTCTATTTATACTTATTTATTTAAAAATTTTATTTTTAAATTTTATATTTAAGAAAAAGTTTGTTTAATAAAGAAGTATTTTTGTTTAACAAAATATTGTTATAAAAAAAAATTTCCATTTATTTAAACAAAAAATTATTGTTCAATATGAATTTTCTTTAATTTATTATTTATTGAAACAGTATTTTGATATTTTATTTTTTTTTTTATTTAAAGTTCATTTTAAATTTAAGAACATTTCATTTGTTTAAAATTTTGTTTAAAATAATAATAAAAAGCAAATTTTTGTTTAAACATAATAGTTTTTAAAAATTTTATGGTTTTTTTTCAAATCGTTCGAAAAAAATAAAATGACATTTTTAATTTCAGAAAAGAATCTAAGAGGAAAGTGGCGAAATATACGTGATTATTTCATGAAAGAATTGAAAGTTCAAAATTTAAAAAACCTCGCTGGATCAGCAGGCCGGAAACGGAAGCGTTACACCTATTTTGATCAGCTACAATTTTTGATGCCATCCATTGAGAACAAGCAGAGGTACTCGTACCAAGTACCTCAACTATTAAATAAGTAAACATTAAACAATGTTTTTTTTGTTTATGAAAATAAATTTTTAAAAAACTATTATTTCACAATAATTAATTTTTTTTTACCAATATTTTTATATAAAAAAAGTTATTTAAAAAAATTTGTTTAACATAAATTTGTAAAAAAAAAAAAGTTTTTTTTGAACTTCAAAAAAACATAAAATTCTTGAACTATTTTTCAGAAGAGAGAACAATTATGTAAATCATTGTAAAACTGAGGAGAGTGAAGGAGAAGCCGATAATCCTGTATTTGATGACTATGAGATGTCGGGAAATGAAGCTGGCACGTCAAAGGATTACGTTCAAGCTGTCAACTCGTCAGGAAACTATAGACTATTACCAGTTCGATATTCGAAACCAATGTGCGAAACTTCTATTGCTCCTTTTGATAACGAGTTTCAAGACATGATATCGAACAATGGCCAACGTTCAATGATTGAAGAAGAAGATTATGATAAGATGTTTCTACTCTCGTTACTTCCCATTCTTCGACAAATCCCGGAAAATAAGAAATTGGACGTGAGAATACAGATGCAACAGATTTTAGCCGCTGTTCTTTATCCATCCGACAGTAAATAAATCCGAATTTTTTTTTTCTTTCTTCATTTTATAAAAATAGAATTTTTTTTTCTCGATACATTAATGAGATTTTTTTTTCTTTTTTCTTTAATCATTGACAATTTTTATACTATTTCATTTTCAAAAATATAAATTAATTTTTTTCTAAGCCATCAAGTTTTTTTTTGGTAAAAAAAAAGAATTGAAACTCCAATCGAAATTCTCGAGCGATTTCAAAAATTCATTTTCAATAATTTTTCATTTAAAATTTAGATTTTTTTAAAAAAAAATTTTGTATTATTTGAAATAATAATATAAATATTGAAAGTCAATTTTTTAGCCAAGGGATTTCTTTGTGATATAAATGTTAAAAGTTGTAACCAGACTTATAAATATAAAAAGTGATAAGAAATGTTGAAGCCTAAAAGAAATGATTTTACTATCAGACAAGAGTTTTGTTAAACTTATATATATATTCACAAAAACGTTACCAATTTTTGTATAAAAAAAATAAGATAACTAAACTTGTTATACAATAATATAAGGTAAAATTTAATCACAATTTGAAAAAAAAAAAATGACAAAATGTAAAAAAATAAGTAAAATATGTACATTTGTAAGTCGATTTATATAATGTATAATTACCACATACCTCATACTTTGTATATTAATGAATATTAAAGTTATTTATTTTTTCACCAAAACGTGCAGTAATTTTTAATCGATCACAAATTTTTTTTTTTTTTTTTTAATAAAAACTAAATTTAGTTTTACTAAAAGAATTTATAATAAAATATAATTTATTTTCAAATAAGAAAATAAAGAAAAATTTCAGAAATAGAATCCAATTTTTATTTTAACAATTATTAAAATTATTAATTATTTATGTAACAATAATAAAAATTATTCCACTATTTATCATTGTAGTCAGTCTTCATAAATCGTATGTAATATTGTCACCTAGATGGCACAAAAATACTGAATCAAAAATTAATTTCCAAAAAAGAAATAAGTAATTTTTTTAAAACTCATTAAGTTTTCTATTAGAAAAAGGGAAATTAAATTAAAAATCTGAAAATAAATATATAAAAAATAAAATTTTAATTCTAAAAAAAAAATTCTAAGCCATAAAATATTTCTGAATTTCTACCTATATATATATATATATATATATATATATATATATACATATCTAGATGAATTATGAATGAAAGGAGAATTGTATGGAATTGTTGAAACATAAGTTATAATGAATTTTCTTCTTCTATTAAAACTTTTCAACGAACACTCAAGAAAGTACATCCTTTATTGTTAAGAATAAGACTAGTATAACTTTAGTGAAATTTCTGTCATATTATGCGTGGATCATTATATTTTAACATATATATGGAGCAAAATTTCTGAAGTGATACGTTAAAAAAAATGTCCAATTTTTTCTTGTAAAGTTATAACTGTTATGATTTTACAGTAGTAGAAGTGTATTTTAGTTAGACATACCAAAATTCGTATTTATTTATATTTCATTAGTATAAAACATTTTTAGTCAGACATAATTATTCGAATATCTTTTCAATTTTAGTTTCAGTAGTAAAAATGAATTTTAGTCAGACAAGCGAAATTTTTGTTTTTTATTTGTTTTGCAGTAGTATAAAACAGTTACGGTCAGACATAATAAGAAAATTTTTGCAATTCTAATTTCAGTAGTAAAAATCACTTTTAGTCAGACAAGCGAAATTCTTGTAATTTTTTCTCAATGGTAAAAAGGAATTATAGTCAGACACAACAAAATTATTGTAATTTTTTTTTCTCAGTAGTAAAAGTAAACTATATAGTCAGACATTCGAAATTCTTGTTTACTTTGTAATTCAGTAGTATAAACCGGTTTTAACCACTTGGAAAGATTCCCCGGAAAGTGCCCCTTGGAGGTTCTATCAGAATTCCGCCGGAACTTCCAACGTAATTCCGTCGGAATTCCATCGGAGTTCCAAAGAATTTCCGATGAGATTCCGACGGAGTTCCGATGGAATTTCGATTAATTTTTTTTTCAAAATTTTTAGAGTCCTAATTCCGTCGGAATCCCATCGGAAATTCTTTGGAACTCCGATAGAATTCCGACGGAATTTATTTTATTTGTGTTTCAGTAGTATAAACTAATTTCAGTCAGACAGAGTTTTTTAATCTATTAAAAATTTGTCTTCAGTAGTACAAGAAGTTATAAAAGAAATATTTTTTCTAATCTTTTGAATGGTGTGCAAAATTTTTTTTAAAAAATTCAAAATTTTCCCCTTTTTTTTGGAAATTGAAAATATTTTTTTTTGAATTCAAATTCAAATTCAGATGTTTTTGTTTTCTGAGAAAAACTTTGATTACAATATTATATGCAATGAAATATGCTGCAAGTGACTATAATTAATCTTATACTCCAATTTATTCAAACAACGCAAAAGTCTGTGAAACTTCATATTATGATCGTTATTCAATTTTCAATTCTCTCTTGTAGATTTCTTGTTGCGAAACAATCGTCGTCTATTATTTCACCTATTGTGTTAGCAGTTTAATTTAATTTACTTTCATGAGCCATCTCATAATTATATCTCAACGAACTTTTGGTATCCAACTAACAAAATATGATACCAGCTATCTACTGTAACGTTAATTAACTGTTGACATTGAAAATTTATCTCTCGGGTTTTGACATTCTTTTTTTATGTCGTCTCAAAAACTAGTTCATTTTCCCTTCAATCGTAACCTTTTTTTTTTTGTTTTTCCTATTAGTATTTTATGTACAGTTTGCAAAATCAAATGAAAAAAAATGTATACATTATAAAAAATTTGAATCAGAAAAAAATTTATTATTAGAATAAACGGATTTTTTTTTAATTTCATGTGTGAAAAATTGTAAATTGGTTAATCAATATAATTTTTTTTTTGGCAACAATTTTGCTTTGGCATATTTTTCGATGATTCAGAAGTTCTTCTTCTGTTTTTTTTTTTTTTTTTTTTTTGAGACAATATATTACGTGCTTCCAGATTGTCGTCGTGAAGATGATTTAGACGGTATTCTTGAAGTATTCAAGAAAACGTGACTTTGTTGGTTGTCGCACAGACACGTGGGTTAAGTTCTGTATAGTACAAAAAGTGAGGTGAAATAAACATAATTTATACATTTGACTTATTTCTCATTTTATTTTTGACTTTCGTAACATTTTTTTAAACTAATTTTTTCGAATTATTTTTAATTTGAGTAAATAGTGAATTAATTTTTTCTTTCAGTAAATTTTTAGCTTCTTGTAATTGTAGTATATAGTAGCCTATAGTATTATAGTAATTTTCGTAATTGACTTACTTTTGATTGTAGTATCAGTAGTAAAAGTGAATTTTAGTCAGACATGTGAAATTTTAGTTTTCATTCTGTTTCAGTAGAATAAAAAATTTAAGTAAGACACATTTTTTTTACTTCAATATTAGTATCAGTAATAACTCTCTGTTTTAGTCAAACACAAGAAAATTATTGTAATAATTTCTTAGTAGTAAAAGTGAAGTATAATAGTCAGACATTTAAAATTCTTGTTTATTTTGTGAATCAGTAGTTTAAACCAGGTTCAGTCGGACAAAATTGTTTTACTTTATAAAAAATTTGATTTCAGTAGTAACTGTTTTGTTACTTTCTTTAAAAAAGAATAAGAATAATCAAATTTTTTAAAAATATTTTTGAAAGAATGTTTTCCTGGAAAATGAAAAAATCCCTTATAAATTTAAATGAAATTAAACATGATGTCATAATTATTTTTTATTGTAGAACTATATATACCTATATATATATATTATTTATAAAAAAAACCTACCAATTGAACTTAAATTTAAATAGAATAAGAATAATCAATTCTATTATTTTTTTATGAAAATTTTTTTTTCTCAAAATAGAATATATTTATCAAATAAAGAAAAATATATTACATAATAGTTTATTATACATATTTCATTTTAATAAATTCATAATAATATAAAATTCTTAAAACAAACTTTAATAATTTTAAAAATTTGAAATTTAAGTAACATTTATAATTTATTTTCAGTAGTATAAAATATTTTCAATCAGACAATAAAGATGGCTTTTTTTAATTTTAAGTAATAACATTTATTTTCAGACAGACTGAAATAATTATTGTTTCCACGTTTAACTACCCAGTAGTAGAAATAAATTTTGATCAGACATTTTTAATTATTTTTAATTAGGTTTCAGACTGAGAAATTTATTACAATTTTAGTTTTAGTAGTGACAGTTAATTTTAGTCAGACATTTGAAATTCTCGTTAATTTTGTTTAAGTAGTGTAAAATAGTTATAGTCAGACATTAATTACTTGATGCCTTCCACGTTTGGTGCAACTGCATTTATCAATTTTTAGTTGAATCAGACAGTTTAGTTTTTATTTCAGTAGTATAAACCAATATAAGTCAGACGTATACTTTTTCAAATATCTTTACAATTTTACTTCACAGTAGTAAAAGTAGATTTTCAGTCAGACATGAAAAATAAAATTCTTAATTCTTTATTTTTTATTTCAGTAAATCATGATATAACACATGGCATGGACAAGTGTAAAGCTTTTGTTTATATAACGTCTGCGTCCCAAGTATTCGACGCGATAAATACCAAAGTGTCTTTGCTTCAGTGCCAGACGCATAATTCCTCGGTGCACCGTTGACATACTTGCTCATTGTTTGAATGCCTCTATTATATGATATTTATTATAAAATATTATTTTCTGAGGCTAACACAAGGGGATTTAAGTATATATCGGTTCAATGAAGTTTTGATAACGACCCCATATCCACCTATATTTTCTTTCTTCAATTTTCCTTTCAATGAATCCACTCATCATTATTTTTCTCAACGAATTTTTTATTTTTCAATGTTTTGGGCATTTAATTTTTTTAGAATTATTCTTTTTGATTCTTTTGAAAAAGAAACTTTTGTCTTATTATTTATCAAAAACAAATAAAAAAAATAATTTTTTTGACTATTATTATTTTAATTAATAATATTACTATTTTTATTATTATTATAGATATTTTTATTTTTTTATTGCTTTCTATTAATATTGTTATTTTTATTATTATTGTTAATTATTATTATTTAGAGTAATTGTGCAGATAATTTTATTTTTAAAAATTCCTTTTAAATATAATAATCTCACTATTGAAAATGTGTTGTATTTTTGTTTTATCGTTTTTGTATTGAATGCAATTTGACTGTGAGATGAAAATGGAAAATAGACTCGGCTTTTGAAAATTTTAGCCTTTGCAAAGCGAATACGAGTGCCATTTTTCTCGATAGAATACGTCTTTTTATGGTTTAGAATTTGAAAAGGAAATTCTCGTAAGTTCCTCTGAGGTATATATATATATATATATATATATATAGGGGTATCGAGGACAAATTTCATCTTTTCGTTCTGATCCAAAAGAAAATGTCGAATGTGTTCACTAAAGTTAAAGGAAAATTCAATTCACCAGCAATCGTTTCATGGACCACTTTTGAAAATGTAATTTCAGACTTTTACAAGTTAAAAAAAATACTACTGAAAAGATATTTTGAACGAATTTTACGATTTTATTTTATATACAAAGATTTGGAAAAAAAATTTATTATTAAACTGCACTGCTTTATAAAGAATATAA